CCGAGCCTCGATTCCATTCAATTGGTGGCCGCCCTAATTGACTCTTGATGAATTGCCAGCATTACATCGCACGCTCGCTGTTCATTTATAACACGCGCCACTGAATCGACCAGGCATGGTCCTGGCTTAATCGGAAATAATATTTTTTTTCTCTCTTTTCAACGATTTGCGTGCTTGGGTGGTCACGGTAGAATGGGAATATTCGGAATATTTAACCAAATGCGTGATGATGGCTTTCAAGGAAATCAAAGGTATAAAATGTTTTAAAGAGTAGTTTCACAATGAAAATTCAATTCACCGGGAAAAAATAATTCAATTTATTTATTTATTTATCAAGAAGGCTGGTTTTAATTTATATTATTTCTGGATCTAAACATAGGCTTTTTGGTTTTCAGGTTATTTCAAGCCTACAAAATTTGTTGCGCAACAATTATTTTAACTCGCATCAATTATTAATTACCGCATACAAATATTTTTTGCCTTTGGGTCGATCTAAAGCTGATGAAAATATCACAGTTTTTAATTGGTATAGCATAAGGGATGCGAATTTATAATTCCTATTACTTTATAACAATGGGAAATTCCGGAAATATTAGTTATTTATCTGCATTGACTGCATTCAAGATTATATTAAACGTCAGATTTTCGAGAAATAATGGTTTGCCGTCAACAAGATGATTGTTTGACGCAGTTGGTAAAAAAAGAGAGAAATATGAGTAGAGCGGATTTTCATTCAACGTCCCTCATCACAAATCATCCATCTAGGTCAGGCTGGTGTCCAGAATTGTGAGAGATGGATCCGCAATAATTCCGCATCAAGAGAAAAAAAAATCATCATCTTGATGTGCATTATGCACACAACACAAAAAAAGAGACGTGTGCTCGTGTGATAATTAAAAAAAAAAACGAGAGCCAGCGGAATCAATATCTGCCCCATAAATCAAGATGGTATTTCGTCGCCCCGAGAGGGAGTGCGGAAAAGAGAGAGAAAGCAGAGCTCCTCACGGTGCGCGCATGGAAAATTGATGCCCGAGATTCATATTAATGAGTGCTGAGAACCATTTATCATCCGGCGACGGGATCGCTTTTGCCAGTCAGGCAGGAAACCCTGTTCCCTTTTATTCTGTCGACGACGTAACTTTGTTTTGCTCATCAGCGCCGAGTTTTGCCACATTTATACACTAGATATATTGTTTCATAAATAGCGGCGTACGCACCCTCCTCGCAAACAAATTCGTTTTCCGTTCTGCTCCTCAACTGTTGCTGCCAACAACAATGGAAAATTTAATATGCTTGGCAGCCGTATTATTACGTTTCACGCACAGAGCTTGGAGCATTGATTCAATGCGTGAAGAACAATTTCATTTCCTATTAAGGATTTACATTAATTTGAAAATCAAAACATTAAATTTGATTTCTTTTGCAGCACAGTTAATAAATATCATAAATATAATTTAAAATTTTTGAATCTCTCTTTTTTGTAATGCAAATATTTAATTCAGTTATAAAACATAAAGATTGAGATTGGCATTTTTTTTAATACAGCCGGTATAGGATAGTTTCACTCTTTTATTTGCAATGCATTTTCATTACAAATCTCTTAAAAAATGCATCATGTAAATCAATGCAAATCTGTAGCAAATGAATTTCATTCTTATGTTATTTGCACCATTTTATATAAATATACAAATTTGTAATTGTGAATCGTATGCGTAAATTAAATTAGATTGACATATTTACAACTAAAAAGCACACAACGCAACAAATTTAACGCAATTCATTTAGCACAGTCTATCAATGACATTTTGTAAAGTGTGCAACTCAAAATTAATCAGAAACATTACATTAATTTTTTTGTAACATCAAAAATAGTAGTTTATTTTAAAATTATTATGTTATAGATATGTTATATTTTAAGTAGAATATTAAGATTGCTTAATTTTCACTCCTTACGCCAACACTAATTGTAAGAATTTAAGTTGCTTACACCAAGAAGCATTTTTACAATATCTTCCACTCAATTTTCAAGGAGCTCCGTGCTGGGTGACTATGGCAAAAAAGGGCGGTGCGCACGTGACAGTTTTTACTTTTTCCTTCTTCTTGGTTTCTCTCCTTTCACAATTACACAAAGCAATTAAGAGTTGCTCAGAGATTAGTAAGGGGTCGGATTTCAAAGGTTAGCCCCATCGACGATCCGTGAACCTTGCCAGAGGTCATCGTCATCAATTTTATCTCTCCACGAAGAAGGATTTGAGGCGGATTTATTTGGCCAAAAACTTAGCTTGATGGAGCTTTGGAGTGATTCGAGCTGGCAATCAAATTAATGTTGACTTGGATTCGCCGATGTGGCGTTTGATTAGGGGAGAGTTTGGACTGAATGTCTCTGTAGAGTGTAGAAGAACTGCACTTTCACCCCCAGCAGGATGTCGGGGGAACTGTTGATATGTGCGGAAGTCGTAGATTAAACTGCTTTTTATTCGTCGCACGAACGACTCCATTCCCAACGGGTGGGCCCAAAGTTTGGCTAATTTGGTGCGTTGCCCTCGAGCTACCTAGTTTAATGTCTGTTTAATCTAAGTTTATAATTAAAATGTTTCATGCTTTTCGTTTATACAAATTTTGATTGTGTTTTATTTCAAACAATTTGCTTAAAAATTTAAAAAGAACATGTTGTGATTAAATATGGACAATTAATCAATTATTAGGCATCAATGTATATTTTCACCAAATGCGATCAATTTTAATCATTTAAATTTAGTTGAATATTTAATTATACTTATTCACTGCTATTTTGCTGAGGAAACGGAAATATTCTAAATAGCAAATAAATGAACAAATATGGAAGAAGAGAATAAGGATAAGGTATTTTATTTGCCCAAATTTTGAGAATTGAATTTTGATTAAATCCTCGAAGCTGATAGACACAATAAGAAATTAATTTTTCCATCTTTAATATAAAAATTTAATTTCAAATTTAATGTTGTTTTACCATTTTTTAATTTAAATAATTAATCACATATCATATAAGTGCACGGCAAATTTTATTGAATGAGAGAATTAATTTTTTTATGCGCAATATAAAAAATCAGCCTGCTAGGCACAATTTAATCCCCCGTGAGTTGAAACAGCTTTAAATCGTTCTTCTCTCCCCATCAAAATTCAACTTTCTACCTCCATTTCACGGGCTATTATGCATATTGTGTTGATTGACGTTAAATTTTGGCTCGTAATAAAACCACCCCGCGTTGAAAAGGGTATCAAATAATATCCCCTCACATCCACCTGCCATTCAATTCAACCACGGGCGCTGACGGGATTTGCAAAAATCTAATAAAAAGCGCACTAAAGGTTTGAAAAAAAAATAATGGTTGGCGAGGGATTGATTCCGTCGCAATTAATTACGAGAGCAAGCAATTTAACGACGATCCGGTTCTCGGGTGTCGTTTTCGCACGCGAAGCGGGAGGATAATTTTCTCTCCAAAGTTAAATGTCGCTCTCTCTGAAAATGAAGGCGGGGTGGGTCGTCAGCTGCCGCCGCGTGCGTCCGCTCTCGGCACTAACTCGCGAACTACCCCTTCTGTGTGCCGGCGCGTGCAGATTCGCCGCCGGCTGCTGCGAATTTGGAATGATGCTTCAAATATCCACGCAGCCCGTCCGAGCACCGCAACACGGCGCTTTCCACTTAATCGAATTGGTTCCCCGCTGCTGATTATTGCCCAAAATGACACTCGCTCACCCGCCGGCCTTGTTTTGAACGGTGCTCCTCTGTCTATGCACTGAAGCGAAGTTGACAAAATTTAAACGTGGCGAAAAATGAAATAAATAATCATGCGCCAGAAATACAGGGTTTGTAGACTAGAACTTTTTCAAGGGTGTTATATGTTTAAAACATAATGTTTTTTTGTGAATTGAAAATATAAAACACTTTTAAATTCCTTTTTTTTTCTTTTCAACATTATTTTGGTTTTTTTATGAAACAAAATTTTGCGTAAATAAATATTTTTTATTCATATTAATAATTATTGTTAAAATTTAACAACTTATTTTAATTTTTTTTAAATATCTTTATTTAAAATTAAAAACATACTTTTTAGCACCCCTAAATGAAAGATATTCATCCCCATAATTTGAATGATAATAATTGAATAAACATCAGATTCATCAGAATTAAAAAAAAAATAATTTTAATTTTCATATTCACTCTTTACTTTTAATGTACGCAACATAATTATAATTGAAGAGGCCGTGTAGTTTAGAATTAACACATTATACTTTATTTGAGGTAGCTTACTCATAACTGATACTCAATTTTATTAAAAATTTCTACAAATAATTAAATAAATTTTATGTGGATCGAAATGCAATTTTTTTTTTTGTTGACATGCGATTTCTGACAAAAATTATACTTAAATTATACCATAAAATTACACGTCTGTAAATTACTTACAACAAATATAACCATTTTTATAAACTTTGAACTTATAATCAATTTGAAAAAAAAATCAATATTTTTTATTTTAAATTAAATCAGCTAAAGTGAATCAGGAAATCAACTTCAATCACCAAAAACTTCCTCTAAACCAATAAAAGAGTGACCGGCACCAAAAAACTTTTTCCGTCGGCACGCGTCTTGCAGCTTCTCAACAAATCAATTTAGTGGCAGGCAAAAAGCGAGACGAGGAAATGGAAAGTTTGAGCGGCAATTTGTCGCACCTAATCAATCCAACTCCTTTCAGCGATTTGCCATCGCTCAAGTCGCGGTCGGTCGGGGTGGACGCGTCGTCGGTTTGCCGCCGAAAAGAATGGAGAAAAAGTCCAAGTCGGCGCGTTAATCGGGCGTGACTGGTGGCGAAAGAGGGCCGCTTGGCGTCGCCATGGAAACCGCTGGGGCCTGCCAGTTGGGCTGCTGGTGTGTGGCACACATTCGGGGCCGCGAGGGGCGCATGCCTACCGTCGGGTCCGGGGGTGCCGAGCGCAAGGGTTGGGTCTTTCATCTCGGGCTGGCTGCCAAAGTGCTCTGCATCTCTCTCTTTCTCTGTCCCTATCTCTCTCTGTCCTTCCTTCCTAGCTGTGTGTTGGCCGACCATGCTGTCGACATCATGAGTTTGCCTCTTCTCTTCGGCCGCCGACGCGCCAGCAGGTCACTCTTCTTTTCTCGGTGTTGGATCTAAATGCATGCGGGCGGCAATATAGAGCCACCTGCGCCAAAGACTATATTATAATGTCGTTGTTGTTATTGTTATTGTCCGTTCCCATCGTGTTGTGCTGTCGCCGTTTATAGATGGATGTGTTTGATTTAATTAAACCCCCGTTTATGGGATTAATTTGAGTGCATGCTTTGCGGCCGCTTCGTAATTACACGTGCGGCCTACATAATATCACCGGTTGCTGGTGTCGATGTTATTTGGTCAAAATTACTATTGATGTTTTATTCTTTTCGTTTGCTAAATAATCTTTGTGCTTCTTTCATTGCTTGTGGAGAGACTAATTGTATAGGCATTTATATTGAATAAAAATAAATTGCCAAACTCTCGTAGAAAATAAGCAATTTTAGTATGATTACTATGATTAAATAGCTTAATTTAATTAGGTCAAAAATTTTGATTAGGGTGTTATCGATATGATTTACAATAATATATTATTAACAAGTGGTTTAGGACTAAAGTAAATTTATAAATTGGGAATTTTACCTGCCATTTTTCAGCATAGCTTACAATTCTGTAGAGCAGGGGTGTTTATTGAGCAGAGAATATTTATTTTGCGGTAATATTGGTGCATCACTTAAATAATTACTCTTATTTCTATAGAAGAAAAAACAATTTACAACCAACCAATAATTCTTTAATTTAAGATAAACTGTAGATAAATTTTATATTTCATCATTTTCCTTAAATTACGGAACCATCTGGTGAAAAAGTGTCAATAAATATTTAAAATACCCAAATTAATCCCATGATTATAAATCTGATGATGGACGCCTCTTAAAAATACTGCGTTTTCATTGTGTTTTTTTTTGCTCACGAATATTCAGTGTATGAGAGTTTATAGTAAATTTCAATTAATCTCAGCAACTTTAATTAGCAGTTTCGGAGTTTCTGCTACAGACTTCTTTAGTTACTACGAAATATCTCGCTGAGCAAAGTTCAGTCAGCTCGAGCGTGCGGAGCATCACCGGGAAATGGGGCAGGGAGAGCGCCTGGCTCAACTTGCGATGCTGTGCCGTCGAGCAGACGTGCAACGCGGGTAGCAGGCCATTAATACACAGCGACAATGAGATGCACACGTACATTATACGGAATAAAATGCAGTACTGTAGAAAGAAAAATATCAACAGCTGTGTGCATAACTAAAGGAAAAAATCACTGTCCTACGTCTCTAGTAGCGACGCCATTACTTATGCATCTCTGTTAGTCGGAAAGTGTGTCACTTTGGTACACGTGCAATAACGTGGTTTGATTTTTGAATTTGCACAGCATAAATTAGAGAAATTCAAATAAAGTTAAAAAAAAAAATTATCGTAAATATTAGGATATACATTAAACACATAGTCATAACACTATTTATTTAAAACCCTTATAGCAATTTCAAATTTTTAATTTGTACTTTTTTGCTAAATTTGCCTTGTTTATATTTTGTTTTGCCAATTAAAAGAAATATTTTATGATTATTTTTACACAGTCTCATCTTATACATAGAATTTAAAATTGACTCATTAATCCTTTATTACATTAAATTTGCGTGTAATACTAATTGAATTAAAGCAGAAGCAGTAATCAATTTGGCATCTTTGAAATGCAAATTGGGCTTCAAAACCGATCTATTTCCATTGTAAGGCAGCGTTTGACGGGGTAGAATCGCAGGCAATTTCTCCCACCATCACCACCAACTCCTCACTTATTCTACGAGCAAACAAAGCCTAAAATCTACCTTGATTTAAATTTAGCAGCACCGCCGCCGCTCTGTGCGTGGCGATGGATGACTGTGTCTATTTATTCTGCGTGAACTCTGATGGCGGCTGCTCTGGTGTTGTTCTCGAGCCGCCTGCGAAGCAAAAGATAATGGAATGTGCGCGGAATATATTATATCAGACGTCTGCACTCGCCCCCTATCACCACGTTTGTCGATTGGAGGCGTGTAATTAATTTAATTTCATCTGGAGGCTTAAGTATTTTGCCTTAATTGAATCGAAAAGTTGACTTCCTCCCCACTTCAATGCGTTTCACTTGCAAATTCGATTCGTCTCTTTGGACAATTAGAAAGAGCTGAGCCGATTTTGCGCAGAACTGTTTGCAAAGTTTGCTCCACTGCCTTGAATAAAAGCGGTGTTTTAATAATCTTTTTTCACCTTTCTGGGATATTACACAAAATCAATAATAATTGTTTTCTACGAAAATATTTTGTTTTGAAATCAAGATCTTTTTTATTAAAGTTATCAAGCAAAGTTAATATTTTTAGTATTAACAACCATTATTGTAATAAAATACTTTTTTATTAATAAAACGTTCAATTTTTAAATATTAATAGATTTTCAATGGCCTAGGACTTCATAAATGTAAGATATATTTAATTATTGATTTCACAACTATGATGAATGCTAAAAAAAGATGAAGAATATAAATTGACCAACCGAGTTAAATAAAATAATTATTTCTATAGCATTCTATACAAATCCTTCTATCGCTATTCTTAACCTATAATCGTATAATTAAATGTCTGGAAATCAATTTAAAAATTTACTTATTGACGATTAACTAATAATATATAAATTATTGTAATGCTTAACGTATGTTTAAAATTAAGAGGAAGAAAAATGTGCATCCAAAGCTAATTTTTTGCTTCTACTTATGCATTTTCTTATTGTGTCAGAACTTCAATTTCGCTCACAAACTTTTTTTAATTTGAAAGAAACCGCTCGCAGTGTAGAAGCCGGCAATCAATTTCATCATTTCCCTTTCGCTCTTCTGCCGAGCCAGACCATGCGCCGCTTGCATCCTTTTATCTGGCGCCCGGGATCATTTCATTACTCTCTCAGCCTGTCTCAGCCAGTCGTTGGTTGCGCACTCTATGCATGTAGTACCTCCAACTGCGACCTCCCATTTACAATCAGCGTGAGCCGATACCAGGCCACTGTGATAGAACAGAGGCCAAGTAGTTATTCCCAGCGGATCAGAGGAAAGTCGCGCGCAATTCAATTGTTGTGCTTTGTCGGGGCGATTCCAATCGGTTTTGGCGCGCAGGCCGCAGGTGCCCTTTGTTTCGCGGGTGTCATAAGTAGGCTAAGCTGGCGAAACTGCGGAAAAATGGGCCATAAAACGCACACTCGTTTACGGTCGCCCGTTGAGCCCTGCTTATTTATACGCGAGGCAAACAATCCCTTTGTTGACTCTCTCCTGGACCATCAATTCCCGGACCTGCACCCGCTACAAGGCCGTGTGTCCCTGTTGATTCTATGCATATTGCGATCGGGTGTGTTTGCTCAAGGCAGCACACGTGCTCATGTTGATGTGCCTTTCACGCTGAAGGAAAATAACGGAAACATTGTGCCTTTCATGAATTCATGAATTTAAAAAATATGTTCACTACTTACTGTGTGTTGAGCAAAATTTTATTAGAAGTTTAAACAGTTAAACACCTTTAAATTTTCCATATACCATACAAAAATTATTATCATCTGAAGATAAATTAATTTGTAAAATTTATTAAGATCAATTAAATGAATAAACCTCCAAAAATCTTAAAATTATGACGATTGCAAGGTTCTATTTAAGCAATACCAATACATAGTGAAATTTTTGTTTTTAAATTCCCATTTTTATTACCAATTCCTCCCTTTTGTATTTAGGATTAACGCAAGAAACCCTCTACTTTTTAAAATACCAGCAAACCGCAGTGTAATTGTCTAATTTAATTTTTTTCTCCTACTGAGGTTCTTCTGGTTCATCCTTGTTTATATTTTTCGTGAAATCCTACTTGGGTGTTAAATTTCAGCTTAATTCGTGAGACGCTTGTTAATTTCATTTTGTACTGTTAATTAAGGTAAGGACGAAAAGGACTTCTATATTTGATTATTTTACAGTAGCAAAAACGTTTTCCATTAGCTGAAGGGTTTTGCTCAATGAACTTGCAAATAAGGTTCCCTGGGAGATTCAATTATTTGTTTCCTCTCTAATCAAAATCAGATGAGTCGCTTTTAGTGTTTTAATTAATTCAGAGAGTGGTGTTTTGAGAATGCAATAAGCTTCAAGAGATCTTTCCACAAATTCGAAAGCAATTAAACGGTTCCACTTTATAATCGTTTCTTGGGCCTTTTTATTTGTCCTCTTCTCTCAACTCCTTTTTGGTCCAACAGCTTGGCACTTCAAGCTTGTTTTTCCTTTTGCCCGAAACGACTCTCACTCTTCAAGACACGGAAATCTTTTCTCCTTCTTATATTACGGGGCGTTAATGCATAACTCACGTAAAAGGACGAAAAAATTTTGATGACATTTCGTCGTCTGCGACGAGAAACTTTTCTTTGACGTATAAATGCAAATGGTTGTTGAAAAAGGGGGAATAGTTTATACCGGTGGATCTGAAGGAGAATTCTTCTTTGCGAATCACGTCAATAGCGATTTATCTCCTATTAAAAAAAATGATGCTAAACTGAGTTTGTCTGAACAGCTGTAACTTTTTATGATTGCGTGTTGCTCCAAGTTATAGCCATCGTTTGCCAGAAAACAAGTTTTTCATGGACATGAGGGGGAAATTTGCTCAAGACTCGATTTCTCTCCTTTAATTTTGCCTTATGAACTTTTGAATCGTTTGCAAGCGTGACCTTGTTAACTTCTTTTTTTAATAAAAACATAATTAACATCTTATTTGAATAATATAATCGTCGTCGGAGCTGGTCGGAGCTAGATAAAATAATTCCAATTTGCTTGAACTGCGAGCAAAAAAAAAAAAAAAATTTGAATTTCTTTTTGAAAAAAAACTAAAAATGTAAATCACATGTTTTTCAGCTTTAAAGCAGTTATAACGGACACAATTTAATATTGTTTCGTTTGGGAGAATAATCGCGTCTGTGGCGAAAATTTCCTAATATTTTATTTTTTATTTTTTCTCTTTATTCACTTTCATAACAAATTGGCAGCTTTGAGATCGGTAAAACCATAGATTATTTTACAACATTTACAATATAATATGCGTTTTTATTGATTATAAAAAGTAAACCCTCATCAGAAGTTCTCATAATTTGTTGGATCATTTTCTGGAAAAGAAATCGTTTCTAGCTCCTTCTTGCGATAATTTCAAATCATTTATGACCATAAATAGTGATCAAAATGGGATAAAATTCACGTCATTAGTTGAAGAGCTTTATCGATCACTTCTTGAACTTTTTCAATAGGCGTTTGTAACAACCAATGATGACGCTTGAGAGAAACACGAGGAGCCGACGCTGTCTTATAGCTTCTTTCGCCTTTAGGTGCAAAAAGAGAACGTCGGCAGCAATAATAAAAATAATTTAACACTCCGTCCTGTTCAGGCCCTCGACGTGAGAGACAGAACTTGTGCGTCAGACTGAGAGAACGCGCGTTATTTCGCTTTTTATCGCTCGCAGCGACAAAGCAACTAAACAGAAATAAATTCAACGATCCCTTTTACAACTTACGCAATTTTATTGGCTCAGGGGAAATATCGCCTTAAGGTTAAACGCGGGAAATGCTGATTAATTTTCCACTTGATGACGAAAGTGTGTCAAAGACGATGGTGAGGCGAATTTATGCGGCTCGACGCATGACGGATGGGCTGATTGGGCTGGCGTCAAGTGAGCAAGGCGGCTTGTTGATTACAATCACTCCGACTTTAATCCGCCCCCAATTGCATATTACGTCAGTGGTGTGCTAATAATTGGCGGCACTCGCCGACGTGCAGACAAACGTTGTTTGTTCAGTCAGTTCATTTATAATAATTGGCCTTCAACCTTTGTTTGCTCACGAATGCCTGGGCGCTGGCATTTAACGGAGTCGCAAAAAACTATGGCGAATTGGCTTTTTGTTTGCTTCCTTGCAAACTTTCAAATGGCCAACCTTGATTACTTTTCAACTCGCCAGAATTATGCAATTGAGAAAACATTTTAATGTTGTTGAGGTTTTATTGGAAAACTTAGGAAATATTGTAAGTGAAGTTTTCAAACGTGCAAAGTGTTGAAAACCTAAATATGAAAAAGTAAGGCACAAAACAAAGAATTAAATTTTATTCTGAAATTATAATTTTTTGAAAAACAATATTTTCACGTCAAAAGAAATAAAAGAAAATAAACGCACTAAACTTTTTTCACTCCCCTATCATGCAGGTGACAGTGCATAATATGACCATGAATTTTCAACTGTTCCATGATACCAATGTTACTATTTTAAATGATGCATCAATACTGTAGGATAAAAGAAATTAATAAAGTTAGTAAAATTCTAGTTCTCAGATCATTTATAAACTCACAATTTTTGAAGGAGTGCATGCAACTCAATAATATTTACTGTGTTTGTTCGTCTATTTTTTTAATGTTTGATTTTTTGCTAGCAATAACATAAATCTGTTTCGAAGCGGAAACTTACAAATTTTAAATTTCCTGATTGTACAAATTTTCCACAAAATGAAGTGGAAGAAAGGTTTTAAAAAAATTGTATCTATTTCATCCCACATGGATTTATAGAATTTTTCAGCTTAAAAATTGTTTTTGTTTAGTTTTCCACATTGATATCAAATTATTTTTATTTGTATTTATTTTTAATAATTTCATTAAATAGGCACTATTTTATTTAAATTAAGTTATTTTTCTAATAATATGAGTTTTTTATTAAAATATAAAAAAGAAAAAATGTTTTAAAATTCTGTTTAATTTGTTTTTGTCACTTTCAATGCATTGCGACTTCAAATTTTGTCATTCTGTCAAACTATATCAACAATAAATCCCATTTATTTTTATGTGTTTTTAAATCAATCAGATCAGGAAATAAGAGTTTCAAAAGTGCTGCACAGTCTTCTGGTAGACTTTTTGTTCGCTTTTCCTTTTTATCTTCGTGTTCTCTCCAGCGTGTGTTTTTCGTTTTTTCTGATATTAGGCTGCATGTCCCATAGCCGTGCTGTGTGTTTGTGTGCGAGAGCGTCCGTGTGTTTCCGAGCAGACCTTTTAAATGAAAACTGTTTTTCACACCGTCCCTGGGGAGGACTGCGCGCGATATCCCTGCAGCAGACGGTTTTTGCCGTTTTTTGATCATCGGCGCGCGCGAGCGAGCGAGCGACGCCAACCACGCGCCGCAGATTGTGTTTCAAAGGCTCGACTTTCTCTTTGCAATTCTCAATGAAGGCGCGCGATCTGCCGCACGCTTGAATCTTTTGTCCTTCTCTTCAAATTTGAACACTCTCTGTCGGTCAAACGAGACGTGGAAACGAATCTATTACTTTTTTCCTCTACCAGGAAAGTTTTATTGCAAAAGAAATAAAGCTCAAATTACATTCCCAGAAGGAATTGAAGAACAAATTTCCTTTTTTTTTTTCCAAAAGAGAAGCAGGAAAACCTATGTGTAATAAATAACAATTTGTTTTTTTTTCCTTTAGGAAAAGTCAATTATTTTTCTTTTTAAGAGGATTCAAAAACTGCTCTCATAATTGACAAATTTTTCAAAGATATGATGAAGTTAAAAAAAAAATGTTAATACTTTACTTAAAAAATTTGGTAAAAAAGCATAAAATATTTTTAAAATCTTACACATCCGTCTGCTTAAAATTAAAATAGAAATCACAATCTATTTACTTGAAAAACAGTTTTCTACTTAAAAGTTCCAACTTTTTTTTTTTAAATTCATTCAAAATTTTTGGTCCTGAACGAATTTCGGTTTGGATGACACAGGTGGTGATGTCGTTTCGGGCGGCCGTTTTGTTCCTGGCCCTGGGCCTGCTGGCCGCCGGGGAGCGCGGCACCACTTTCCGCAGCAGGGAGCGCCAGGGCGGCATCACCTTGGGCCAGAGCAAGCCCAAGGAGCCGATCAGAGAGACGATGTTTGCCAAGCATTCGCCCATCGACCCCGAACTCAACATCGGCCTCATTGTGCCGCAGACCTCGTTCGGCCGCCGCGAGTACACCAAGGCGGTCAACTCGGTGTTCAACTCGTTTCAGAAGTCTCGCGGGCGGAAACTCGATTTCCTCAAGACTTTCAATTTCGGCCCGCAGCAGGTCAGGCAGATCAACATGACTTTGACGCCCAGCCCGACAGGTCTGTCCCTGAAATAAAAAAGTTAAATATTTACAAGTAATTTAAATTTGATTTGGATAAAAAAAAAAATTAAATACATTGAACACATGAAGAAGAAAAAATATCATATCTCCCTGTCACACATGTTAATATAATTATTACAATATTATAAAAAATTAGGCCTTCTAGTATCTAGTACCTTTTCTCAATCAATAATAATTTTCATTGCGCAAGAAATTGTAAAAGAGCTGAAAAATCGGAGACTACGTTAGAATTTTACAATATATCTGAATTTCCCCATTTATTTGCTTGACAAGACAAGAAATGCAATTTATTATCTCCGGTTATTTTTGGATGGTTTGGTTCATACAAAAAATATCTCATCTGAAAGAAATAAAAGAAAATTTTTCCAGCAAACAAAAGCAATATCCAAGATATGCAAAATAAATTAAGGGTTCAGTCGCTGCGAGGAGAAAAGAGACATTCTTATGCCGGAGGAAACAAAAGACGAAATGAAAAACACCGGCATTCATAAAAAGCATTCGCCTGTAAATTTGAAAATGAGAAAAAGATGACGTACCCCAGTCGGTTGGATTACGCGCGTATGGCTAATGACGGCGCAAATTCCGCTCCTTTATCTTGCGATAGGGAGAGACAGACGCGCCCAGTGGACCAAAAAGTGCACTCGCGGTGACACAAAAGAAATTGACAGGAGTTGACTGACTCTTCGGCGTCGACGGGCGAGACGCAGGAGCGCGTGCCAAATTACGGGGGCTGTTGTTTATCGAAGAGACAAAGCGGAGGCTGTCGAAGTTGTTGCCAAATAAAGTAAGTGACGCGTCTCGGATGTCAACAAGCAAATTAGGTTCCATTTTCCAACACGTCATGGGTGATTTAGCAAAGTTACTAGTGGAGTGCCATAATACGCAACTACGAAAAGCGAAATTGAATTGAAAATAGTTTTATATTAAGATACATCCATTAGTGTAATTTTAGATTTTACAATTAATAAGTATTTAATTAGATATTATAAAATTAAAATATTTTTTTATTTAAATTATTTTTTTTTTACTAAACTTCTGCAGTTAATTTTTATTTTATTTGTTTAATTTTTGCAGTCTTTTATTTGTAAAATTTTGAAAATGCAATTTTTGTGTACAAATAGGAGATATTCATTTTTGAATAAATTAATCCATATGGTGGTATCATAAGTAATGATTGAGAAAAGCTAAAGTTTATTGCAAATTTCTTTTTGCAAGTTCACCATTTATAATGACTAATATCAATATCAAAGCACATCATATTAATTAAATTTTCATTATTTTTTTTCACTATCACTGATGAGTCATAATTAAAAATGGTTTCATTTGCATTCTTGCAAAATTTCAGGCAAATTCTTCAAATAGGATTTATTAAGTCTGTATTTCTATTGAATACAAAGAAATGTAGTTTTAAATATTATTTTATTTTGACAAGGATTGCAAGAAAAATTACATTTTTACGATTAACACAATTCTAGATGGATGCATTCAACGCCCACAATGATCCTTGCAATGTAGGTCAAACAGGTGGATATGGAGATGAAAAGCTTTCATGCCAGCAGCACGAAAATAACCCGCGTTTTGTGCCATTTGCAAACGAACGGACAAGAAATAAATTTAATTGAAGGCTATAATCAGAATTTGCAAGGGTAATTTGGAGAGGTGCCCAATATAAATGGGACGAATTGTCGGCACCGCGCATGAAGTTGGTTGTTAGTCAATTAACCCAGTTGAACTTTCGCGGATGGCTTGATACGTACGAGTGGCCTTTAGTCGGGGAGACCCCTGCGGGTTGCGGACATTTTGCTCCCCGCGCGTGTGTGTTTTGCACTATACCAGTGTGTTCTGCTGGCCGTCTAACTGCCACGCTAATTTCCTCCTCTAAAGTAAATACACACAGGGCACGCATCGCACCATCGTTGCTCGTTTGCAAAATTTAGCTGTTGCCCTCGAAATGGCAGGATATAAAAGTGGTGTGCCGCTCCACGATTACGGGGCCATAACACTGGGGGCATTTACTGACAAAAAGGGTTGGGGGTTAAAACGGAATAATTATAATTAAATGTTTTTTTTTTTCTTATTTTCATATTTTTGTAGTTAAAAAAAAATGTATAATTCAAACTCACCAGAATTAAAAATTCATTACAGAAAACAGTTTTTTGATCAATTTAAGGGCATTTTTAATTTTGCATTAAATCTTCATATCGGAATGGTCAAGTGCATCAGCAACAATGAAAAAAGTTTTGATTGTTGCTTAAGCTCTCTGATTGGGTACAAGCAAAGTTGTACCCAATCAGAGAGCTCGGCAACAATCGAAATTTGCTGATGAGCGGACCTTGGGAGTGGTGAAATCTTTGATTCAATCAGTTAGATTACCAGATGTTAATTTGATTTTTTTTAATATTTTTTATAAATTAGAAAAAGTTGTTCTCACCACTTCTGATTGGGAAAATTATTTCGGACTAAGCTTCTATAGTTAAAATAAGCAAAATATTTTTGCGGAAAATTAAATAAAACACGGAGGCTTGAGCCGCATGCCGACAATGAATGCAGGTGAACGCGCGCGCGGGATATCCAATTTCGCAGGGATTATTCTCAACTCTATTTACGGCTGTTTGCTCGACTACTCTAGATTGTGTACAGCAAGCATTTCGTCTCGCGCGGCTGTGCATCAAGGTAATAACAATCGGGCGCAAACACCGCCGACCTGCTTTGCCGGCCGGGTAAAGCGCACTCGCGTTTCAGAACACGCAGAGTTCATTACACAACAACACGCCCGGGATTCCAGTTGATTAATGTGGCCGCGCGGCATTCCGATTGGAACGTGCTGCATTTCCTCCACCGCAATCAAATGCAAATAAACCCCCAGCAGGCTATCCTGCGAATAGCAGCTGCCAATTGCCTTCATCTAAGCCACTCAATTAAGATTTGAGCGAAATATACCTTGAAAAGTTAATCATGAATCATTTGCTTGGTTGTTAAATTCTTCATCGCTAAAATAAAATAATAAAAAATGTTTCCTAAAACCTAAATTTAATTTATAGGACTATCAAACTCGCAAATGGAAAGGACGTACTTTCTTTTCAGCGAATTAAGATTAATTTGATACAAATAATTCATTATAAATTTATTCTAGAGACGTATATTTTTAAATACAAGCAAATTTTAGAAAACTTATTAACTTCCATAAACTTCATGCATGTATTTTGGAATTAAATTTAAAAAAAATTAAATTATAAAACATTATGAATTGGTGCATAATGCTAAATTTTCGATTGTATAAGTCTTATTAAGACTTAAAAATAACTTTTTCCCAGAATAATAATATGCTAACATAGCTGGAAATATATCATGAAATGAAATAAAAATGAAATTCTTTTTCTGTAATTGCAAGGTTTAGAATTTCACAATTGGTACTATTCTCTGGGAAAACAAGGCTTTTGCTTGTTACTGTGTTGTTCTTCTTGTGTTTAAACGCAGTAAAATGTTGCTCAATAAAACCGATTGCACGTTGCTGGCACGCAACCCGAGGAGAACGCACAAGAGTTGGCAACAAGTTTTATTTTAAGACCCATAACCAGCACCGGCTGGAATAATACAATTTTTTCACATTTCTGTTGTCAAAGTAAACTTCTTTTGTCTAGACGAATTGATTTTTGCCAGGAAAGAGACGGAAAAAACGTTTTTCCCCTGAAAAGACTGTTTTAATTTGGATAATTACAAAACCAATTAAAATGCAAATAAATACAACTCAATTAAAGCACCACAAAGGACCCAGCAGCTTGTGAAAATCCGCTTTCGCCGCCGCCTGAAAGTTGAATGAATATTTAGAAAATTCCCGAGTGGTTTTTCATGTAATTTCGTTTTGGCTGGCTGCGTCGTTTTCACTGGTCTGCTGAAATTGGGCAAAATTATTTCTCTCACTCAAATTTATAATTTTAAATTGTTTCGCTAATTTTTTGCAATTGATGATAAATTTTGAAAAATATACACAGCCAAAACTTGCTCCTGAAAATATGTAAACATGATTTGTTTGTTTTACTTTGCGGAAATGTTATTTTTATTTTTAAAACTTGTTATGTGAATCCTTTCAGGAAGTTTAAATTACTAGCGAAGCAAATATTGAAAAATTATTTGATTCCAATGCCACTTTAACCAAATTAGCCAGAACACGAGATTAAATAATCTAGGGACCTTGAAAACTGTTTGCACTTTTTGTAACACTAAAATCAAGTATTTGCCCGGAATGCCTGCCTCGGCCTGCCTCATTTTCTGCATCGATTGTCCGATAACGGTTGTTAACCAACTTATCCTGGTGTGCAAAATGGCGCTGCTTTAATTGCCGCACCGCGACTCGGGCGAGTCTGCAGCAACACCATCAAATAGCTCTCGGAAAATGTTTCCCTAAAAAGCGGCGAGCTGCGCTGTCGGCGGGCGGGCGGACACGTCGGGAACGCCACACGCACTGCTGGCTCGAGAGGCTAATGCAAATCGCTCCATATGGTAATCTGGACATTGAACGAAGCCATTCGCGGTATTGCTCTCTCGCGAGATAGATTTGCACTCACTGGGAATTCGCAGATTGTTTGTTGCTCGGCAAATGACGAGCGCGAATCGCGAGCTGCCGCTGAGCTCTAATGAGATGGAAATGATTTGCGCGTGAATTGTTCGCTCGCTGAGCTGCTAAAAGCGATCCAGATTGCGCCTCAGAGTGAGCAAATATATTCACAACCAGAATGCTTGCTATACGTGAGACGTTCTATATTTTTTGTATTTGACAACAGAGGGTATGGAATTTCAATTAAATTTTGAATTTAACGTATTAAAAATAGTGGAATGATTTTAGTCTCAACCGATCTCATAATATTATGAAATTAAATAGCTTCATTTAAAATATTTAAAGGCTGGGGAAAAATTAAGCTTTAAAAATATTAATTGTTATTTTTACTTCCGAAATTACCGTAAATAAAATAAATGTGTAGGAATTATGAGGATAATTAATTGCAAAAAGTAGAACCAATTACGTCAGAGGCACTCAAAAGTTGATGAGGATTCCATCGTCGGGCGTATTGATGCGATGCGGAGAGTCAAACTAATGACCCCTTCGCCGGTTTAACAGGATCTGCTGGAGCGGTTCATTATTTATTTTTTAATCTTCTTTCCACCCTTGCCTTTCCCGATGCAAATTCGGTTTGCAAGAAAAAAGATCGTCCGTTGATCGAAAAAGGAGGATATTCCGGACGGAAAAAGCTGCGGCCGCCTAATCTTGTCAATCCATCAGACGAGGCATTTAATTTGAATGCTGCCTCCCGTTGAGCATTAAAAAGAAGCTTGTTCGGCCGAATCAATCATTCTTATTGGCTCCTTTCCCTGAAAAGGATATCGACAAGCGGGAATTCAAAAAGCAACCTCTTTTCATTCCGTTCTTTTTCATCCAAGGAAATAAATCTCAATTTTGTCTTCGCGGAATGGACGCCTCTTAAAAGTCAAATTGCTGCGTGGAAAGTGCGCTTTTAGCGGTTTCCTCCCACCGGCCGTTTTTTGTTTGTTCTTTTTTCAACAATCCTTCTTTCTTTGTATCCAGTGGGGCAGCCAGTGTGGTCAGAAATGCGAAAAATCCACTGGCAGCAGCTTCAGAGGCGAGAGCGAGCTGGGATTGTGTTGTCGAGAGGCAAAAAGAAAATCGTTTCGAGCTGGACCCTCCGCTCTGGGAGCGTTGGGAAATGTGTTTGACCAAGAATTAAAAGCTTTTGATGTTAACAGAATGAATTCATTTTATACAAATGCAGCTAATCTGGTCATACAAAACCGTTATAAATCAAATTAGAATTTATTTTAAGAGCTCTTTTGATAACATAGTTATACAATAGGATACTTTTTTTGTGTTCCATAAATAACTATCAAGAGCATATAGAGCTATAAAATGAAATTTGATATAATTTTTATTTTTTTTTTATTTTTTTAATTTAATATATTTAAGTAAAAATGCTTATTAGATCAGTATCAGATTTTCTTTGACTGCATTTTTTCTTTTTCTAACTTAATTCACAGGCATATCTCAAGATGGAGAAACAGAAAAATAATTTTTGTGTAGTAAAAATTGTAAAAAAGGTTTTTTCTTTGATCCGCATTACCGTTAATATATATTTTCTAATAAATAAAAAAATAGAGAAAATTTTGCTCTGCGCCTCTGCGCAAGATGTTTTCTGTTTACTTTATGACTGTATCCGACCGTATCCATTGTTGATATTCAAACGGAGATCAAACGAAAAATATTAAAAATAGTGTTCACCTAATTGACCTCATTTGACCCTATTTGAATTTCTGTTTCAGCCATTTTGAGCACTTTGTGCAAGGAGTTCCTCTCCGTGAACGTGTCGGCGATCCTCTACCTGATGAACCACGAAAAGTACGGTCGTTCGACGGCCTCGGCGCAGTACTTTTTGCAGCTGGCCGGCTACTTGGGCATTCCGGTGATCGCTTGGAACGCCGACAACTCGGGTCTAGAGAGGGTGAGTATTGCTTTGTTAATATTTGCACGGCACCGCTCAGATCGATGCGAATGCCCCGGGCAGACCGCAAAACAAACAATTCTTTTCTTCTGCCCTCCGACCCACCCCTTTATTCTCGCCGACGCATTTCGTCACGTGCCAATTAATGAAACTGGCTCTTTTCTATTGTCCTTGAATCACATTTTTTTTATTTGCCATATTCGTCACGCAGACGGCGTAGTCGGAAAACTAATAATGCGAAAGTTGATTGAGTCTCTTTTTGCCGGAATGCCAACTTGCGTCCGTCTTGGCAAGAATTATGCGAAAGTTTGTCATTTTGCAGAACGTGCCTCCCGCAGCTTTATCCGCTATCGGAACAAGAAATGAGCTGGAATTTGGTCTGGTAGCTTTTTTGTAGCTCTGGCCCCATCTGAGATAAAGAATCAGCGTTCGTAACGCGATCGTTTTTGTTGCAAGTCTTTGACTTGGCAAATCACAGTTGTAATTTTTTCAGTTTTCTATATTTTGTAATGATTTATCTATCTTCAGTAACTTATATGTTCCTTATCAATCAGAACCCCTTCTGAATCTATTTACATAATTTTACTGCATATACGGTATATTTGTAGTTGAGCTGCTGCCAGTAATTTGTATGTCCTGCAAAATTTAATTGGTTTTTTTATGGTTAAAAAATACTATCAATATTTTCAACAGACATTCTTATTGCATTTCCTTTAATTATTAATTCTTAAGTAATTCAAAACAGATGTAAAATTTGAAAATTAAAATTAAAAATCACCTCTCCATTAATTATAAGCCATATAAAGTTGTTTTGAAAAAAATCCAACATTTGGAAACCGAGAATTGAATACATTAATTATATCATAACTCATTATTGCATAATAGTATTTATTCCTTAGCCTGAAGGAACATCTGAAATTTCGCACTGCACCCAACAAACAGTCTAACCCTGTTACGTCTATATTATTAGATGTCTAGTATGAACTGCGTCATTGTTACCAAGGATCAAACGGATGCAAGCAACGCGCCGAGCGCCTGTGTTTGGCAAGTTACATAAACTCATTGTCGGTAGGCGTTTGCTTCGAGATAGTGAGAGTTGAGAAATGAAATTCCTGGTGTCGGTGCCACGCTCTTTGTAAGCTAATCAAGGGCTGCGCTGAATGCAGTCGGTGTAAATTGAATTTCGTTCAAGTGCCAATTTTATCAGGCACTCCACAACCGTGTCTTCAGAAAATACCCTTCAAACACGAGATACATCTTACTACGATAACATCTTAAAGTTGGAATTCGCTTAAAAGTCACGGCATCAGCAGCAGATTTGAAAAACTCCAAAAGAGTTTTTTTTTTAATTTGCACATAACTCATGTGGAGCAGTGAATAATTCTTACTTTTGAGCCATTATTAAAATTATTAGGCCATTTTTTAACGAAATACTTTCCAACAAAAACGGAAGATTTAGATTTTCTCTTAAATATATTCAAAACTCTTGCAAGCTGTGACTTAGTTATGAATTATTTAGTGGAAGGACTGGAAGGCATTTACGTAAAAATCATAAAAAGCCGAGTCATTATTTTCCTCTAAAAATTTGTTCTCTTGTGAAAGAGCTTTAGTGATTCCTTTTGCAAATTTATGGGCAAGAAAATAAAATTAAATAAATCTTGAGAGAATCGGTAAGAAGATTAAAAACCAAAACTTAAAACTGTGTTGTTTTTTTTTAAGAATTTGTAAATGCGGCAAGTTTTGTGGCAAGATAGATATTTTATAAAAATAGTATAAAACATACTTAGTTTATTTCTAAGATGAATATATAATTTTAGCTATCACCTTCAAACTATAGTATTATCATCTTAACTTTAAAGTGGAATTCTCTTAAATTTTTTCAGTATGTTTAAAGAAGATCTTATTTTCAAGGAATTCTTCCATTACATTTATTGTTGGCATCAATAGACTTTTAGCTTTTGATAAAAGTCTAGAAGCGAAGCATCCCTTCTTCATTGATGTTTGTGGAAAGCTTTTAACTTTGGAATAGGACACCTTGGGAACGGGGTCGGTTGATTTGCTGCCATGAACATCTTACACGCCACGGCAGCTGCTTCCGCACTCGCGGACAGAAAAGCGTTAAAACGCAGCCTCGCGCTTTTTACTGCAGAGTTATTTCGCGGCCCATTTCTCGGAAAAGCGCTCAAGGCTCAAGCATATTTCATTCTTTAAACAAACCGGCATAGCAAGCTTATAATTAGCAAGCCTAAGTATTTAAAAGCTTCACATTATTTTTGCTCCACTCGGTCGGAATTCGGCTCTCGATAATGGTTTTCTGCTTCCAGGCTTTAAGTAGACCACACTTACACAGATAATTTTTCCAGAAATAACTTTGTAGAAAGAGCGGCTCTTCCTCTCCTCCAATTTTATATGCCAAAGGGTGCAAATCATGAAAATTTGCTGACATACCACTAGTCACTGGTGGACCAATGAAGCAACGATAAATAATTTCAACCTTTTTACATACAGATATGGCCGAAATAAATTTCCTGTCTTTTAATGAATTAAAAATAATTCAAATAAACACACACTAAAAATTCAACAAGCTCTGACAGGGATTTGACAGATTTAGATTAATAACATGTTTATTTCAATAGAAATGTATTTAATGGCTCTTTAATTGAAGAACTTTCACCAACACAGCTATAGAGATAGTCGTTAAAAAAAAAAAATCAACCTTATTATTTAAAAATCCTTATTTGTTTTCATGTTGCTAAACTCTTACTATTTTATTAATAATTTAAAAAAAAATAAGATCATTTTATTCTTCTGAAAGATACCGTTCCAAAATCTCAAGCACCACCAGTACTAAAATTACTATCTAAGACTCGCATCAAGTTTAGCCACTAAGCAAAAAGTAACCCCTTTGCCCTTCCAGTACAATGCATAATCCGGCAATTAAGTGCAACCCCGATAAACAACTTCTGCAAAGAGGGGTGAGCGTCAAAACCCCAAATATGCACAAGGGCTAATTTGGCGCGCAGCCACTCAAGCGTGTTGTTAATGTGTGTTTAGCGAGCGTCGCAGTCGAGTCTGCAGCTGCAACTGGCGCCTTCCCTGGACCACCAGACGGCCGCCATGCTCAGCATCCTGGAACGCTACAAGTGGCACCAGTTCTCCATCGTCACTTCGCAAATCGCCGGCCATGACGATTTCGTGCAGGCCGTCCGCGAGCGGATCATCCTAATGCAAGACCGCTTCAAGTGAGTACAACCACTTCAAAGCTAAAACGAAATCATTGCCCCTTCCTCTGATCCCTCCACACATTTCTGTCTGCCAAGTTTGAGGAAGAAGTGTTTTCCGCTTATCTCTTCAGTTAAACACGCGTAAAGTGCTGCTTGTTCTTGGATGAGGAAATATTGATCCGCGAGCTCCGGACGAATAGAAATTCTTGGAAAGGGAAAACCGAATTTGCCTTTAAGTTGAAGCTACAATATTTTTTTACTTTTCGGAGCTCTTTTTTAGATTGTCAATAAATGTATCTTTCTTTTTCTAGTGCTATAAGTTTTACAATACCCAGCGAACACATTTTCCCCAGGGCAACTCATGTTGAATCACTCGTGACATACTTTTTTGCAACTATTCCAATACTTTGAAAGATTGGAAGATAAAATGTCACAAAGGTGCAACCATTTTAGATTCTGAAAATATCTCCCATCCTAAATCATTTAAACATCTGCTATTTCCTTAGAGCAATGAAAATAACTAAAAATCAATACTGTCTATTTTATGATATGAAATATTTTTGGAAGTAAACGCATAATAACACTTGAAAAAGTTATCATAAGACCCTATAAGCCCAGAAATAGCGAGTTGCATTTCTTATTACCCTGATTGGTTTTCAATTTTATGTATGACATTGTTCAGTGCAAAATTTTTTGACAGGTTTTTTTAACATCTGGCGTGACTTAAATTTTGAACTAACAATTATGTATAATAATATTAATAAAGACAAAATGCAAAATATAATTTATTGTTATATCCTTTGATCATGGACTGTGCGTTCTGAATTCTAACAAAAATATATTAAATTATTTTTTAAATTGCTTTATGTCAAACAATTAGAATTGAATTTAACACAAAATTGAAAAAAAATTGAAAATTTTGATTTTATAATTTTAAATTAATTTTAAAATATAAAGAAAATAATATGATAAATTGTTTAATTAAAAAAAAAATTATTATTTTTTTTTAATAATAATGATAATGTACTATTATGTTATACATTTTATATTATTTAGCGATTTTTCCATTTGTATGAAACAGATTTACCATTCTCAACACTGTGGTTGTCACTCGGTCGGCTGACCTAAAAGAGCTGCAGAACTCCGAGTCCAGGGTGATGCTGCTGTACTCGACCCGGGAAGAGGCGCAGCACATTTTGGCCGCGGCGAGGGACCTGAAGCTCACAGGAGAGAATTACGTTTGGGTCGTCACGCAGAGTGTCATCGAGAACAGACAGACCATGTCCCAGTTTCCAGTCGGCATGCTTGGTGAGTACAAACCACACACATTACGTTTTATTACTCTGTCTTGCATAAAACACACTACAACATTGTTGTTAAGAAAGTTACAAATAAGAAGATATTATTTAAATCTATCAACTAAAAAAATTGGAAGGTTTATTGTTTGATAAATAGAAACGTTTTAAAATTCAAGGACTGATTAAAATTTTATTATTTTGAAATGACTCAAAGCCATGATTAATTTTTTAAATTAATTAAATGAATTAAAATTATGAAGAATGAAAATTTTAAAAATATTCATTAATGTCAAAAAATTAGAAATATTATGCAAAAATATTTTACAGATCTCTACTTTCAAAATAGGCTTGCGGGAATTAAAAGTTTCATGATGTAAAAAACATTTCTAAGAGTTTTGCCAGTTATATTTTTAATGCCAACTAGTAAATTAAAGATTTGCTTAAAATTTAGTCTATTATGAGGCAGTTGGGCTCGATAAAATTGGCAGCACGTGCTCTCAGAATTTCCTTGGGCGCGTGAGCTGCTTTTCTCAGATAAATTGAAAGCTGTTTCGTGCTGTTTCTGGGTCGCGAAAGAAACTTCTCCGCAAACCAGGCAACAAAACAGAACGCGGAAAAGAAATCATCCTGGGCATTTCGGCAACTTTTCTCTGCATCTCACGCGGCGCGTGGGGATGAAATCAATGTTCGGCAGATTGAATGCGCGATGAAAACTTTCCGCAGATCTGCCGCTGAGGGACGCAAGAGAAAGGAACAAGTTTTCGCTTGCGTGGGGGCAGAAAGAACACTTGTAAAAATGCGAAGAGCTGCAACTTTTGTTGGTTCACTGTAACTGTCCCTTTTTACGCCCATGCCGAGGAAATATTAGCTTATAACTGTCACAGTGCAGACGGTGCCAGAAATAAAGAGGCAGGCAATCATGCAAATGTTCTCGGAGGTGTCAACTCCCACTTTCCTTCTCTCTTTGTCACGCCGTAATTGACTTTTGAATCATTTATTCGGCGACCGCAAACGTGAGGCCCCGGTGGAGCAGTGCCGAGTGCCGACCTTTTGACTGAAAGCCTGCCGCGATCCAGACGTTCTCTTTGGCCCCATATTTCCGAAAACACGCTGCATTATTAAAGAGTAGCAGCTTCGGGTAAATAAAATATCGCCCAGCAGCTTTTATCCTGGCAGCCGGGGATTTGTGTTCTGTGTGCAACTTTCCTCCCGAGATTTCATTTTCAGCCGACAGCGGTGCGAGGCGTGACAAATGCAGCGCTGCTCATTTTTCCCTTCGTGTAAGATGCTTTCCGGGACCTTTCAGTTTTTTACCCGCTCGTCTATTTTTAACAACAGACTCCCCCAGTGAAAATGGAGAGAAACGGACGCATTTTTATCATGTGTGTTTATTTATCGTTTTTTTCTTTCATCGCATGTCAGTTTTTTTCCAACAGTCTGTCCGTTTGAAAGATGGATTTATACAGTATTTGAATAAAAGACATTTTGTTTTTGGAGGAAATTGCGTGCCGTGTAAAAAAAGTATGTCCTTACCTTCAAAGCAATTAGTGTATTAACTTCTAGGATAAAAAAAAATTAAAAACAATTCACTGAAAATTTTTTAAATTTTAAATTTAAAGGAAAAAGCACACATATTATGATATTATGCATCAGAAATATCTAGTATGTACATTTGGAATATTTCGCATCAAACAATTTTTTACATATTTATAAACATTATTCTGCTGGAGAAGAGTATAACTTGATTTCATGTAAAGGAAAAATACAACTTTAATTGCGCGAGTAATTGAAAAATTACTATATAAATGTAGGCAGAGCTCAGTCACGCGCCATTTATTTTAAACAAAAATTCAAATTTACAATTCTTAATTTTACGATCTGAAAAGAGAAACATAAAAAATTTCATCACAGAATGGAACTTAATGCAATCAAAAATAGCCAATTTATATTTCTTTTGATTTATGAAAAATGTTCATATTGCAGTAATTAGGACTAATTAAGCGTTTTGAAAAGGATATCAATTAAAAATATAAGAGATATATTTCAAAGTTTTGCAAAGGAAAAGCCGGATTTTCATCCAGGATTGGTGCCATCTTTACTATTGTTTTATCCACAATGACAAATATTGCAAAGTCTGACTTTGTGTCGCCGCGGTGCTACATTTTTGTCCAAATCGATATGTGAGAGCACTGATGTGGATGGTATTAGCGCTGTGTGTAGGACTGTCAGCGTCGTCTCGTCATTTCCAGCGTCGCATTTATTTCCATCAATATTAATTGAACACAACTTTCGTCCTTTCGGTGAAGCAAATTCAATTTTTCTCCTGTCATCACATTTCAATTTCACGTTACCAGCTGGGAATAACCTTATCTCACAATGCCCAACGTGCAACGCAACGGAGATCGAAATTCGCCATTTGAAAAGAGGGAGGACGATTGTCATCCCTTCGTTTGGTCCTATTGTGGACTTCTTTCCGCAAAGACCCACAAAAAAAGAAGTCTTGCTTGACTAACTCGATTTTGGCAAGGTCTCCTTCTTCATTATCGCGAGACTCAATCAGATTACGCAGAAGGGAAAACAAGAGTTCGCGTACCGCGGTCGGAAATGTTTCCAATTTGATAATTCTCCATGCCATTTCGAACCGCTGCGGCGCATCTCCGGCTCGACGGCTTCCGAGTCGCATCTGTGGACGAAACTCACGCAAAGTAAGTTCATCTTAATCGATTTTGGTGTAATGATCTTGGTTTTGCAATGGTAAGAATGAGACTTTAAGATAAGACCCTTTGCGCTCCACTTTCTTATCATTGCTCTTAGCTGCCACCTCTTGACCTCAATAATAAAAATTACGAATTAGTTGTAGCTTTTAGCGTAGCACATAATTTATTGAAATAAACTGTAATTCAATTATCTCAAAATTTATAAATGTATGAATATTAAAATTTTATACTAAAAAATTTATCATAGAAATAAAATACAAGTAAAATATAAACTATTTTCGAATTTTTATATTGATTAAATTTAATACCGTAAACAACTTCATTTTAACTAAACAATTTCATTGCAATTGTTCTAATTTTTATTCAAAACAATTTTGAATTTTACAGTATTAATAAATAACGGAGATTAAAATATTGTATCCCTAGATATCAAGTATATTTTTCGCTATTGTGTTTTTTCCACCCTCACGCCAAGCACCCATGAAAGGCGTCATTTGATCCCTGCTGATCAAATATATTGGTGATCATGGAGCGGGCGAGTGGGAAATTTCAATTTATTTTCGCTTTCCAGGGATCCTCTGCTGGTCTGCTCGTGCGCTGCTCAAACAAAATCTGTGTGGTGCTCCGTCCGCCTGCCCTCATCGGAACGAAAATAAAATTTATTCCTAGCGGCTGGCAAATATTGGAAGTTGAACACAAACAAAAATCGACGAGACCTGATGAGCAGCGCGCAGAACAAAACACCTCAGGGGCGTTGGTTCGCGAGCCATTGTGCAAGTTGTGTAGGACTAAACGAGCAGCAGCAACCGGGCGAGCAAACATACCACAGGCTGCAGATAGGGGATGCGTTCGCCATTTAGACAAGAGCAGTGCTCTGGGTGCGTTTCCACGCCACTGGCTTCGTTGCCAAAACAGGGGCCGTCGATTCCGGTCTTATTGGAAGAGCAAACAACTGCTCTCTGCGATGGAAAGGGTCCAGAGACGGACCGACCGTCGGCGGCGGCAGCATTCAAATCCAGAGATGCGAGTAATTACTCGTCGGCTGGTCAAAAAGTCGCTTTCTTTTGTTGGCTGCAACTGACGTGGATGACTTGGCGGTTTCTTATTATAGTTTGAAAGGCTTTAATCTACTTTCTTATTTTCTTGTTCTTTCAAGTATTTTTCGTATTTTTTTTCTTTTTACTTTGATTCACTTTGATTGATGAATTTTTGAAACTGCCACCGTTTTAAAATTTTAACCTTGTAATCCATCAATTACAAGCTGTTGATTGCATATTTTTTTTTTAACAAGTGGTTTTTGGAAGATATTATATATAAGTGCTGGGATAGCCTGAACTGATGGTGAGAAAATAATTTAATTAATTATTTTTTTGTTTTAAATACCATCGGTCGGTATTCATACATGGTGAGAAAATATGAACTAAATGTGAAAATTGAAATTAGAGAAACCATACTGATATGCCATTTTTTTTAAGTTGTATAACAAGATTAAAAGAATTAAAATTGCTATCATTTTTGCAATACGTTTTTTTAAAGAAAATGGAGAGTCGATCAGAAGAAAAATTGTTTTCAATAATAATAAAATGACAATTATTGTTCTTAGTTCCTATTTACGAGCTTTTTTTAGCATCAAACTCTCTTAACGATCAAGTTTTAAAACTTCCAAAGGGTTAAATCCCTTGGTCTTGACATTCTTAAATTACGTAACGCATCACTTTGAAACTTTAGCTTATTCGTGATTTATGCTATCAGAAAGTTTCATGATTTCGTGACGCAAAACAGTATCAGGTTTATGAGCTTTTATTTATATTAAAATGCGAATTTCATTGTATCAATCCAAATCAATTTATTCAAATTTTTTAAATTTCTAATTTACCAAAATGTAAAATGAATTCTGAAACTTTTGGCTTTTTTGCTAAAGTAAACCACACTTTTGAAATTACCATAATTATTTTAAACTGAACTTGCCCTCGGCATGGTGAGTGGAGGCGAGCGCTTCATTTAGAATCGGTTTGCGTAGCCGCGAAAAAAACTCGCTTTTCAAGAGGCCCTCGAAAATCCCCCTCTCGGTGTGCGTCTGAAAAGGGTGCGTGCATAAGACTCGCAAAGAGGGAAATCATAATTCATGCGGCTCCCCTATGCAAATACTGCGGATCTTCGCTGCTCACCTTATTTGGAATTAAAGTGCTCAGCTCTCTCGCATGCACCAAGATGATGGGGGGCGAATCCCAATAACAAATGGGCCTGGGCTCGAGTTGCCTGTATTTCCTCTCTCGCGCCTGCCGAGAAGCCAGCAGGAGCAGCGGGGAAATTAATTCGTTCGCGCGCTGAAAGAATAAAACCTTGTTGCTGGCTGCCTTATAATTATGCCTGAGCAGCGTCAGCCAGTTTAATTACGAGACTCGTGTTAATTACACGCACTCAAACACAGCAGCACGCTGATAAATTTCATGGCCTCTGCTGCATTGCTGGTCTTTTTATTCGTCGAAACAACTTTGTTGCTCACTCCTAATTTGGCGCTCGTTATGAAATTGTCGCTGCGCGTCTCAAATTAACTCGAATTTTCGCTCGTCTCCAAACAGCCATTAGCGCAGAGGAAACGCTGCTTTATTGTGATAATTATCTGCTATCTCATTTCCCCTCCGTCTGTGTGAAAACTAGAATACGTCTCGTCCATTTGGTTGCAGATAAATTACATAGATCCATTACAAAGTTAATTACTGTAAATACAGAGAGATTCATCTTGCATAATTAATAAATGAATGTTTAAGGTTGCACATTAGACAAACTTTACAAAATTCGGGACACGTACATTTTTAAGATCCATGTAAAGAAGATGTAAAAAAAAATCATGACCATTCAGATTATTAATATGCATTTTTTCCCTTGTACAGTTTGATCAGAAACAATAAAAAAGATGTTAAAATTTTATAGGCTATTTAAAATGTAGAAAGACGTTTATGAAAATTATTTATAATTAGGTTATTTTTTAAGCAGATTGCGATTATTTTAAAATGACACAATACTCCACTCTTTGTATTCATATTCTAAAAAAATCTACATCACATATATGAATTGAATTTAACATTAGTCGTTCATTTTAAAATATTTGTACAACTTCAACTAGACGTAGTACATTTTTCGCACAATTTTTGAAGACCCTTGACTCCCTTGAGTAATTTCACCAGGACAAACAATGTATTTTAAAATAAGATGTGTGATGTGATATTTTTAGATTTCACCATCGTACTAGTAAATTTTGTCATACCGTTTTCGGAAACACTTTTTATAGCCACCTTATTCAACTTTTTGATCCTTACCTATTTGCCCGCGTCATTTCGTGCAGCATTTGCTTGGCCTTCTAATTACATTATTTGCGAAAAGTTTCACGTATGCAAGTTGGGCAATAAAATCTCGACTTGTGCCACTCGCTCGCGAGAGTATGTGGAAACTTTTTTAATTTGCATCCGGCGGGGTGAAAAAGTTGGGCAAACACACACACGTTGGAATTCAGCGTGTGTGTTATGGGCACGTCCCATATTACGTAGCGACAGCGCACACGTCGAGAATCCTGCTTTCCGAATGTAACAACCGGTTTTATACAAGCCCCGGAAAATGTGGAATTCGGTGAGAGTGCCCTTCACCCGTTATCCGCGATGGCAAACATTCTCCCAGGATGTTTTGCCAGCAGTGACCACACTCACAGTACAACAAAGTCAAACAACGTTTCTTTCGTTTCTTTTTTCTTTTAACTTTTTACCTACCAACAAGAAAGACTGTTGCTCACAACAGCGGCCGTGTGTGTGTTCTACATACATATCAATTCTGCTGCACGCACGCCAGCCGATATAAAAATTCAGCTCCCTCCCCGTATGTGTACTCGCGTGCTGCTGAATAAATTGTGACATCCTTTGCATATAATTTATAGCCGGGGAACGTGAGCTTCTTGAGTGGATTTTCTGTGCATTATTCGCCTTCGGTTGTAAATTTGTGACGTACGTTGTGCAAAAAGAGAAGGTAATTTTGGCTATATAATTTATAAGCAAACATTATGCTTTATTTTATAGTAAAAAATGCATAATTTAAACAATGTTTTAACCGCTGTACAGTAAAAAGTTAGAAATGTTCATATAAACTGTGTTTAAACAATTTATTATTATTTATGTACGCTCAGATTGGATCAGATCAGGTGATAACGCATCTTGAAAATTAATTACAATCCTGACTTCTGAAATTTTCAAAAGAAAAAAAAATTTAATTTTTTTAGGTGAATGAATAACTCGTGCTTTTTCCTCGTCGAACAAATTGTTTTTATTCGAGAACAAGACGGCCCTACCAGTTTTGGTTACGGTCTGCAACTCTGCAATGACTCCATTTCATGAGCAGGAAAAATACAGTAGAAAATCAGCAAATTGAAAAACACACATTTATTTTTGACAAACAATTTCTTCTTTTTTTTTTGCATCTTTTACCAAATGTCTATGATTTTTTAACATTTTTTGTTGTTATGCAAGTATAATTTTAATTAAGCAATTTTTTTTATCCTTTTTTAAGTAAAGAGATCTAGTTTCTTGAGTTAAATTACTAAAGACTATGTTTTTGTATTTTGTGCACGCAATTGAATATTCACTTCAGCACTCAGTGAAAATGAAGCCGCCAAGGTCGAATAACTCGAAAATGAATTTGAAAATGAGGTCGCCGGCGTTTACTCCAGTTAACGAGCTCTCACTTCTCTAAATTGCGGCTTGTATGAGAGGGTGGAACTTTAATTAAAGCTGGTATTTACGATTTACCATTATTGTAATGCAAGCACCAAAGCTGCAATAGAGATCTTATATTATATTCTTTCAACATTAATATAAAGTATGGAATTCCAATTATTGTGGCTGAGAACAGAAAAATAAATGAAAAAAATATTATCACTTTTAAAAAGTAACGCATCAGAGGATGAATGAACTGTTTAGCCTTGAAACAAAATTATATTTATTGATTGTTTGATTCACTATCTCAAACTGGAAATAATGCCTCTTCTAGGAATTACATATTTACATTTTAAACCACTAGAAAACCACGTTTGAATAATTCTCCAAAGTTAGCAAATCTGCAAAAAACTGCCAAAATTTATATCAAAACTATTTCTAATCTGACTCGTTTTGTTTGGCTTTGGTTTCAGGTGTGCATTTCGACACAAGCATGAGCAGTCTGGTGAGCGAGATCACGACCGCCATCAAAGTGTACGCCTACGGGGTGGAAGACTTCGTCAACGACAACCGAAACAAGAATCTCTCTTTGAACACACAGCTGTCCTGCGAGGGGATGGGGGAGTCGCGGTGGCGGGTCGGCGATCGATTCTTCAGGTAATTGGCCAACCAGAGATGACCGAGAGCAAACTCGGGGGCTAATTGAAACTTCCTCTTCTATCATCCATCCGATCGAGAAAGTGGAAAGAGCGGATTAAAAAGAGAGAGAGAGAGGCTATCATCATATTACACTTTGATGACGAAAATCCACTAATTGCGACGACCTTTTAGATGACGGCTCTATTTGCACTTGAGATAGAGATTACTCAGGCTTTGTTTCCAAAGAAGGCGACTGATTAAAGAAGGATAGTGTGTCCGATATTTTTTCTTCTTTCTTTCCGTCGGACGATGATTTTCTGCTTTGATCTCTTTGAAACGAAGGAAATCGAAGTGTTCGGCTTTGTTCCAGTTAAATCTCAATTAAGATCTTTTACATTCAAGGACCTTTTCTTTCGTAATTGAAAAAACGAAGGACGGTGTGTTAACACGGACGTGTCTTTAATTCCCTTATCGTCGCGCAACGTTTTTCGCTCGCCAAGCGTTTTTACCCTACTTTTTATGCACATTATATAAGGAAGAGTAAGAAAAAAAAGTAAAATTGATGCGCCTCTTAAATGCACATAAAAGAGGCACTGTCGGCAATTTTTTTCTCTTTCACACTCGCACCCAAGGCAGCTTTATATTAGCACGTTATCCTTTATGGACCAACGACGAAAATCAATACTCCGACCCTCACAAGGGCCCTCCTCTGTGGACGCTGCATTACGCGCGCTCTTAACCGATGGCGATGACCCATTGGCATTATTTTGGACCTTTTTTTAAGGAGTCGTCAAATAAATTAATTCTATTAATAAATTCAAATAAATTACCTTCAAAATAAAAATTATTTGATAAACATAGATTTCAGCTCTTTAATTGCATTTTTTTTTCATCTTCAGAAAATGGGAATCTAGAATGTTGAAATCGTAAAAGTAAAGTTATCAGTTTCAATTTAGTGAAAATTTTTAAAAACACGGTTGATAAAAAAATTTTAATTAATGTAAATATTCTTAGAAAAAATTAATGTTAAGTGAGATAATTGATATTTAAAATCCACTTTCCATTACTAAAATTATATAGTGAAGGTTTTAATTGCTTGATAAGAATATATTTTTTTTAACACATGACCTATTGTAAGATTTGAATTATTATATTTTAATTCGTAGATATTTGCGCAACGTGAGTGTCGAGGCGGACCAGCACGGCAAGCCAAACGTCGAATTCACAGCCGACGGGGTGCTGAAGGCGGCCGAGCTGAAAATCATGAATCTGCGACCGGGTGTGAGCAAACAACTGGTCTGGGAGGAGGTGAGCAAATTGCTAATCACGTCGCCCCGCTTCTAGGTGCATGCGATCAATTTATTCGTCAAAGGCCGACACATGACACTTTATAGCACAACTCTATAATGCGATTTGTCGAGCCAAAACTTTTACAGCACTCGTGCCTTTGATCACGGCGCTTTCTCAAATTTTATACTCGCTGATGGAAAAGTAATATGCGAGTGGTGGCGCAAATTGCCTCTTAATCAACTTAACTTTCAAGTTGCTGGAGAGTTTTCGCGCTTTTAATTTTTCTCCTTCCCCGCGGGTTGATTAAGTTTTCATCGATCTTCATACTCACAGAGCAATGGAATTTTTAAAAGTTTGCATCGTGCTGTTTTGTAAAATTTATGTTAAAATGGAAGTAAACTTAATCTATGATATAATAAAAGCGGCAATTCATACAACAAAGACGATTAAAAAATTGAATTTTTAACAAAATTTATTAATGAATTAGTTGCTCTTATTAATAAGTATCTGCTATTTTGTCTATAGAGCAATTAAAATAAACTATTCTGTATTTTATTCTAACAATAAACGAAGATTTCAGATTCTGCACTTTTTAGTAAGCGCAAGAAGTTGCATTGGAAAATTAAGTTGTGATAAATTTAGCTTAACAAAAACAAATTGAAACAAATTTTTTTTCAAATATTTATTTTTTGTTTTTTATATATTTTTATTTTTTATGAACATCTTTGTTTTTCAATTTCAGTGATAAAATTTTATGATATTTCCATCAAAAATTCTGAATTGTTGGTTTTCAAAGTCTAATTTTTAAGGTTGAAATATACATATTTTTATTTTTTACATATTATTGATTTTTCTTCTTCATTTTACACTACAAATTCCACGCAAATATTATTCAATAAACCGAGCCTTACGGTGATTTTCGCTGAAAGGAATACCAAACCGCTTCATAAAGGCAGGTTGATTCACGTCACGAGATTCGGCGATTGAATAACTCCATTGCCTCGCCAGAATTTTATTCTCCTTTCAAATCCATCTCGGTGAATTTCTTCACTCTTCTCGTTCAAATTTTCGGTGGCTTTTACGATACCAGCAACTGCGATTTCCATTTCCTTGCCCCAGTTGCGTTTCGCCATAAACAAAAATAATGTATAGCAAGGCTTCGGCTGACGACAGAAAGAGTGAATTATTAAAAGTTATTTCGTCGGCAGTTTATTATTGTATACGAGCTCGGCCTTATTTCCTCTTTTTTTCCCTGGAACGCCCAAGGATACAGGCACAGTACGCCTCTGCCTCTTTACTGTTTTCCTCGGCGTGCTGCATGCAAATTAGGCGTCATGCTTTATTAAGGGAGGAAGACGCTCAGCCAAAACAGATACTGTTTATGTGGCCAATTTTGGGCCACATGAGGGCCGAAATTCATAAAATTACCGCTTTTTACTGCTCAACTTGGCGGACTTTGCGTCTCCTTGGGTAATAAAATTGCCAAGAAAAAAACAGCTTCCTGCCAATAAAATTTCACCTTGGTGAAAAGACCCGCACAATTACAACCACTTTTCCTCCTTCTCAAAAAGAAAATTCAAAAAAAGTTACTCTCGTCTGCACAGTTTAAAATTTTTTAATTTTTGCATAATTTCCCCTGTAGATTGGAGTGTGGAAGTCTTGGGATAAGGACGGCTTGGACATCAAGGACATCGTCTGGCCTGGAAACAGCCACACTCCTCCTCAGGGTGTACCTGAAAAATTCCATCTCAAAATCACCTTCCTCGAAGAACAGCCGTACATCACCCTGACCCCACCTGACCCTGTCACTGGCAAGTGCTCCATGAATAGGGGAGTTCTCTGCAGAGTTGGGGTTGACCAAGAATTGGCACCTTCGACAGGGTGAGTCTTTAATTATAATAATCAATATTTACTTTTTTTAATAAAAAATCGTAAATAATTCAATAATTACAATCAGCAGGATGTAAATTGATGAAGGTCTTTCAATCTATATTTTCGTGATTTAGTTTTAAAATTCAAATACTATATTTTTTAAACTCACTATCTTATTATTTTTGAAATTTAAATAAGATTAGGCATCAATTTAATGATATTTTCCCTCCGCGTTTTGTTCCCTGGTCTTGTGCCAAGCCAATGTAACTTTAGCTATTCCCAATGCTTGTTTTCCCTTTTATTCGCCAACCTTTTCGACGCTGAGATTGAGACAAAATCGGAGAGCAAATTGCTTGTAAAATGGATTTTATTGTTGAGAGGCAGTCAAAGGACCCGCTTTTGTTATGGCAGAGGAGTATAGACCCTGCTCTCTTCTCTTTTGCTCTCGGCAAGTTGAATTTTTATTTGTGAAACATTTTGTGTGTCGCGTGCTCACTAGGAGAGCACGTTCTTGACTGTGCAATTTTTACTCGCCGTTTCTTTCGTCGGGCGAAAAAAAAATAAAGAAATATAAACTCTGAATGCTTTAGCCTTTAATATTAAATGCAAATGGAATTGCTAAAAAGGAGGTTAAATATGGCAGCGAGAGACAGATTTTCATTGTTGGTTCGGCGGACTGACAAAGCTAGAAAGACGCTAATTAAATGTCTCTCAGCGCCAAGATAAAAGGATGAGACACTAATTAACTGAAAAATGGGGGCAATATCATTAATTAATTAGGTGCCTTTTTCCTCTGCAAAAAGTCCTTTGTGACTTTTTATATTTTTCTGCTGGCTTTGATGGCATTATTTTTTTCGTCTATTAAAAAGGAGAAATATTGATGTCGACAAGGGAAAAAATTAGATTTTAGACTTTTTTAAAGTGTACATATATGAAAAATAATGCACCAACTACCAATTAAAGTAAATTAATGTATTTACTAGCAGTTATTATTATTTTACAACAATAATTTTAAATTAATTTCCCAGGATTTTCTATTAATAAATCATTTACGGCATTATATAAATTTTGGCTTCTCGTTTATTATAAGTCATTGGATTTAGAAATATCCAAGCAAGCATTATTTTGATGTCTTACAAGAAATTGTTTTTCATATATTATGATAGGAATTTTTCAATGAGAAGGAAATTAATGATATTTCTAAATTCATATGACAAAATAAAAGCTCTAGATAGTTTATATATGAAATTGATTAAAATTCAATAATTTGACTCCATAGCAATTAAACTACAATTAGATCAATTCAGTGACGCCTGTTAAAAATTGGTTCAAACAAGTAAACGCATTTAAAAAAAAAAAAAATATTAAAATAATGACAACTACACGAATGCTGTAAAAAATAAATATTATATTAAAATAATAATAAAATCTTAATATATAAATTAGAGTGAATTTTAAAGAGATTGTGAAATTGATATTTAATTTTTATTGCCCGTAAAACGGCATTGTAATTTTCAAAGTACATTATTTTGTCATGAAAATCGTCAAAAAAGTCATTATTATAAAAATACAGTATTTATCAATTTTATTTTTATCCTCACTATTAAACACAATTTTTATTTTTGCTTCAGCATTTTTTGAACCATTCTTTCGTCGTGAAAAATGCACACTTAATAGAGAGCTAATTGAAAAGCGGATCATTTTCACACCAGACTGCATTTTGCATGGGCTTAAAAGATACACGATTGGGTCGGCACGCAAAGTAATTAGCTTGTGGTTTGTGCCTTTCAGGTCGGAGCCGCCCAAGACTTACCACAACGGCAGCATGTACCAGTGCTGCTCGGGCTTCTGTATCGACCTGCTGGAAAAGTTTGCCGACGACCTGGGCTTCACATACGAACTTGTACGTGTCGAGGACGGAAAGTGGGGCACTTTTGAGGTAAGCTGACAAAAGTCTCTGGCACGCGGTTGTGCTTTATTTGTTCTCACTGGCGCCTCGTTGACATTCACCTCAGGCAAAATAAATTCAAGCCGGGTGTGATCGTCCACTCATGTACAACTTGCACTCACGGCCCGATTTCTGCTCTTCTTTGCCACTTGTATCCGCCGGCATGTCGGCTTCACAGACTCTTTGATCTCGTCCTCAAGTGGTTAATTAGCATCGCTCCTTGTTTCGGTCCTACCTCCTGGCAGCTAATTTGAATGAACTAATATTACAATTTTTCTGATCTTTCGTTTTAATTTTCTGGGAAAAAGTTTAGAGTTGACTTATGTGCACAATATTTAATCAAAAACTCATGTTTAAAAATAAAAAAATTACACATTCAATCATTAGAAAGGGACTTTACCACAGTGAAAGTCTAGCAAAATTTTATAATTTAGGAGTTACTTTAGTTTTTGTGGGAACTATTTGGACTTCTTTCAATTAATTCTATGAAAAAATAATTTTATTTATTGTTAAAATTAAAAATAATTCAGCATAAAACAAATAAATAGTAGAAACCATTCATGGAACATTTAAAAAAAGGAAAAACGCCGTTAAAACGATTTTTTTTTATATATAAATCTAATTTGAAATTAATTTTTTTTTCTTAATAATATTGATTTTGTTAATATTTATTTAAATTACTTCTTTCTTATGCTGTTGAATTTCACAATCTGTTGGATTGATTGTTAACAAGTAAATACATTTTAACTTTTAAAAAATGAATTTAAGAATCAAAATAATTTAACTTATTAATTTTTGTAATTTGAGTTCAGTAAAATTATAAAATTATTTCATGTAAAATTAAAATTACTTTTTTTCAAATTAACGGGGAACTACATTTTTGCATAAAGTTAAAAGCAATTTTTCATCTCATAGAATTTCGTTTCATTCACTTTTTGTCACCCAGCACGGCAAGTGGAACGGCCTGATTGCCGAGCTGGTGAACCGAAAAACGGACATGGTGTTGACGTCGCTGGTCATCAATTCAGACCGGGAGAACGTCGTTGACTTTTCTGTGCCGTTCATGGAGTCGGGCATCGCGATCGTGGTGGCCAAGCGGACGGGCATCATCTCGCCGACAGCCTTTCTCGAGCCGTTCGACACCGCCTCGTGGATGCTGGTCGGCGTCGTCGCCATTCAGGCCTCGGCGTTCACAATCTTCCTATTCGAGTGGCTGAGCCCCTCGGGATTTAACATGAAAGTCAGCCAGCCGGTCACGGTGAGCCGCATTTGTTTCCAGGTAAAAAAGGAATAATTGAAATGTATCGATTGCAGCCTCCGGTCAACGGGAAAAACACAAACAACCACCGCTTCTCGCTCTTCCGCACCTACTGGCTCGTCTGGGCCGTCCTTTTCCAGGCGGCCGTCCACGTCGACTGTCCCAGGGGCTTCACTGCCCGCTTCATGACCAACGTGTGGGCCATGTTCGCCGTCGTGTTCCTTGCCATCTACACTGCCAACCTGGCCGCCTTCATGATCACCAGAGAAGAGTTCCACGACTTTGTTGGAATTGATGATCACAGAGTAAGTTCCACTTTATTTCTTATACAACTTTTTTCGAGAAAATTTCATTGTTTGAAAATAAGATTTTATAAGCAGATAAATATTTAAGGCAGTTTGAATTGAAAAATAAGACAAATCTAAGAAAATTACAATTATATAAATTTTTCAATTAAAATGGGAGTATTCTTCAATCAATTTTATCCTATTCTTTAAAAAAAAAATGAGCATGATTTTTTAACTTGAAGTCAATTTAATAAATAAATTTAAAAAAAATAACAAACCCATTTTGACTGCAAAAAATAGAAAAATTACAAATATTTAACAATTATAATCATAACAGTTTCCAAATTACATAATTTGAGTATATTTATAGTTCCAAATATTTTATTGAACTCCATTTTCGTTATTTTTCTTCTTCCATCTGCAGCTAGCAAAACCGTTCAGCCACAAGCCCAGCTTGAAATTCGGCACAATCCCGTGGAGCCACACAGACTCAACTCTGAAGCGCTACTTCCCCGATATGCACGCCTACATGAAGACCTACAACAAAACCTCCGTGACCTCCGGCATAGACGCCGTCCTCGCCGGGTAAATTCCTCCAGCACTTTCTTATTGCCAAATCGCGTCGGATTTCGATGTCTGCCAAGTCACGCGCGCATAGAAAAACGATTTGCATGCATTATTTGCGTAGGGTTGCCGAGATAAAACTTTGGGAAAACAAATGCCGTCGTCGTCGGGCAGTGAGAAACGGTCGGGCGAAAGGGACTCGAGAAGTTATTTGCGTTTATCCTTCCTCGGCGGGCCAGCGCGTGGCCCTGCAGTCATTTGAATTAGACTACCCGCAGAGATTCCGTGCCCAGCGGGTTGTCTACTTTCAGCAAACGAGGCTGAATATTCCATGGGCGTGTCGTGGAAACGGTGGATCCGCATTTTCTGCATGACGAAGCGCAGAACTTTCGATGCACACTCTGTTTGAAGTTAATTAAAATTTGCCTTTCCCGCTTATTTACTTAGAGTAGACAACCTTCGATTTTTATCTCCACTGTTCCCACAGCGCTCGAACGTACGAAAGCTAATCTCTCAGAGGAAAGCAAATTTTCAAAGAAGGGAAGATTTAGTTTATTTAGCAAGCAATTCAAATATTCAATTCACTTATTGAACTATTCTGATATTGTCAGAATAAAATAAAATAAATTTACCATCAAAATCAATTTTGCCGCAGGGAGTTGGACGCATTTATTTACGACGGTACTGTGCTTGAGTACTTGGTGTCCCAGAATGAAGACTGTCGCCTGCTCACGGCCGGCAAATGGTACGCAATGACGGGCTACGGCCTCGCCTTCAGTCGCAACTCCAAATATCTCGGCATGTTCAACAGGCGGATGCTCGACTTTCGGGAAAATGGTTAGTATATTCTTGATTTTTAAACTTGATTTATACATTGTAACCAACTATTAATATTTTATTTTGGTGAAATAACATATGACGAACAGGGTTTTAAATATATTTTTTGCAATCAAACAATGAAATATTTTTCCTCATGATGTATCATCAAATATGATATATTAGTTACAAGTCATAATAGTGAAACCTTGCATCTACTTCAACTTCTTTAAAATTTTCCATAGGCGATCTTGAAAGGCTAAGAAGATATTGGATGACCGGATCGTGCAAGCCTGGGAAACAAGAGCATAAATCGAGCGACCCGCTAGCCCTGGAACAGTTCTTGTCTGCGTTTCTCCTGCTCATGTCTGGCATACTTTTAGCAGCAGTCTTACTGTTGTTAGAACACCTCTACTTCAAGTATGTGCGACACCACTTTGCGAAAAACGATCAGCCTGGTTGCTGCGCCCTTATTAGTTTGGTATGACCAAAATAATAACAGATTCTTTGCTTTTATTTAATTCCACTACATATTTTTTGGTTTTATGAAAAAATTATTTGATATTCCTCAAAACAATTTCCGCTTTATTATTATCTTTAATTTAATTTTTTTAATAAATAATCAAAATAATGTCACTAACCTATTTATTAAGCAGACACCTAATAGGTGCATTAGTGCACATTTAATTTATAAATAATACCAATGAATAATTAAAAAATAAAAATTATCAGTTTGATTTTAAAATGCAAGAATTTTTTATTGAGTAATTAATAATGTAAACATTGAATTAAAACTTTATATTCAACATATTTGTTGATAAAAAAATTTAAAATTGTTCAACAGAGCATGGGAAAATCATTGACGTTCAGGGGTGCTGTTTTCCAAGCCCAGGACATGTTGCGAAACCACAGGTGCAGAGATCCTATCTGTGACACTCATCTGTGGAAAGTGAAACACGAACTGGATCTAGCAAGAATTAGGATTCGGCAGTTAGAAAAGCAACTGGAAGCCAACGGAATAAGACCCTCGCCAGGGTAAATAATATTTAAAAAAATTTAACCAATATCTCAATCATGAAATTAAATTCGTAGAAATCAGAATTATAAAGGTTGGATAAAAACTTTTTTTAAACATAAAATTATAATCAATTTATGTTTCCATCTTACTTTATATACAGTATTATGACTTAAAAATAATGGCTCAAATAGAACCGTTGAAAATTTTCAACCTTTAAAAGTTATATTTATATAATTGAAATTAAAGCAAATAAATATATTTTTCGGGGTCTGTTTTCGCTTATTTCCAGTCGACTACTGGACTGCGTGGAATCGCTCAATGTGCAAAGAGACTATCGAGATGTGCCAAGAAACTACATTTCCACGACAGACCACTCAGCCGCCTTTTATCCAGCCTGCTACTACAACAGGTCTGTATACCTTTGTGCCTAAACTTCCCTGAAAAATCCACGACGTCTCATTTCCTTTAATAAATTAAACTTAAATGCAACAAGACGTCTGGATTCAGTTTGAATGTGACTAATCATTTATTTTTATTTATTATCAAATTGCAGTCCTTCGAGGAGGCAGTGTCGAACGGAAATCGCAGAGATGGAAACCGTTCTCTGATCCTCGGCCCGCGCTTCGCCTAACTCCGAACTGGAGGACCGCAAATTCATCCCCATCCCTTACTGAAGTGCAGGGGCGGTTTTGAAGCTAGCGCGGGCTTGAATCAAAACAACTCGATCTGTACGAGAGCAAAAGGTAGATGCGAGACAAAAAGAAGATAGAAGAAGAAGGAAAACAAACAAAGAAAACAGTTTTAAACCAACACAATGGAACTCGAGACCACACGTATGTACGAAAGAAAATGTCTTTTTAGAGATGGATGGTGCGCTGAGAACGCAGGTTGCGGTAAAACAATTACGTCTTTCAATGTTCAGAGTGGAAGCAGAAGGTGTGGCGACCAAGGCTCGCGCCGTATTTTACAGCTCAAGCGAGATAAGCGTCCACAAATCCACCGCTTCAGGGTGACAATGGCCTTTTGCACCAGCCTTACGTACAAAAAATTGAAGAAACAGAAAAATTTCGAAATTTCTGTAATTTGAAAAATCGGCAGATCAAAGTTGTATTCAAAGTTGTATTAAATTAAGAATATTTGATTCTTTTAATTAAATGCTTGTGTAAAATCAAGTAATAATGTTATTAGAATTGCTTAAGGGCACTAATTCATACTTATATCTAACACTTAATCGTTGGAGGAATAAGTAGCTGCCAGATCATGTTAAACATGACAATTTTTTCATATATTTTTTTAAGTAACCGCATCACAGGATTTTTTTTTTAAATATAATTTTTAACAAATTTGTAAACTATTTGGAGTGATTATGTAGTGGCGGGCTGGTGCAAAGAGCCATGAACTTATTAGCGTAAAGGAGAGACAGCATTGTATATAATAGAAAACGTCAAAAATGTGTATTTTGCCGCGAATTACTTGAAACAGGCCAGAATTCAGAGAAATTGATTAAAACGGGTCTACAAAGCGCGTTTGCAGAATTATAATAAATTTTAAATTATACAAACATTTGCATCCACTAAAAAATTATTAATTTGCCAAATGGGGAAAGCAGTAAAGTGCTGGGGTGCATATTTGGCAAAATATAAATGTACGACAAAGGAGGAGTATGTGAGACTGTGATATCTTAATCGGCGGGTACTTCACTCTCTCAAACGAGCCACACGAGCCAAGAAAAGAGTTAAAACAAATATAAAACAAAACAAAAACATGATAGCAAAGTAAAAAATGCAAGCAGATATATGTTGGAGAAAATTAAATTACATACTGATTGTTTGCATTCTACTCTCTTTGCTCTGTGTTTTGTCCATTGCATGTGTAATTAATTGTGTGTAAATACCTCTAGTGGTGTCCTGTCGTTGTCAAAATCTTCCATGAGCAGCGTTAGGGACGTATTTGACCACCAAATGTAATTTTTCCCCTACAATACCAGTTAAAAATACAGCACTCTGAACGAAGTTCTGTGTGCGTCAAATATTTTTTCGTCTGTTTTAAAATTGCAACCAATATTTCATGTGGTTTTCCCACTCATTCATCACTTAACCGATTGGTCCGAGCGCAAAATTTCGTCATAAATCTTTTGCCTGCAAAAACAATGGTGGTCAAAACTGTCTCTCGCGTCGCTGCGCTCCCGCAAATTTATCTCTTCTTCTATACTCACAAACAAAAGAGGAGGCTAACCGTTAATAATTGATCACAAACACGTCGTGCGCGTTGGCCCCGCATTTATTACATAGAGCGTCACACACACACACACACACACGCAGTATATCCACACGTCATTTTACAAAGACTGCTGGCATCAATCATCAATGTTGTGAAAGTACTAGAGTCACATCTGGCCTAACCAATTTTAAATCGAAAGATATTAAAAATTATAAAAAAAAAAAATGAACAATTGTTACATTTAAATTGATATAATTCATATAAATTGAAACTCCTAAACTATTAGTCCGCTTGTTGAACCAGACCCTAGAGCGCGGTTTGGCTGTTAAAAAGCACATCTTCTAAAGTTTGAATTGTCTAAATAGAAGCAGAGTTAACTTTGACCCTATGACCTAAATCTAGAAAGAAAATCAAGGACGTTCACCGTTTTATTAAAAAGAAATCTCATGTTTGTGAATTTAATTAATATGTAGATGGGGGAAAAACAAAATGCTGAGTCAAATCATAACTAATAGCAAGGTAAATAAAAAAAAAAACAATAATAACAAAAATGGTGTGTTTTTAAAAGTAATTTAATAACGTCGCGCGGTATTTTGCAGTGCCAAAAATTCTCCTTGAAATCCTATCTTGAGTTCCTTAATATTTTTACGGAAAAACACTTGACTACTGAATAGCATTAAATGAATTCAGCAGCCACCCCCTGGAGATAAGGAGAAGTAGGCAGTTTGCTGGACGTTGAAGTCGTGCATGTTGCCTAACTGATCCCTCTGAATCCACTTGCCAAACAATATCCCTCCTTCTATTCATGTAATTGAACTAACCAAGCATTCATCTAAACCGTCATTTTCTGTTAATTATGGCTCTCAAAATCCGCTTTTGATATCTATAAATACAAATTATTGTCGTCTCTTAAACTTACGTTAGTAAAAAAAGTTATATTGCTTGTTAAAAAAAAGGTGGATGTGCCAAAAATAAAATATATATATTTGTTGATCATAACTATTAAACTAAGTAAGCTGTGTGAAAAAAGATCCTAGGGCTTATTATAATGGCTGTGTTTGTAATTTATGTGCTTGTGGGATCATGTTTATGTGAAAAGTTGCGGCTTCACATTTATTTCAAAACAAATATTGATCATACAAACGCATTTTTCCCAGGTGAAATAATTTATATAAAATCGTGAGAGATATGAAAAAATCTGTGTAGTTAAAGTGAGAACGGCTGCGTCGAAAATGCGCAAAATAGCAGCACAGGCTTATTTCTCAGACTCGGTTTTGGTGCTGCAAAAGACTTCTCGGGGTGCAAAATGTTGAACCTTGGTTGCATAATTTTTATAAGAAGTGAAACATTTTAAATGTTTCCCTCTGGTATCGCTCAATATATTTATAATTTTTTCTAGCCTCAGTGGAAGCTGGAATAAAATTAAACATTTAAAGACTTGTGTTGAGAAAAAAATTTGCCAAAAAGATGAGAACTTTTGTGCTTCTTTTATTGATGCAAAATCTCTTGAAACGCGCGAGGGATAAATTGAAAAAGTACAAAAACCGGGAAAATCTCATTATGGTACCTCACAATTTTATTATTCATAATATTCATTGCCACATTTATTTTCCTGGAGGTAATTAAGTAATAATCAAATCCGAACCAGATGATTTTGGAGCACAGAATTTCTCACCGTCGCGAATCAGAAAATGTGTTTTTGTCCTTCATTAATTACGCGGATTGCGTTATTAAAAATATTATATAATAAAACTTCTAACGCACTGTTATTGTTATGCAATAAAATATATTAAACCTGGAAAACCACGGCTATTTCCCTATCATGTGTTGATTAAATGTACAACCCCATTTGCTGTAGAAACGCATTTCCTTGGCCAGCGAAACATAATTGGCATAATTAATTGATTGATTAGTTCCAGCTGTATCTGTCGACCGGATTGATTAATTGACACTTTGTTTTGTGTGCTCCTTGCGTCTCTCTCGCAGCTGGAAACGGCTAACAACTCCTCCGTTGAATGTGTCAAAGTGGCTGTACAGAGGGGATTAGCGAAAGAGGTGCGTGTGCATGTACGACTCGCCATTAACAGCGTGTGTCCATTATCGCCCTCTCTAACTCAACCTCTCTCACTCTCAAACCCACACATTAAATGATTTAAATCACGTCTACACACTAACTCGTAAAACATATTAAATGGTTAAATTGTAGCGGAGAGGCCAAAGCCTTTTGCGTGCATGGAAGAGCAGGAATTTTAGCAACAAAGGGCTGTTCCATGGACGCAACAAGACTTTGGAAATAAACAAATTTAAAAGGAAAAACGTTAAAAATCACTGTATAATATAAAGTAGTGAAATAGATATGTTTTAATAAATGGCTAAATAAAATATCAAAAGCACTCGCTTTTATTATTAAAATAGCAAAATAACCCTCGGAACTTTGAAAATAAACAAGCGTGTAACTATTTTTATATAAATCAGTAAACAAATGCTTTATTAATGGTAAAAATACATTTTGTTTAAATGTTTCAAGCTTTAATAACTGCCTTTCCAAAGTTCTTGCCCTCCATCATTTCAATGAAAGCTTTAGGAATGTTCTCGAATCCTTTGGTTACTGTTTCCTGGTACTTCAGTTTTCCCTAAAATAATTTTCCGTACCAAAAAAATTAGAAAATCCATTGCTTTATGTCAAAAGAAACGAGCTCACCTCTTTGATCCAAGCGATGTTCTGCTTGATGCCCTCGAGCCACCTGTCTTCCCACCTGTACACCATGAAACCTTCCATTTTCAGCTCACTTCTGTTCATCGCACCCTGGATGATTGTGGCTGGATTCACATTGAAAACATTTAAAAAATTACTTCATTTGATAATGGATTAAACTTCAAAATACCTTTTGGTTTTTCTGTATCATTGTAGGCAGAAATCGCACCGCAAATAGAAATTCTGCCAAAATGGTTCATTCTGTTGATAACAGTTGAACTCATTTCTCCACCAACCTAAAATTTTATTATGTTATTGCTTATTGCTTTTTATTTTATTTTAATATTATGATTGTGCGATTTAAAAAAAAAATCCATTTGGAATCAAAATTATTTGCATATAATACTAGAGTTACGATTACGACCGGATGGATATTTATTTTGTTTAAAGCAAATAAACCGAGGGGAAGGCTATCAACTATACGAGATAAGAGTTTGATAAGCGTACATTATCAAAGTAGCAGTCAACTCCATTTGGTGCTGCCTCAGCCAAAGCCGCGTCAATGTCGACTTTCTTGTAATTGTAAGCTGCATCAAAGCCAATCTCCTTCTTCAGCCAGTCTACTTTGTCATCAGACCCGGCGAATCCGATTACTTTGCAACCTAATTGCAAAGCCAATGTAGCCTTTGCTGTGTTTATAAATATTTGGAAAATTACCCTTGATCTTGGCAATTTGTCCGACGTGCATTCCAACCGCGCCAGCAGCAGCATTGACCACCACAGTTTCGCCTGCTTTAGGCTGGCAGATTTCAAGGAATCCAAAATATGACGTGTTTCTATAGAAAATTTTGTAGCGAAAATTAATATGTGAAAAATGGTTTAAAACAAAGCAATTAAACTCAATTTGAAAGATTTTTAAATTAACAGATCATCTCATCCATATTGAAAATTTGACACATAATTCATGTAATTTTTTTTAAAGCAAATTTGTATTTTTACCCTGGCATTCCCAGGACACCAAGTCCCAGCGATGGACTTAAACCTTGGAAATCAGGCATAACGTAGGGCTTGATTTTGGAGTCAAGCCCAAGACTGCACGGCTCGTCTCCATGGTGCACTGAGTGGCTCTGCCACCCAAAGTACCCCATCACCAAGTCACCAGGTTTATAGCCTTGGTGCTTACTTTCCAAAACCCTATCAAAAATTTAATAACGGATTATTGTGAAAATCTTCAAAAATTAAATTTCCATATACTTTGCGACTTGAGACCCAACCATTCGCTGTCCAATCAAGCCAGAGAGATCAAAAGCTCTGAACATTTTATAAATTAATTAAGTTTATAAATTTCAATCAATCGAAAATATAAAAATACCTCATATAAGGATCAACACTGAAATACAGAGCCTCCAGCAAAATTTCTGGATTTAAAAAATCATTTAGAATACAAGTTAATATTTGTGTTGTTAAAAATAAACCTCCATTCTTTATAGCGGGAAGTTCCTCTTCGACAAGTTTGAAATTGCTCTCCTTGGGCGCTCCCTCAAAGTTTTTGGCAATAATCCACTTCCTTGCTTTAACCATGGTGCTAAATTGGGTACAATCAACTCGCCAGACCAGGAGCAAAAGTTGTACTGCTTGTTTTGGAAGCCAGCTGGTCCTATTTATTTGGGCGGCCCCAGTTTGTCACACATGATGCGGAGTGGTTATTACATAATCGAGAAACTACAAAACTGATAATAGCCCCCTTGATAGTTCCATTGATGACTTTAAAGTTCTGCATATCATGGTGCAAAGAGCATAATTTTTTATCATCGTGAATTCGTGGGTTTTTTGAAGTCTGCTGTCTGGAAAACTTGCCATTTCATCTTATTTCTTGCGCACAATTACTCAACTTCAATTTGAGTCACGTTTTACAAATTTCACTTAAAAAGTTTGAAAGAAAATCACATTATACAGTTCATTAAACAACCATTGAAATTATGGTTACTTTATTAAAATCATGATTTTCCGCACATTAAAATAAATTATTACTATCCAACAAATTAATTCGGATCAACAAAATAACTTGTATTTTTTCTCCTGACTACAAGTATTATTAATTACTTTCTAGAAACAGAATTACTTATTTTCTTTTGCAGGATAATATATATAATCTTGATGAAATGCACAAACTTATCACTTTGAGGCTCGTCTCTTTTTAAGTTTGCGGCAAGCTCAGTACCTAGGCCTATAGGACCAGGGCGAATGGGGTCCCGGCGGGCCCCTCATGGGCATGGGAGGTCTTTGCTGGGGCATGGGGTATCTCGGGCCGGGAGGCATTCCGAATTGATACGGCGGAGGAACAAATCGGTCGGGCGCCACGTGGGGCCAAACAGGCTGGCCGCCGAAGGCATGAGGCGGGGGCAGATTCGGAATCACATTTGCCGCAACGTACGACTGGGGAGCAACGCGGTTCATGTAGCCGCGGTGTTGGTTGGGCATCCGCGAGCGGGCAAGGTTCTTGGCATTCATGTGCTTCTCGTAAGTACTCGGCTCCACTCGGGCTTGGTCACTTGTGCTACTCCCATCGACCTGCGAGTCATTATAACAGATTTAGTCCAAAAGTAATTTTTCAAAATGGTTAAAAATTCCAATGATCTCATATTAATAATATGACAAATAAATTCTTTTACAGAAAAATGACATAAAATAAAATTATTATAATAAATAAAGAAGATGTTATAATTTATGCTTAGAATGGGACTGATTTGCATGGCAAATTTAATTATAAAAATTCAAAAATGGTTGAAATTGAGTTATTTCACTACATTTTTGCAATTGTTTCACAATACCTCGTTTTTTTAAAATTAAAATAAAAGTTAACGTTAAAATATTGAAACCTAATTTTCCTAATTTAAATTAATTTTTCATAATTTTTTTTTTTATAAACACCAAAGTTGAACTTACTGTTCGTTTTCTCCGGGTCCTCTTTTCCGATTCGTCATCTGAAAAATCGATGAATTCACTCGGAGGCTCGTTATTTCCAAACCAGGACGCATCACTTCCTCTCAATCTAAATATTCAAAAAATGATTCAATAAGACATTAAAACACATGTTACTTGTACAACTCACTTCATGAGTTCATCAAGCACGACATAGGTGGTGTGGTTGGTTTGAGGCGCGCAGTAGACGAGCATGTCCTTCTCGACGCCCTTCTCCTTCACGTGGTCCTCGGAATTGAAGCGGACGCAGTAGGCAGGTTCGCTCACTGGTCCAATCACATCAAAAATGCGGCCAAGGGTGCGCTGACCCTTGTCCAGAAACAAAACGCTGTCCAAGTCCAAAGGCGGCTTATTTTTCAAGCTTTGTACAACCACTGCAAAAATAACCAAATTTTGTAATTCGTAAACATCAGACACGTCCGTTTTTATTTAAATAAATAAAATTATACCTAGTTTATCGATGATGGCGGTGACTTTGCCAACTTCCACGCACTCCTGTTCAGCCACAGAAATTGCGAGATCTTCGATGGGCGGCAAGTCGTCCAGGCCTATCTCGCCTTTGGTTTTTGGTGGTTTTATTTGGCCACCTTGAGCACCACTGAAAAAAATATTGAGCTCATCAGTCTTGTGTTTATATGAAAATTTAGCGAGATGATTTAAATTATAAATGAGGGTTGATTGACATTAAAAGAAAATCAAGAACTTGAATTTTTACTCTTCCAAAAAAAAAATGCTAGAAATATTTTGACTGAAGTTGAAATCACTTAAAACAAATAACAGAAATTACAACTTAAATTAACTGTTTTTATCTGTTTATATCTACACAAAACCAAATTAAATTTTAAATGAAGCTAAACAAACTATTTAAATCAGCCATCAAATTAAATGTAAAATATTATTCAACTTTTAAGATTATAAATTTTTTAGTTCTTTTTAAATTCTGATAAATACATATTTTAAGCTTTTTTCAATAACTACGACTTTAAATCTGCATAAGAATAATGTAAAATTTTTGTTATTATTTCTTACAACTTGCTTCAAACTATTTAGGTTCTCCAAAAGAAACCTTTCAATCACGTATATTTGATATTGCTGAGCAATATATTCGCAGTAAAATTATTCACCTGGCACAGTGGAATTCGTCCTCGCTGCTGGTCTCCGTGCTCGAGTCATCCTCTTCTTCGCTGGCCTCAGACAAGGACGAGGAGGAAGAATCGGACGAGTCGCGCAGCGTGACCTCGCGGTAACCAGTGGTCCTGCTGACCTCTTTGACCGACCCCTCGGACGACGAGTCGCTGTCGTATTGGCACAAATCGCCGAGGGCCCCAAGGTTGGTCGCCTTGGACACCGTCCCGGTGGAACTCTGGGCCACGCCTTGGGCCTCTGAAGGATCCATCTTAGCACCGTCGTCTATGCAGTATATTATCACGTGCGGCGCATTATTTTCTGCGTGACTGGCCGATTCGACCTTCTGCAAAGAGGAAAAGGGGGTTTATCAACGGGTCGAAAGGTTGCACAGCTTTGTCATCCAGCTCACCTGGCCAAATTGACGGGAAAATTGGCGAAAAGTACGGCAGCAGGGCAGGCGAAACGAAACAAAAACAAAAAGGACTCTGTGTTCGGTGCAGTGCTGCCAACCTGCGGCCAAGCGACGAACTACTGGCTTTTCAACCCGCGAACTTGCGCCAACACGAGATTGATAATAAATTATTTAGCACAAGAAAAAAATTAAAGATATCACACCACTTAACGACTTTTTCTTGGCATATTATTCAAATCGAATCTATAATTCGATACAACAATGGATGAAAATTTCCGTATATTATTTTAACACAATAGAAAAATTTCAACATTTGAATTTCGTTGTGAAGTCTTGATTCTTGCTCTTACCTTCTACAATAAATAATTGTATTATGTCATAAGGACTACCACAAAAATAATTTAATTTTCAGTTCGAAGGTAATTTTTTAGCATAAATCAAATTTTATTTTAAATTATTATTGATTTTTAAATAGCATGGTGACTACTACTTTATATTGATCATAAATTTATATTTTCGCACTCCTTATACACTACGAAGGAAGTTACACAACTTAAGCATGCATAAATACCACAGAGATAATTCAATTATTTGTCCAAAGTATTTTTCAACAAAATAGCAATTTATGTTAATCTGCCTCTTTAAAATCGAAGGTAAATCCAAGTTTGTAGCTGCATTAAATCATTAAATTGTATAATCAAGTCTCAAAGCTTAACCGATTGATAAAAAGTAGCTCTTGCCTTGATTATTAACTAGTGATTTTTTTTTTATTAAATCGATTAAATCAATAAAAATTATTTTGTTCCGCATAAGAATACGTTATAAACAGTTGCAAATATAAAAGAACCATTCAAATAAAAAAATACATATTATATGATATTATGATTGTCAATTTTATTATTGAAATTAAATTTTTGTTCCAAAAAGTTAAAAATATTAAACTTTCCAATTATTATATTTTTAAAAGCTGTAATTTTTTTAAAGTATGAAAACAAAATATTAAAATAAAAACCACATACATGATAAAAGAACAATTTAAGTGAATTAATTGTGTTGCTGGAATTTCAATCGAATGCAGAGGATCTTCAGGTGCGAGTGCAAGAACTAATCTCTGCAAAGTGCGCGAAGACCCACTGCGATGCACTGCGATGGTGTCTACTGGCGGTAGAAGAGGAGCGCTGCTGCCTGAGCATTATAAAATTATTTGTTTCGCGAGACTCGCTCTCACATTCGCGCACCGCGAGTGGAGCGGAAAGCAGCGCAGCTCGCAGGTCTCTCTCACCGTCAGTCTGCTCAGCACGTCTTACGCGATGTTGGACCTCGCAGCCGGACGAAAGGCCTCAGGTGAGAACGCTCACTTTGAGCCCACGCAATTAATTAGCTATTCAAAAATCAAGTTTATACATATTTAAGCTCCTTTTAATTGATTATTCATGTGAGCGATTTTAGTACAAACCTGATCAAGAGAGAGAAGCACAATTCCGTAGTTTTCATTTGTCTTCAGCTGTGTCTTTCTGAAAATACCTGAAGCGATTATTTATATAATTTTTATTTATTTCCCAAGGATGCATCAATATAAGCAATTTAGAAATGAGAAATGTATAATAATTCAAAAAAATTAATTAATACTGCCAATCAATGTTGCCAATTACAAAAATTATAAATATTACTAGATCTTATCTCCGAGCTAGTAAAGTTATCACTCGAGAATTAAAATATTTTATTTCTAGGTAAATTTTAAGTTTTGATCAATTATAAGATTAAATTAGGAAATTAATTTTTTATAAATTAGTATGTAGAGCAGATATAGAGCAAAGTTGTTTTTTTTTTCAATTTTATTCAGATTATTTTTCACAGATTTTCTCTTGAAGTGTGAAGTGATTTCATTCAAGAATAAAGTCCCTGTTTGAAAAATAAGAATAAAATAAATTATGTTTATTATTGAGTAATTTGTAAGGAATTATGTTTTATCTTCCATATTTTTAATTTTTAAAATTAATTTTTTTGTACTATTTTTTTACACAAACAATTTTAAAAGAAATTCCCCAAGAGGGATAAACATATTAAAATTTAAAAAGTATATAATATATTATATAAGAAATGAATCGTTCTCTTGTCTTACTTTAATTTTTTTCATTTGCCTTTTAAATATTTTACTATAAGGATTAATAAAATTGAGGGACAAAAACTTATCTGGCTTTTATTAATTTCGTGTCTGTCTTTAATAATTTTATACATAATTTATGAAGAATAAAAAGAACAAAAATAATAATAATTTCCTTCGCTTTAATTTTGGGGAAATCAAAGATTTTGTCGCTATAGAACCAACTGACCCCTGAAAGTTTTATGATCCCCTAATTAGCCTAGCCACACGCTAATCTAAAGCGGCACTTAAGTCCATTGTATTGTATATCGCTCGGCGGCTAAAACCTCAATGGGAAACGTCGTTTTACGATTTTTTTTTCTATTCGCCAATAGGCGTGTGTGTTATTTTAAGTGTAGTCGAGTAACCTAATTAGAATAGGGCAGAGCACTCACAAAACTTTGTTTTACGCACACTGCTCGGGCGCGCGTGTAAACAAAGAGATGACGCGCCGATTATATTGCGAGGCGAGCCTTTGAGTAAAATTCGTGCACGCGGCCGAGAACAAACTCATTTCCATGAATCATGTAGGAAACACTCTTTGGCAGAGATCGCGCCGTCAATTAGTCGCGAGCCGGTTCCTCTCTCGATTGCTGCGGCTGGCGTGTGAGAGAAGCGAAATGAAAAATGTTACAACTGCTGTCAGCACTTTTCATTCTCGATCTCCAGATTAGAACACACGAGTCTCTACTCCAGTCCTGGATTCCTTGCATACTTTTCACCCTTCCATGAAAACGCGTCCACTTAACTCTAGCATAGCAGAAATGGGCAATAGACACTGTTAAATTAATTACAATCATGACATGATAAAAAAACAGCTGGTAGAACTTTTTAAATTACACTATAGATTTACAAGGCTCCAAGTTTTGTCCGTGAGGGGAATAGACTTATTAATATTAGATAGAAATTTTTATTTTAAGGGTTTAATAAAAAAAAAAAAAATTATATATATAAAGTATACTTCTTTATAACATATATATTTTTTTTTATTAAAATAAATGTTAATTACTTTAATTTATTTACCATCATTTTTTGATTATTAAAAAAACAGTTAATAAGAAATTTATATAATAAACTCAATAAAAATATAAAATATAATTTTTATTAATATATATTTATTAAAATAAATAAACCCGGTTGCCATGAGAATGATTATTAAGCATTAAGCAAGATTTAAAAATCAATCGGTATTATTCTCTTATCTCGGTGAGATTTCACTTAATTATTGATCAAAATTCCTAATAATTAATTATATATGATCGTAAAATCGTAATTATTATGATTTATTTTGCATGTGAAAGACAAAAATATTAATCTTTTAGCTATTTTTACTACATACTAATATTTCTTTAAAACTAGAAATAATATCTTGTTGTGGATGTCAAAGTGCACGATTTTGGTGGAATTTTTTTTTACCATGTTCGCTAATTGTAACAATATGCTCCCATAAACCGAAAAAACTCCTTTAATCCTACAATACAAGAAAAAAGAATAATACCAAAATGAATGAAACAACAAAAGCATTAGTTGAATTAGTGGCAAATAAAGTTTCATAGAGTTTATTGAAGTAACACAGGCAAATTGAGGTCCATCATCCATACATTCAAAAATTTTAAATGAAATCTTCATAAATTTGAGAGGGAGAAAAACGCATATAAATGTTATGTAAATCTTTCCTTAAAATAGTCAAGAAATTAAATTTGCGCATTCTCTTTGTAAGAATCGTGGACTATGTACTAAATAATTTAAATCTCTTATATTGCAATATCTGTGTTTCCTATTATTTTGTTTAACTAAAAACTGTAAAGTAAATCAAAAGAATACCATTTTGATTATAAAAATAAACATCCAAATCATCTGCGATTTTGCAAATTTTAGACCGTGCAATTGGCCAATTGTGTTTATTTTGGACTCAATTACGGGCAATTTTTATTCATTCGTAGACTAATTCAATACATGTAAATCAAATTCTTTTTTCATTTCTGCAAAAACAAAAAATTGATACATTATTGTTGAATATTGAGAAAATAATGTTAATTTATTTTTAAACCAGAGGAATAAGGTGGTAAATGCTATTATTTTTACATCCCTTTGTAACATCTATCCTCTGATTTCCCCGTTGTCATCGCCTGTCAATTCAAAATTTCATCAGGATCATCCAGGATGGTGTTTTTTTATATAAAATTTATATCGTAGTTGGCGGACGGCCTACATTCATGTAAATTTAGACCTCTCAGCAAAAACAGTTTTTGTTATTATTTTCAGTCAAGTTAAAGAATAAAAGTGTCCTCACTGCATATCCAATGTTATATAGTGAAGAGTAGTTTGGCGAATAAACAATTCCAGAGCAAATCACATAATCGCTCACTGATGGCCGCATTGAGGTTCTCATTCGTCTCTTGGTCTGCGAAATCAAAAGAAAAAAAGCAATAACGTCGAGGCGCACACCCTGTCAAATGACTGACTGGCCAGCAGCTTTGACTGACTTATGAGTTATGATGAGGCCATTTACACGAACAAATAATAAATTTACGAATGTTTAGCTTGAGTCACGCCCTGTGCACGCAGACCACCAAAATGTGTATGCTTTTATTTCCTATAAAAATCATTAATCACGTTCTCCTGAAGCTGTGTGGCACTTTTGATTTGCGAGGCAACAAATTTAAAAATTGCTCGAGCATGACCAAGTGAAAGAACAACACTCATAATGAAGGTGTTTTACATTGTTGTTATTTATTTTTTTAGCCTTCAGCTACAATTTGGGATTCAAAAACTATGATGTTGATAATAAAAAAGAATATTACTTTGAGCTCTGATGTATGGTTTGTTAGACAATAGGGAAATCGCCTTGATAATTTTTTTAAAACTGTTATAAGCTTTTATTCAACATCAATCTCTTATCAATCAATGACAAAGCACTGCATAAAATCATAATGATGAAAATTCCCGAAACAATTTACTGCAATTAGTCAAACAGAAATTTCAACTTTCTTTCTGGTAAAAAATACACATGCGCTTGACAGCTTCTGTCAAGTTAAAAACCCTTTTTCTTTTTGCAACCGTATGCAAATGTAGAAGCGAAATTTATGCGTCAAAATAGTGCCACCTGCTGCGCGAGCAAGAGAAATGCGCTCCGTTTCTAGGAATTTTGCGTGGATGGATCGCGTGGCTGCGCCGGCCGGCCGAATGTGGCGTGAAAACGGCCGCGATTCCAAAACGCGGCTCAAAAATGTGTAATAAATAATGTAAATGCTGCTGGGCCCGAGGCCTTGCATGATGAGGTGTTTACAAATTAACGAGACGCCACTTCTTCTTTGCCGCTTTAAATCAACACACAGCCGACTTTGGAAAGTGTGAATGGAGCGATTTACACCTTACGCGGGTTTCCGAATCGACTCTCCGCTCGACGTGCTGTTATACAAGTTTAAAGAATTAAAATAATATTAATATTCTATGCTTTACCGACCGTCCTCTATTTTTAATAATTTTACAAAATTTGATAAGCATATTCTATGCAAATTAAATTTTTTATAAAATTAATACAGTAAATAAGGATGAATTGTGCGCGCAATTTCACAAATTTTGAATTAAAATATCTCACAATGGAAAACAAGTAATATGTCTCTAATAGTTCAACTGACAAAATGAAGCTCTTGTTGAATAGTAAATAATCAGTTGATAACAATAAGAGTCTATAGACTCGCAAGAAAGTTATTTGAAATTTAACAAGAAACCTTGTGCTCAATTTTTTAAAGTTTTTCCCTTAAAAAATATTATTTTATGCACATTTCATCTGCTGCTTTTTGACAACTTCTAATCGTAAAGGAAGAATAAAGTAAAAAGTCATTTTTTTCTGAAGTCAAAAGCGACCAGCACAAAGAATTAAAAAAGTAGTAACAATGGCATGTGGGACACCTTTTATAACTGTATAAAATATAGTTATGTGTGCATAATTGTTTGTAAAAATTTGAGACAAGGTTAGTTAATAAATATCGATTCCTTTTATCAATTTCCAATCTCCCATTTATGCAATACCAAAAACTTTTAAACTCCCTCAGATTTCCACAATTTCATTCTATGGCAAACCGCTTGATTGAGTTTTTCATCATAACTGCATCATAATTTATTTTAGTAAGCTTTGTGTAAGTGAAAGTAAAACAAGGCGGATATTATGTTCTCCCTATTACATCTTGTTGAAAAATCACAGCCGTAATTTGGTCATGCGATATGAACAAGAGCCATGAATTAATTTTTTTCAAAGCTCGGCAAAATTTATCTCCTCTTCATTGCAAAAGCCAAGCAAGCTCTCCACACATTTCGCACATCCACTTTATCAGATCGACTGTGCGCGCTCGGGCAATTCATCACGGGTTGCTACTGCTGGCCGAGAGAGTTTATGTGTGCTACCATATCATTTGGGTCGAGTAATAGCCGCAGATAAAATTATAAATCGCAAGCATTACGCTTTTTGCAAGAGCTCGGAGAGCTTTTCTATTGAATCGGCGAGAGCCGTGTGCTTTTTATCTGCCCATGAAATCTTCCTGCTCGTCGGCCGCCGGCGTTTTGAATTAAAATAAAAATAAAAAATATTAATATACGCGCAGGTTATTCTGGGGGCGAAGGGATCCACTTATTGAATTCATTAGGCCCCCTATGCTCGGTAGATGGCAATCGCACACGAGATGCGGCCTCTAATGTTTCGCTTCGGCTGATAGAGAGATTAAATAAACACACTGAACGTAATCAGCCTGGCCAAAAAGAGAAGCAGCATCTGGAAGATGCGGATAAATTCGCTGATTTATCTCTGAGAAACCAACCGCGGAAGATTGCTTTTGTTGTTTATTATTCAGGCAAGGTGGTTTTCACTATTCTCTCATAAAATTCGCTTTTCTAGGGGTTTTCATGAAATTTTATTCTTCCTGGAATCAAAAGGAGAGGTATTTTTTTTATTTCAAGAAAACTAAGCTTTCAAGATGAAATTCGCGACTAAACGAGAGCGTGCATTTAGCGACGTGTTCTGAAGTTCACAAATGGAATTGTTTGTCACTTGATATAAAACCACAGTTTCGTCGTCGAGTTACACTGCGGAATAAATTGCATACACAAAAAACAATGACCAACTGGCCTTAAACCGACATATTTTGATCGCGGTAAAATTGCCGTCTTCTTTCCGTCATAATAATCCGAATCCCCCTCAGGACCGCATTTCAATCAAAATATCAGTTGTAATTTATAGTCTGCTTCGCTCGACTAATCGTTTCTACTTAAATGGGGAAAGTTGAACAAACTGGCCTCGGGGATTCAGAATTTTTAAGGCATTGCCTAACAAACAGAGTCTTATTAAGGATAAGTTAATTTGAGCCATTAATTACTTAATTATTTTTTTCAAGAAGACATTCAAATTAGCATGATTATTGCACGCTATATCCAGAACTGCTTTCTGCGTATAAAAATGTTCTATATCAAAAATTGCAGGAAATATCTTGCCTATAGAAAATTAAATTTTTTATGCAGGTCTCGCTTTTACAGTTCTAGCAAAAATAATTTGTAAATATGTTAATTAATGTTAAAAAGGGATATTATATTGAAAAATAATAATAATATTGAAAAATTAATATAATAAAAAAATAAAAAAATTTAAGACAATTTATATTATTTTCTATTTTGACGAGGGATGTGGCTAAATTATTGTCCAATGTAATCACATTCTTTTAGATCTGCGCTAAAGCCAAAGGCTGACGAAGCTTAAATTTAACACTCGCACATCCTGCGAACTCGAACTTGGAACACTTTCTTACCGTCGCGGCATTGAAAGCCAACCTACCCTAATAAGCAGAAACAATAGTAGCTCGGCGTCCGTTTTGAAACACCGCATCTTCTGAGAACGGCTCAACTTTCTGCGAACGTGATTACTGCAGCAGAAATAAAATAAAGCCAGTACATGACTGCACCGCGCCTCAGCTTTTTGCTCTCTTCTCATTAGCGCACTGTTTGCGACTGGAGAAGTGAAGATCGAGAAATGAGCAGTTCTGTGTTTCTGACCGCAGGTGATTTGGGCAGGGGACTCGTTTGGCGTCTGCTGCTGTTGACGCTTGCCCTGACGCACCCTTCGGCTGCTGCCTACCTGGTTGAGGGGAGTCCTGAGTCCATCACTTCGACCACCACAACCGAAATGCCAGCCACAAAACACCATTCAGGGTAAGAAGCTTACATTTAAAATGCTTTAAAAACAATCAGTTTTAATTTACAAAAATATGTTAAAAAAAGTTTATATTATTTGGTATTTTTTTTTATTTATTACCATTAAAAAAATTAAATGTGTGTTTTAAAAAAAGCTACAGATTTATTTCATAAAATTTTACAGATTTTTAACAATTTTTTTTGCTTGCCATTCACTTCAATCATTATTTAAAAGAATTGCATGTAAGAATAAAAAAAGGGAATGGAGGCGAGTCATAATTCTCATATTTTTCACAATTTAAATATCAATTAACTAATTTGGATTTTAGATAAATTTATTATGATGCAAATTAATATGCTTCTCTTGTAACTTCAGGATAGAATGTCGTTTAATGTTCTTTTGTTAAATTAATTTGAAAAATGTTTATAAACATTTCAAACATAAATAAATAAATTAATTTGAGCACATTTAAAAGTACTTATTGCGCACAATTTGCATACATGACAGCACTCGATCTGTTCCGCCTTTGAAGCAATTGACCCCAGCAAGATACAAAAAGTGGACTCTCTCGTGAGTGTCAATAACACTCTCCCAGCATCTCTTATTGAGACATTATGTGTAATTAGGCGTCTCGGAGACGCGCAAAGAAAACAATTATTTTGCTGCTTTTTGTCATTAAGCACATTTGACCCAGCCCCGTCTGTCGCGACGAGATGCATGTTTATTTTTCAATTTCCCAGCAGCCCATTAAAGTAATAGGGGTGCGTGACATTACCGTGCGTTGCCCAACTACTGCGGTCTCTGCTGTCTGCATGCATGAGTAATGAAATTACATATTTACGAGATAAGCTGCTCTTCTTGGTTTTCTCATGTTTACCCTTGCACTCTGCGCGCTTTGTGTGCTCGTCTCGCGTAATGTAATCTTGATGCGCCAAGAATAATTTATATAATAACTCACGCCAAGTTATAGTCACTCTCTGCTGAAGACGAGATGTCACACTCCTGTCACGACCGTCGTACACAAAATATTACAGGAGTTGTCACGCCTGGACACTCATGTGTTGACTTGCCATTCATCATAAACGCAAACACATGAAAGCAATTTATAATTTTTATTTTAATGTGAAGCAGATGTTCTATTGGTTTTATTCTGAAGATCTAGAGTTACTTAATCAAGTTGTCATATTTACGCAATTGTCCTTTTTTTTCAATTTTTCTAAATCAATAAAAATAATTTAATTTAAATCTTTAAGTTTTCAATTATTTTATAACTCTTAGTGTGTTAATGGAGTTTAATAATCGATTCTTGAGATTTTTAGCGAAGATTGTATTAATGAATTTAAAAGTTAATTTATCAACACATTAATTAAGGATCGGGCTTTTTGGCACTGTAAAAGATTTAAATGAAAACTGTTCAGAAACTGAAGACATGGTAATTACATATGAAGTCAGATGCTGCCCTGAAATGAGATGCAGAAAACCCTAATGAATATTCATCAGAAGCCAAGAGCCCTTTTCATTATTATAATTACGAGCGTTATTTTTCGGCCTGCGTATTTTTCACTTGCCAAGTTAACGCCTATTATTTAATAATCGCACCGTATTCAAAGTCGCGCTCCCTAAAGGACAATTAAACTTTCAAATCGCGCTTCTTGCCGGTACGCTCGGGATGGATGATGAGTCAGTCTCGGTGAGCCAAATGAAGACAGGGTCACATCGCTAATTAACCCAAACCGCCCATTGAACGCTCTCAGGCAACGGGCGCAATCTTTAATTTTCGTTTGCCGCGCCGCTTTTGAGTTATTACATATTTATGCACGCAGCAGGCAGGACTGCTTTTTAAATGCAAAGCAGCAGACGCGACCAATTTGTGGTACTAAAGGTAACATTAGTTGGGCGAGAATCGGTGTGGGCTCGCGAACACAACACCCGCCCCTGCTCGGCCGCCGTGTACATAAACGCCGTGCGCGATTTTATTTCGCGTGGGACATTTCGAGTGAGCGTTGATCTATTTTGTTTGTTGGTTTTTGCGAGAAACAATGCAAGTAATCTGATTATTTGGCTCAGACACGAGAAGAGTCTGGTGCTTGTTTAAGGCCGATTTGTTATAAAGAAAAAAATAGCTTTTGCTCAGACATCTGTGCAAAGGTTGGCATGCGAAAATTGTCTACGCTAAAATACTCTTTGCTCGCTCGTAACAATTTGATACTTTCATAATTGAAACTATACAAGAAAGATAGCAGATTCAAATTAATTGCATTGTGTTGTGTAAAAAAACCAGCTAATTAATTATAATCACTATTTAATTGAACACTCACATCTTTAAATAAATTTGGCTTATTTTTAATATTTTCATCTCTTGTACATCGGTCAATACTGTTTTATAAATTATTAATTTCACAAAAATTAATAAATTTTATTCATTATTATGTATTATTATTTTCTTTTAAGTTTCCTGCAAATATTGAACAAATTTATAAGGTCCCTCTGGGATGAATAATTTATTATATAATTATCATATTTAATTAATTAAACTGTAATTATTAGCATTTTATTCTTGCAGTTTATTTTTTACTCGAGCGCATTGCTCTTAAATTTAACGTTTTCTTTATTAATTTTTCAACTTTAATTACTGCTAATTTTAAACATAATCTAATAAAACGATTTCATTGAATTATTATAAAGTATTGTACCAATCACCTAATTCTTTACAAAAAGAGACATCCGCCTAAGATACAGTTTTTACTCGTAAGATACTTTTTAGCTTTTTTGCACTAAACTTGTTTGCCTTTTGTGTAAGCTCATTTATTTGCCAAATACACAGCAACAAATATCATTTGGTTAAAAATCCCTAATCTCCTTAAACGTCAAAATCACTCATTTTCAAACGACTTAAAAAAAGTCGGCTTAGCACTGGATTTTCAGTGGAAACTGCCATGCGATTAAATAAAGTACGCGCACAGCTGTGAATTATAAATTCGCATCCACCGCAGCGCGGTGTCGGAATTTGCGTATAAATTTATCCCATGGATGGATGATTGTGGTGGGAAGCGGGCACTTTACCTGCAAATGGCCCATGCAGGTTGTAAAACAACTCTTCAGCAGACATCAAAGCGTCTTTCTCTGTAGGAGGATTATTCCCTCACAACAATTTTTCGCGCGTTCGCAAATTCCGGCTTGCCAAGCATCGCCGTGAATCAAAATTTATCTCGGCCGCGGAGAGCTTTCAACGGCAGCACTCGTCGTTTTGAGACAAACTTCGCCGATGGGCCGTAAAAGGCGCCGCTCGAGTGTTTATCTCGGCGGTATATTTTTTTCCCATAGCTCTTAAAACAATAAAATCGACTCGCACCTCTTTCCTTGCACTAAGGTGTGACTGCTTTTAATTGTTATTTATTGCCCGGTCGCCGTCCCGTCCGACGACCATTTCATTACGCCAGCAGAAAGTAATCTCGGCCGGGGACATTTGTTTTCAGGTGCCGGCGTGGGCGGCCTGTCCGTTCGACAGCGCGCTCTCGCCACTTTTTGTCGGACAGAGATCCGCTCTCAGAGTGCTTGTTGTAAAAATAGTAGCTTGTATTTTTGTAAATGTATACTATATTATGGTGTCGGAGGCTGTTAGTTTTTTATTATCGCACGCTACTCCTCTAATACAGCTGCAGATAAAAAATATCAAAGGCCCAATTCAGATGGAATGGCACCACGCGGCGACGGATATTTGCGTATTCAAATCACCTCATCCAACCTGCAGCTTCCTCTGGATAAATTCACAATTAGCTGAATTAGCCAAGCAGCATATATAAAAATTAAATTATAACAAGCAAAACATGGTATATTCAATGATAAATTTGTAAATTGAGTTAGCAAAATTCAAAACAAATATACGTCATATAAAAATTAAATTACTCTTTTTAATTTTTATTTAATTAATTATTAAATAATTTTTTACCATTGTTTTCATTGTTCATTCTTTTAATAATATAGATTTAAATTTTAATATAATATTTTATTTTTGAGTATTTTAATCAAGTTTAATAAATTTTTTTTAGCTATAAAGTCATAATACAATAAGTGGTTGTGTGCTAGCATCAAACTTTATTATAAATATATTATAAATTTAAAAATCACTCTAATGTCGAAAGCTGTTCAAATGATAATTTATTGTCTTCGTGCCTCCTTTCTTTGTTTTCTTCTCCACATAATTCACATTTTAAATCAGTATAGTTTAACGCAAACACATCTCTTGCCATAATATCCAATTGCCAGGAAGGAAAATTTGAATTTCACTTCTTGGAATTCTGTTTTGATTCCACGAACGCTGCGTGAGAATCGCTGAGCAATTTCTGCGTAAGCTGCAATTTACATGAGGTGTTGTCTGATTTGGCAGCGAAGGAAATAAGCAGCGAGTGTTGTTTCGCTCACTCTCCGCTCCGAGGCTGTTTGCATTTTCTCGGGTTTCTTCAGCCGAGAGAGCCGAGGATAATCATCATTATGCTACCACAGGGATGAGCATAAATCACTGGCAGAATGCGATTTTTATGGCTCCAGCCTCCTCTCACGCTGGAAAATTTAATGGCTCGTTTAAACGCGTGCACCGCATGCTATAGCAGCGCTTAAAAGGTCCCCCACACACACGCGAATAATTTTTTAAGTCTGAAAGGATATTGGTTCCAGTGCCACCTGAATTGAAAAATATTGTAAATAATTAATCAAAACAGTACTCATCGGTTACAATAGGATTATTTTAAACAAAAAAATAAATTTTTTATAATTTGCATTTGTGAACAAACAAAAATTTAATAAGATCTTTTTTTGAAAACCTAGTTTATATTAAGTAAAATCTTCAATAGAAAGTTAGTTATTATATCAAAATTTTATTTTAAAATAATTTTCTGGACTTTTTGGTCAATAAAACTAAATCTGTTTCTTGCAATCTTCAATTTAAAACCAATTTTGTATCTCATCTCCTTTGGCTGCTTCAATCTAAAACCAATCATTCTGATTGCTCACGACTTTCAAAGTGTTCCTGTGGGAATAATCGTCTTTCTTTCTTGCTCGCTCGCGAATACGCGGCGCTTCGTTTACGGCCCCTGAAATAGCGGCAGCGCGATTGGCGCCTCGACCCTCATCAAACCGAGACTGGCTAAAGCTCGAGAAAATATCGGCGTGCGATTATTGGAGAGGGAAACAACAATGAATCGTTTGAACTCTTTGAAGGTACTTAATGGCTGTTTTGTTTTTTCGATTTTATACTGCCAGTCGACGACGGAATCTAGCTATTTATTGTGGGCGTCCCAGGCATTCTCGCTGTTGTAAATTTTGCGTCGATTCACAGCGTCAAGCAGAGGACACGGCATTGGTCTGCTCACAGTAAAAAGAGATTTGAGACAATCGGCTTGTTTTATTAACTCTTAAAACGCATATGTGAAATAAAACGGGTCTTTTTTAGCAACAACTTTTGCTATTTGTAGGATTTTTACACTTATTATTTTATTTTCTATCAAATTTTTTTGTAGCTTTCAAAATAAACAACGTATGTAAACGGACTGAAAAATAAATTCTTGAAAGATAAAGACAAGACCAAATATTTAACCAAAATATTACTGAGATTTAAAAACTTTAACCAAATGTGTCTCTTTTTTAATCGAAAAACTGATTCGGAAAAATTTAATGCCAAATAAGAATACAAAATATCAATCAAATGCATTTGTACATAAAAGATGAACAAGTGTTGGTATCTACGGTTTTATACAAAAATAATATAAATATGCGTGTAAAGATTTTTGAGCATTTATTTTGAATTAATAATGCAACACCTCAATAGATAACAACAGTGAAATGCAGCTAGAGCAGGTTGCGATATTTTTCCAAATAAAGCTCATTTGATTTACTGTCAATCAAATGCAAAGAAATAAATCCATGTGGCTAAAAAGTAAATCAGAGGGCTTGTTTGACAGGCAGTTTCCTCAACAGAAACGGCCTCGATACTTCACCACTGGACAAAAATGCTAAGCAGACTGCATATTATTTCTGCAATAATTCTAATTGTGGATTACTCGGGTGCGCAATTCGCGCTCGATTAAAGCCGCAGGGGTTGGAAAACATCACGTTTTGAGCGGTTCATTTTTAACTTAGTTGCTTTCAAACTGAATGCAGCTAGTAAACACATGAGCTCTGCTGTCAAAACTCGAGACGACGCACCAAGTGGCATTAATTAATATTCACACCACAAGCCGGGTGTATTTATCCCGCGAAAACGGACGGCCAAACAAAAATAAATGCGTCGACTTCACTCGGATATATCGCGTTGCAACATCTCGGGAGCTGCTATTCCTGGGTTTTGCGAGATGCACTTTTTCAAAGGCTGCATAAATGCCCCTGGACAACCGCAAACAGACACGCTGTTTATAAAATATGGATTTGAAAAATATGAAAGAGGCTTTTGAGGAATTAATGAGCTGCGTTTTATTATCGTGCACGCGTTTACGAGCACTGACTTGCATTTTTATGCTGCCGCGACTTCGTGGGTGTAAATTATTTAGAGCCTATAAAAACATTTTTTGGCATATTATCTGCCCACGCAAAAGCTTTTTTAAATTTTATTATAGAGCTCAAACATAATGCAGAATGCGATTCCTGACATTTTTCTCGTAACTTTTTTATCCTGATAGAACTCATAAAACTTTTGATGCAAAAAATTCAGATTTTTAAAATGAAGTATATTATGAAAGTTCCAAAATTAAAAAAAAAAAAAAAAAAAATGAATGCACATCAATTGATTCGATCCAAACTGATAGAAACAAAGTAAGATTTAATAAATTCATTAATCATTTTTTTTAATCTGAAACAAAATTGGTCTGTAAACTAATTTTATTTCATTATTATTATTGAAACCGAATCAACTATTACGTTGTCTAAATATTTGGTCACTGTTGAATTCTCGAGGTCGACTTTGATCTTTTTGTCAATCAGTTCTAACTAATCTTACGTGGAAATCTTTAGTAGTTATACAATTTAAGACGGTAAATAAATAAAAATAAAATCACGAGTAAGACGTTAATTTCGGTCGTAGAGTGCAGATTTTTATTACAGAAGTTATCTGAGCGCGATCAGCACCGGCTCGAAGGATTTGATGGTCACGACTCTCGCCGGCTGACTGAGTTGCTCTACCCTGAGAGTGATAAACACCTTACTGCATCTCAGAGAACAAGCTATATAGAGAGAGAAGAGACAAGCTGGGCGGATTTTATTTATAAATATTACAAGCTAGGCCGACAGAAAGTCGTCCGCCGCTTGATCAACTGGTTTCGGCTTTGTTTTGGACCTGAATGCTGTTCATGTAAAAAAGAGCCGCGCATCTCTGCACTAACTTGGTGGCCGACCGGCTCTGCTCTCTTGACGTCTTGTAACTTTGGCGAGCCAAAGAAATAAAGCGCGAGTACGTGTATTACATAAACCTCTCTTCAAAATTAACTTTAAAATTAAAATCGAGTTCTTGGAAGGAGACTTGAATTTAAAGAAGAAAAAAAAAATATTATTTTCTACTAAAAATAAATAACGTTTAATTTTATCTTATCAATATGCACATTTTTATTAATAAATTTGTTTAAACTGAGATTGTATAATAATATATTATGATTATTTTATTTTCTCATAACATGGAGTAAAACCATAAGAGACAAGTAAATTGTGATATGGAACAAGAAAAGGGAAAAATTTACATCGTCATTGTTACAAAAATGAAGATAACAATTAATAAGATGGTTTTAATAATTAATTTTAAAGAACATCAACCCTTAGAAAATCTTAAAGGAGTAATAAACAGCCATTCAAAATAAAACGATCTCAATTGAGCAATATTTATCATAATTTTGAGAATTATTTTCTGGAGCCATTTCAAACAGCGCGCATCTCCCTTCAATATCCCGCACGAATAAATCAGACGACGTGGGTAAACTAAACGAAGAACAATTGACCGAGAAAAAATTATGCATGCCGAGACTGCTGATGCTGCGTTTGAATTGCAAATTCGATTGGCACTTGAGACGAATTTATCATTTTAAGCATGTATCTCTCTCAACTCCTTAAGGGCTCCCACAGATAATTCCGACTTTTGTGCTTTTAAAAAGTATTGCCTTGAATAAATAGATTTTTTTAATTCAAGAATTTAGGGTTCATTAAGTGGTGGCTGATAAGAGTGGCCGTTTTTACGATCGCGCTGCAAGAATATTTATTTTAATTCGCCGCACCAGGTGGATACATTCAAGGAAATCTGGCTGTCAGAGAAAGAGAGACGCTTCGCAGACGCTGCTTCGGGACGCGCAACAAGATCCCAGCGCGTATCTTTTAGAGTCGGTGCTCGTTTTTAATTAATAAGTCACCGCATACCGCAGACTCTCGGTTTCTGCTCGAAATGCGGAGAATGCGCGACTGCAAAATAACAAAACAGAGTTGCTGCGATATTTTTTTCCAGCTCCGACGGTGGAAAATTACAGACACCTGGCGATCTCCGGCGGAGAAGGAATATAAAAATTCCATTCGAGTTTCTGCTAAATTGCGAGGGGCAGGTTTGCCTCTCACGACACTTGTTGTATGCAAATGAAGCGCGGAAACAAATAAAGACCTATTGTTTCTGTTGGAAGACAAAGGCTTTAAAAAGCGTCAGACGGTCTCTTCTGGACCAACCGCTGATTCAAAGTCAGCACGTGTCCACTGTAGAGGAAAATACGAGCGCAAGATGAAAATAATTATTAAAACGTGCTCTTGCAAAAAAAATTGAAAGTCAAAAGCGGCTGATTGATGTGCTTGGTGCCAATTAACGTATGCAAAGGAACTTGCGCGCCCAGACGCTAAACGCTCCCCAATTATCAGCGAGTATGATAGAAATAAGTAAATTTTGGCTTAGTGGCCAATTTCTTTCAGGCTCAAATTCATTTATTTGAGGAATTTTTAATTTGTGGCCTCTTTTTCTCAGCTAAATTTATCTTTCGGTTTCACCACTTGAGTTCCTGGAGATAATAAACAATTTAATTAATCTCTCTGAATATTTATAGGTGAAGGCTGCCCTATAAAAATGATTAAACGCACTGGCCGCTTCTCTGATTTCAGGCGCCACGTGTGTACCAAAGAACAGGCAGTGACTGAGCCTGTGCGGACGAGAGAGTCGTACTGCATCCCATCCTATAAGTCCTACTACATGCCCTGTGAAAGTGGGCTCTGCAGACGAATCAGGTAAAAACTTCAGTGGAAAAATTTAAAACTAGCAATTAAAAATAATCACTTCTGATACAAAATTTAAGTATTATTAAGCGCATTTCTGTGTATCATTGATCATTGTTGTAAAAGGTTTTCATTGATTATTTTATGTCATGTCAATAAATGCCTCATGGAAAAAACAAATTTAATAGAAAAATCATTGAAAAATTGAAGACTAAATAATCAAATTTAAAACAAAGGGCAACTTGTTCAACGATTTATCAATAATAAAGAGCAATAAAAAATTCTTGAATTTTTCCAACAGGGTGGTCTATGAGACGGCTTACAGAGATGTGGTAAAATATCAGGTATCACACAAGACCTCCTACTCTTGCTGCCCTGGTTGGGCTCCATCCCCAAAATCCAGCAATGGATGCTCCAAAGGTAAAACTTCATTTTTTATTCATTAATTATTTTATATAATATTTTTATAAAGAAAAGTTTAAATATAATTTTGTGGTAGACGCCAACTTAAAATTAAAATCATTGAATGTAATTACTAAATAACAATTTAAAATAATTGTAGCCATATGCAAGAAAAAATGTGAAAATGGAGGTTCTTGCTTGAAACCAGACTTTTGCGGCTGCAGACCAGGTTTTGCTGGGCAATATTGTGAGAAAGGTTTGCAAAAATTGAAGTTGATTATTCAATAATTAATAAAAACATTTTTGATAGATCTTGACGAATGCAGCTTACGGCAGCACACATGTAGCCATATGTGCGTCAATACATTTGGCAGCTACTACTGCAAGTGCCACCCTGGCTACGTCCTAAAACCCGATGGAAAGGGTTGCCAGTCAAAATACAATAACATCGAAACGACCCCAGCAACAACCACTACTTTCAAAACAACCCTTAGCACGACTACGGCGCCTCCCACTACCACTGAAAGGGACCGGGAGGAGCTCGAGGATTACGACTTCACCTACGAGTTTGTGAATCTCAACAAGAGAATCAATAAAATTGAAAGGGTATTATTTTATTAAAAAAAAAAAAATAATAATTATGATTACAAATTTTTTATATTTTATTCCAGATTGTTACGCAACCATTCAACGAGACCGTTGGTGGAAATAGTTTAGATGTTCTTGCGAAACTGGATGCAGTGATTGAATCTCAGAAACTTTTAAAGTCAAGAATTGACAATTTGGTGAGAAATATTTGATAGTTAAAGAATTGCATCTCATTGATTCACTATTTCAGGAGAAAAAGATTGATCAGTCACGAAAACAAATGAACAGGCGAAAGAAAAAGCTTGCTGGAGAGGAGGAAATGAGACTACACCACATCACAAGGCAAATCTCTGCACTGAGCCAAAGACTGGATAATTGTAGGAGTTTTCTCAAAACAAAATAATTTTTTTATCAAATTTAAATTTTCAGGTGCTTGTGGAGCTGCTAACAATATCATAGGTTGAATAAGAGCAGAAACAACGTGACTGAACCCTATTTTTTGTGAATCAAGATCCGAGCAGCATTTTTTCGTGAACAATATCACTGCCATACTCTTTGTTAATTTAAGTTCTTGTAATTTTTGTAAATAAATATGAAGAAATAACTGCAGCAAATTATATTTTTCTTATTACAACCAGAAAATTACGCATGAGATCAAAAAGAAAATCCATCAGATAAATTTAAGAAGAACATTATTTTAATTCAAGCATATCTTAAATTCCATAGCATTACAATTAGTCGAGAGAAAAATAAAAATTATAACCGTCGAAGTAATTTATCTGTGTCTACGCTTTCCCCCAGCCTTTTTCTTGCCTGTTAGTTGCTTTTGCTTCACCTTCTTGTGCTTCAGCTGGAGTTGCTTGATTTTCCTCTTATTAAACCAAGGTGGGTAATTTCCGTCCTTATCCTTGAATGTCCTCTTGTCATACTTCTTGCTGTCGACTTCCATGGATTGGTCAGTCGTCTCCTGAGCCTTGACTGCCTCCACGACAGCCTTGGAGTTTGCCACTAAAATATTGAGAAACATTTTTCTCAAACCAAAGTTTGAAGACAAACAGAAAATAATTACAGATCACAGTGTCTGAAAGTTGGCTCATGTCCACGCCTTGGCCATCGGGAGCGTTGAGTTTCGCCACGGTCTCTTTCAGCTTCACGAGTTCTTTGGCACCGTAACGAACTCTTTTTACAGCTCGCATTTTCCTCTTGTGTTTGCTCCTCAAGCTTTTAGCCATTTTACACGATAAATTCGAGAATAATCAAGAGAAATTGGGCAACGTCAATGAGAGGTGCTCGCACAACGCACAAAAACACGTGGATCGTGGATCGGCCTCAAATGAAACAAAAACAAAACACAAGTAGAAGGGGGCGGGGTCCATAAAAGTTACACCCCCTTGCAGTTGAGAGTTTCTGTTTATATTTTTCATTTTTGCATATGAAAATTTATCAATTCACATAATATACTAAGAACGGGAAAATTAAGTGAAAATTCTTCATTTCAACAAAATGAGTCTTGAAATTAAGAAATACAAACGGAAGTATGAGAAGACAAAAAAGTTTGTCAAGTCGTTGGTGTTTGTAAGTCTTCACGAATAATTGCATTAATATTTATAATTATTTATTTACATTATGTATGCTTTCTTTTGCTAAAATTTGTACATATTTACATAATTCTAAAAATTAAATTGTTTTTAGGAAAATGCCGCACTTTGTGATGAAATATCAGACTTACAAGAGAAATACATGGTCATCAATGAGGAAAACAAATTTTTGTACAGCAAACTCGAATCATTTAACTCTTTAAATGGTAATTATACATTATTTAGTAACAAAAATACAGATCCTTAAGACTATTTTTAAATTAAAACGAAGTAGCTGATGGAAGTAGAGCAGCCAGCAACCCAAAAACAACTCCAGTGCCCAAAAATCTCCCTGCACCTGCTGCTAGTAGCGCCCAGAAGAAAACTCCTGCACAAAAAAGATCAAGGACTAGCTCTTCTGCAGCCAGTCCTGGTATTTCTCTCGTTAACAAAGAAAACTTCTGAAGTAACTCTGATTAATTTTAGTCGTCCCAGAAGTCCAAGCCAAAAAAGGAGGAAGAAAGTCTGCAACCGCGAGAGGAAAGGTGGTGAAAAAATTGGTACACCCCATACAACTTGACGGTACCGGCCGACCAATTTTCCCCATCGACGTTGGAAACCTGTCTGTCTACAGCTTAGGCGATGTCATCACTGACAGAAGCGGGTACCACACTGAGGAAATGATCTTCCCAGTTGGATTTTGCTCTTGCAGAGTTTACGGGAGCATCCTCAATCCAGAGCAGCAGTGCATTTACACATGCAAAATTTTAGACAATGGACCCTATCCAATGTAATTTAATGATCTACATGGTTTCAAAATAAATTAATTGAAGTTCTTCTCTAGATTTGAGATAGCTGCGGACAACATCCTGGCTAACCCTATTGTCGGAAGCTCACCGAGCGATTGTTTGGCAACCCTTCAGAGCCGAATTAACAAAGCTGTTGGTGTAGAAGTGGTCAAGGCTGACGGGCTCAAAGGACCAGAGTTCTTTGGAATCACAGTGCCCACCATTCAGAATCTCATCCAAAGTTCAGGCACCAGAAAACTGCCTGGATACCGCATCTTGAAGTTCGAAGTTTGCAAGACTGGAAATGTGGAAGACCCGTCATTAAATGACGCAAGTTTGAACTTTGATGCTCTTCAAAGGAGCATTGCATTTTCCAAAACTCAACTGGCCAGCATCAATTTTGACTCGCACAGTCCAGTTATCAGGGATTTTTTCATGGGCATATAAAATCGTCGTCAAATCTTTTAATCACTTATAATAGAAAATTTATTTGATCATCTTGACGTTTTGATTAGATTAGTTTCCATTTAATGAGAATATTAAATGAGTTTTTAATACAAAACATAATATATTTTTCGTTCAATAAAAACCAAATTTTGAAATTTAATTTGTGCTCCGTTGACATAGTACCAATTATTCTGCACTCTAAAATCACAAGTCGTTGTGATTCACAGCAATAATAATAATAAAACAGTATTATTTATTTGGCAAAAAGATAACTTGACATCTTCTAGGGCTCCTCTTCATCATCACAGTTGGTTGATAGTTTTCGTTGTCTTTCTTTGATCCGCAAGCATCGAGGGCATTCAGAATTTTTCCTTTTATGCCAGCAGGAGTTGTGAAAAACAAATAAGCACGACGGGCAACTGTAAGCTGCTGGGTCAAAGGGGAAAAGAACTTGAACTTTTTTACTGTTGCAAAGCTCACAGACAAAGCCTCTCCCGAAGCAGACCTGCAATGGTATTGATACTGTAAAATTAATGATAGAGAAAAAAATTGGAGCCACACCTTGCAATCCTCTTTAATGTGCTTTGAGAAAGACTCGTGGATTTGGTTTATGTAAGGAAGCATAGTGCCTGAATAGATGTCAATGAGATCTTGCAGGGAGTAAGAGTGGGCATTTTCGATGAGGTGCTGTTTGCTGCCTACTTGCCACATTATGTGCTGAGCAATTGCCGAGTCACAGGTACTTAAGTATCTCTTCATTTGCAAAAGATCCTCCCTTAATCCCTATAAAAATTCACATGAGAAAATGAGTTTTTTTTAATGACATATCCAAATGAGCAAACCTGAATAACGCTCAACTCTTCAACGAGACCAAAGAGACGAGGGTTTAGGTCTTTAAGCACCAAAACTGGCTTCTCGGCCATTAATTTGAGAAGCTGTTGAGCAGCTCTGGAAACTTTCCTCGGCTCAAAGTCCCAGTTGTGCACCACTCTTGCTGGAATTATTGCAGTAGTGTTCCAATGACATGTTGGGCAAAAGTAGCAACCAGAGTAGTCACAAATTCTAGGCTCACTCCAGGAGTGATCAGCTGAAGAAAAAAAAGTAAGTTATTATTAAATAATTTCAGTGATGCTTAATTTTTCATTAACCTCCACCAAGAAGAAATAAAATTTGCGTGCTCTAAACTTGTACAAAATTTGTGAGTGAAGCATTTTACATTCTTGCCTGTTACGGCACGGCAAGCGACAGGCAAAAACTTAAAAGAGGAAATACCTGATGGAGCAAAACCAAAACAGGTCACAATGGGCGGGGTCGCTGGAGGACGAGAAATTTTAAACTTTATCCAAGAATCATATCCAACAAAAATTTTATAATAAAATTTATTCACCATTGTAATTTTATTATCTCATTAAAAAATCCAATCAACAAAAAAAAACTAACAATATAAATAATCTGAAAAAAAAAACTACAATAAATATGAAACTTACTAAATATAACAGATGTATTGCACTCTGTACATTTAAATCTTTGAGCTGACGCTAAACCAACTTCTGGACAAATTCTCAATTCGTACTCAGGTCTTTCGCTGACTGCTACATGAACACAGGCTCTGGTAACTTGCGATAAACATCTCGTATGGCACACAAAATCACAGTCTGTAATTGAAAATTAATATTAAAGTTCTTCGAATATAGTATAACTTATAAAATATAAAGTACCTCTACATCTGAACCAGGAGTGAATCATGGCCCATATCGCGGCACAACAGCGGTCGCACTGCAGTTTGGTGTTGTGCAGATTATTTTCCTGCAGCTGCATGTGATGCCCAAGAACAAGTCGCACTGTGGCTTTGCTGCTAATGTCATCATCCTTTTTCTCTTGTAACTTTAGCCGCACCTCTACTAACTGTCTCACAAGCCAACGGCGCTCGTCCGATCCATCTGGGCTCTCACTCACCAAAGTCTTGCATCTCTCTTCAACCTCTTGCAACCTCTGCTCATTACCTTCAGCCAAAGCATTCTGAAAATTTAAAAAACCTATATAACTAGAATCAATACAACATTAAATTTATGGCAATTAAACAACATTTTTGCTTGATATTTTTTACAGGATCAACCCGATCGGTCACATCCCAAGGACAGGGGAGTGGATGTAAATCCTTATTATGGGCAAAAAACCCACGGTAAAATAGGAAAAGAAATTAATTATAAATGGAAAAATAACCTCGATAAATCCAAAACGCGATGGTCCGTCCTGAATGCTTGCTGGAATGAAAAGCTGCCAACCCTGATCCCAGGGTGGACTTGAGTCATTGCCAGAATTAAATCCAGATGTTGAAGTGGATGGTGTTGAATAAATTGTCCTTGAAGGTGACACTGCAGAAGCAACAGATTCCTTTCGAGGAGTTGATTTCCTGTCAGCCATTGTTTTAACTCTCCATTCTAGGAAAAAAACATAAGCTTCAATCTTCAGTGATCAGAAGTAATCCTCCATCCTTCATAGATATCAGTGTGTGCTACAAGCAAAAAACTAATAAGAACAAAATAAATTTTTAAATTTTTTTTTTTAAATACATAACTTTAAGGAAAATATTTTCTGACCGACTTGAAAGCCCAGTCCACGTCTATGAATTATGATAATATTGATAATACATACATACGTAAATCCAAACCTGGTCCTTCCCTGATTTCAATTTTTTATAATTTAAATATTTTTAGAAAAATCTCTAGTTCCTCATGGATTTTGAGAGGAATTGGGATGGGAACAAAAAACAAACGATTAGTTTTGTTCAGGATTCACTAATACCGGTAGTAGGTTTGTCAAACTACCGGTTAAAATTTCATAAAGAAATTCAGATAACCGGTAACCGGTTGTTGATTAATTAAAAAACGAGAAACATGGCGCCCTATGATGTGAATCTGTCTTGGACGGGTACAAAAATTAGCAAAATTATGCTTGATACTGGCAGAAGTTAACTGTTTTGTCTTAAATTTCAGAGGTTCGAGATATTTTCCGTGTATGGAGAGAAGAAAAAGAGAGGAAATCGCGAGAGATAATTGACATGTGGCTTCTTACGTTGAAGCCGATGGCTCACAAACTTGGCGATGAACGTAAACAAAAGCAACAATTTTTAATTTATATTAAGACTGAAAATCATTAATTTCTAAAGGTTTTCTAGTTCTGGAGCAAGTCTATTTGGCCGCTCTTGATTGTCACAAAATGGATGTGGCTGATTCTTGCCTTACCATCCTTGGGCGAGAGTTTCCACAGAGCCTTCGAGTACGCCGACTTTTGGCCATGCGATGTGAAGTGCTTGGAGACGAGCAAATGGCATTGAACCACCTTGAATACATTCTCAACGAAGACAAGACCAATGTAGCTGCTAGGAAGAGGATAATCGCTATGTACAAATCTCGCGGAAACACCGCCAAAGCGATTTCCGAGCTCAATGAATACTTGAAGGTTTCAATTACTAGAAATTAAAAAGCGTAGAAATATTAAACTTTTTTCTCAAAATTTTAGAGCTTCATGAGTGACCAAGAAGGCTGGCAAGAGCTGTGTGATTTGTATCTGTTGCACCAGGAATTCTCACGAGCTGCCTTTTGCATGGAGGAGCTTCTGCTCAACTCGCCCCACAATCATTTGTACCACCAGCGATTTGCAGAAATCAAATACACCCAGGGTGGAATTGAAAACATGGAACTGGCCAAGGCACATTTCTGCCAGGCAGCAAAGCTGAATCCCAACAATGTGAGGGCCCTTTTTGGAGTTCTTCAAGTAAGTGGTTTGCTTAATTTAAAATACAAAATTTGATTTGTTCACTTTAATAGAGTGCCAATAATTTGGCTCAAAATGCAAAAGTGCCTAGCAAAAAGAAGGAATACATTAAATTGGCGGCATGGGCTTCCAAGCATATCCAAGAATGGTAAGATATTTTGAAAATTTTAGGGCGTTGATTTAACCTTGTTAATTTAGCTATCAAGGGGCCAGTGAGAATCCTATTGCTGCTATTGAAGCTATGTTTGGTCAAATGCAGTTATCTAGTCCAGCATAAGTATTGTTTTTGTTCAAGAAAATCAAGATATTCACATTATTATTTTATATTTCTTGGGTGTCAAATTCATCAAACGGTTTCCCATTGATTAGTCAAATTGATTTATGCTTGCATTCCTCCTCACTAACCTATCTTATTTTGAAATATTGTTCCATTTCTTCATTTTCACGGTGTCTATTATAATTGCTAGTGTTTGTAATTATTTACTATCCAATGTGTTTTGTTGCAGATATTTAAAAATATAAGTTGTAGTTGTGATGCTTATAAATTTAAAAATTGCTTTTTTCAATAAAAAGACCATTTTAATTGTTAGGAATTTCTACTAAATTATTGAAGTAATCAATGAAGTTTGAAATCTCAATGGACAACATAATTATTTTGTTTATATCTAAAAAATTCGTAAACACACAAATTTAGCTAAATATTACGACCAAAGATCTAAAGTTAAATTGCAATAACTAAACAAACCAAACAAACATCGCATCAAATCAGACTGTGCCACAACAAATGAAGCACAATTCAAAGCTTCACAAAAAGAGAACAAGGATTGTAGAAAATTCTACTATCCTGAAGGACTCCTTACTGGCATAGTCAAATCAAGTATTTACAACAATGGTGATTCAAATTTTCAATTGTCTTCCAACAATCGCAAAAATCTTTCTATTGTTGTGAGGACTTGGATTTTACTATGTCAATAAGGTGTCCTTTAAAAGAGAGAGACCTAACATATACAGAAAAAAGCCAAAACAGTCCCAACAGATAAAAGATACAACAATCAATAATTTAAACTAATACAGAGAAGAGAACAAAAAGTCTGTTACAAAATTTGAAAACAAAATTCTCGATCACGAAATGTCGGGTAACAACGATAGATTCTTTTCCTGCAAATTTAAGACAGGAGAGTTAGGAGACCTTGAGGAAGGGAGGTAAAATGCCTGTTAGGAACCGATGGACCAGCCAATAGGCCAAAAAATGGACACTGAGATGAGATGGAGAATTCCAAGTGGCCTACGAGTGAAAATATCTCCGAATTCTCTCTGAAGAACGTCTAAGGACAGCAGGTAAATTGAATAAAATTTGACAGTCATAAGATAATTTAAATTTTAATATTCCCCTCTTTGATTGTTTTGCATAATACATAAATTAAATTTCAGTGGCAAAGTTAAATGTTGAAGAGCAGATGTATGGCGCACACAATTCCTATAGCTTGAGCGGCGCCTGCAAGGTTGTGATGAGCGTTTCTTCTCGCATGCAGCCAGCCATCATACCTATAGCCTGGAGAGAATTGCCTGATTTCCAACCGCAACATCCAGTCTAGGAAGCGCTCTGCTGAAAAGAGGAATAAAGACAGCTCATGGTATATAGAATTATTGAAAATATTATGACTTAAACTTAATTATTCCCTTTTTCAATCGTTTCACACAGTAAATAACATTTCAGCTTGCTTGGACCGCTGGCTGCATTGCCTTCCAACACATCTACTATGCCAGGTAGCGTCACCCCCCAATGTCTCAGCCTTTGCCCAGCACCTCTTCACACCTGATCGCCGAACCAGCCAACGTGCCGAGCCTGGAGAATATTGCCGCTAATAACCACCGCAACGTCCAGTCTCAGAAGCGCACTGCCGAAGAGAGCAATGACCAAGAGGCTCCTGCTAATAAGAGGATCAAAGACAGCTGGTATTATAGAGTTATTTGACAATAATTTAACTTAAACATTAATATTCCCTTTTTTCCAGCGCCACGTCACAACATTGTGCCACTGTGCTCGCACCTCCTGCTGCATTGACTTCCTGTAAATTGAAGATGGGCAACGTCGAGGAAGGGAGGCACGAAGACAAAGGAATAAAGGACACAGATCAGATGGCCTCGGAGCTGTGAAGTGGAACCGCCTCTGAATGCAGCACCTGCAAGGTGGTGGCAAGCGTTTCTTTTGTCAACTGCAGCAGCAGCTAGCCATTGTACCTAGCCTTAATGTTTTATTCAAATTATTCACATATATGTATCATAATAATATAAATATACATAATATTGCTTTTGCAAGTTAAATTTAAATTGAAAATATAAAAATTTGCAATCCAAATTTGGCTAATTTTTGTTTTATTTTGGAAGTATGAATAACAAGAATTTTAAAAAAAAAATGTATTAAATTCAATTTATTCAAATTATTCTCTTGAATTTGCAATATATATAATTACGTATGGTTACATCTACATCATATATTATTGTCGTGTAACCACACGACACTTTGAATTAATCAGCAAGTTCCATCCGAGCGCGTCAAAATTTAACCAGAGCTGGAGACTGGCCGGGGAGAACTCATTTGGGTTTTAATTTAAGTTTCGGCTTACTATTGGGTTTTGGGGAATAATTGGCCTTCGGTCTTTATCTAATTGTCTCTTCATTTGACTTTTAAGTTTGACTAGTTTGAGTTTCACTTTAAATAACTAATTCCTTAATTTATCTTTATTATCCTGTTCTTCTTAATTTATCCTTAAGTTAAGCTTTAATCTGAGATTATTCTAGGCTTTAATTTAAGATCTTAACCTCAACACGTGGGGACACGTGTTGGCCAAAGTTTAACTTATTTATCTTAAAATCTTTTAATTAAATCAAGTTAATTCTCTTATTTTAATTTATTCTCTATTGCTTAATTCAGGGTTGCTTAACTTCAATTACTACACAAAGGGTTTAAATTTAATAATAGTAGTTAAGGTTATATTTTCTTAAGTCTAACAATTACAAGTTTATTATTAATTAAGTTTAAAATATGTTCTAATAAATAGGCCTGATTAATTAAAATTACTTAATTTAAATGAGAGAGAGTCTTTAAAAGGGGTGATTTGGGCTGATTGAGAATTATTACCGGAGTTGTGATGCTAGTGTGGTTGGGCAATATGGCGGTTTTAGAGCAAAAGTGATATACGTCTGAACGGCTTGAGTCTCCCAGGCTGTCTGACTTGTCCGTTGGCGCCCAACCTGGCGTCAGCACGCCAGGTAGGGACGCGGAAGTCAGTGGCGCCGCGGAAGTAGGCGCGCTCGAGAACTTTTTGAGTTTAAGTGTTTCAGTTACAACGCGGTTTTTACAAATGTTCGGCGGGAATTGACTTTAAACATATACAGGACTCTCTAAATTATTTTTATTTAAATATGGAATGGCCTTTAATTAATTACGTAGTGCTCGCGATGTTGAATCTGCGGCGGTCAGTCTCTCGGCGGTCCGTAGACGGCCAGGTCAATGGCCGGCCTAAGGGAGGGTCACGTCAGTGCCCCCTGGTTCAGCGTCCCGTCCTCGGGGCGCTCAAGGTTCTCTTCCGGACGTGACCCGAGGACTGGGAAGCTCTCCGTCTCCGGGGCCCGAGCCGGCTCTGCAGCGAGTTGTTAGAGTGTCGTCTGGGGCTCGGCCTCCTGGAGGGGCTTGTCGACCTTGACCTCGGTCTCTCGTCTGGGCGGCGTTCCTGTAGGGGCCACATGGGTGAGAAAGAGATGCAGTTTATCAAAGTAAAACATTTTGCAAAGATTATTCATATTTCTTTTTTTTTTCTTTGTCTCTTTCCAATTCTGGCTTTGAGACTATTTACATTTTGATTTAACTTAAATTTAAGTGTGTGTGTGTGTGTGTGTATGTACATTTACAATGGTTGAGCAAAGTTGCTGTGGTGGTGCCTCTTGTTGGACGGTCATCAAGGTGGAGAGGACCATGCCGTGAATTTCCTCTCGCGATGGGAGGGCTGCGAGAAGTCTGTTCTGGATGCGGGCTGCCAATTCGTCGGCCAGACGCCTCAGGTCCATGTTGTCCATGTTGGCCTTTTTTTTCGGACACTGTCCCGTGAGCAAAAGAGAAGCGATGGACGGAAAGTTTGATTGGCGAGCGGCGAGGTGTTTGTTTTTGTTGGGTCTGACGGAGGCGTGGTCGCATGCGGCCACATTACGGAGTTGGTTGGTAGCAATGCTCTCTTCCTTGGAGTTGTGTTGGCAGTGCTGCAGCAGACGATTTTCGCATGACCGGCGAACAGGTGAGTGATGCAAATTTTTTCGCAATTATTTTCGCAATTCTTGGTGACTTTCGCGGATTCTAGGCGTCAGGCGCGTCGCGTCTGACCGGTGTGGCTCGGCTGTGGACGACGGGCGACGGCTGGCAGTCGGCGGCCGCGCTGCTGTGCCGACTTTTGGCGAATTGCCGCAGGCGATTTGGTGCACATGGCGGTTTTGGCGGCAGCGCTGGGTGGAGGCGGCGGAGGCAGAGTTTTGCTCGTACAAGTGAGTGTGAGTATTTGTTTGTGTTCCTTAAATTACATATTAATTAATCACGTTTGAGACGATCAATTCATTCTTTTCAGAGTTTAAACATTTTCTTTTGCTAATTGCGGGCAGAATTAATTTTAAATTTTTCTCTGAATTTTCTTTGACAAAAGTTATATACACACAGATAAAATACGCTTATTAATTAATTTAAAAAAATTCATCTTCTTTGAATTTACAATTGAAAATTTTAAGCTATTTTACAATTAATTTACAATTTTGATATTATTCTAACTGCATCTTTTCGACAAATTTTGCAGTTCGGACTCGCTTGTCCTTCGCTCTTGCGCAGTCATTTACTTAAGTTGGGCGAGAACTTCAACTGATGTCGCCCAAACTTTAATTATTCGCATTCAGTCTGAGCGAGAACTTCAGCTAATGTCGCTCCATTTATACATTCTTATTAACTAAGGGGTTCAACTTTTATCTAATGTGGCTCAGATTTGCAATTCGGAATTCGGCGCGTTTTCTTCTCTCTTGAACTGCTCCTTTTCTTTTACTGATTTTTCTTTTCTTCTTTGTTTGTTTCAGGTCCTCGTCACTGGTTCCAAGCAAAATTCGGATCTTGGAGACGCGGTCGGCGCTCTCGCAGATTGTGGTGCCCACGGTGTAGGCCTGCCAATTCGGCGAGTTCAGCAAATGGCTCAGGCACTTTTGCCTTCTCCTCGCCCTTCCGAGGCCGGCCGCGCTTTCGAGGTGTGGGCGGCGGTGGTTGCTCGGCAGCTTTGCTGGTTCCTGCGCCAGCTGGCGCGTTTGGAAAATTTTCTGCAGGCGGTGGCTGCCCCCTGGTGGACTCTGGATTATCATCAGAGGAGGCAGAGTGTCCGGTCTTTTTGGCCAGACTGGGATTTCCTTCCTGGGGCTGTCGTTGCCCCCCGGTTGACTCGTGGTTATCCGGCTGCATCGACGATTTATTTTGCAGACCAGTTGAAGACTGAATTGGCACCATCGGAGGTGGGCCATCCATGGCATGTTCGTCACAGCCGAGGAGGTCGGCCTGCTGGCCTTTGTCTGCCGTGTCCGAGGGACTGCTGGTGGCAATTGAAGAGCCAGATTCTGTGTGGTGCTCCTCGATGGATGACTCTTTGTGTGTCGGCGCCTCCCCGGTGCTCTCGTCTGGAGGTAAGGCACTTGCATTTCTCTTGCTCTGTGTTTCTGACTGGCTTGAGGTTTCAGGAGTGCTACTGGAAGTTTGACCTGACACGGGCCCTGTGTCAGACCTCCCTGTGATTGTGCTCGCTGGATCAGCTGCACTCCCGGAAGCTCCAGCATTGTCATTAACTGGTGTGACGTCAGAAGAAAAAGCAAAGGGTGCTCCGATCACAAGTTGTGCAAGGCTCCCTTTTGGTCTGAGATGGCTGACGTGTACTGTGCATTCGACTTGCTCTCTCTCATCTGGGTTCAATAATTTTAAGTCGTAAGTAACGTCACTTCTCCGATGGAGAACTACGTAGGGGCCTCGCCATTTATCACCATCTTTTCCTTTCTTTCCAGGGCGCATTTCTTTGCGCAGGACCAAGTCACCCGGTGAGAAGGAAGGCAGAGGCCCTCGGCAAGTGTATGCCTCTTTTGCCTCTTCGCTGAACTGCAATGCTGCTGCATGAGTGGTCGCCAGGCGAGCTCTCAGTTGGTCCACGACGACGCTGGGATCTTTTGCGTCATGGAAAGACACTTTCTCCTTTGGGTAAGTTATGTCCTCCCATGGTAACTCAATGTCTCTCCCCAGCATCATCATGCTTGGTGTTGTCTGCGTGGTGCGATTCGGACTTGTTCTGATGGCCATGAGAGCAAATGGCAGATTTTCTTCCCAGTCTCCCTGTCCATTGCTGCAGAACTGATTGATAAAACTTCCATAAGTTTGGTGGCTCCTCTCTAGGAGGCCATTTCCTTCAGGGTGATAAGGTGAAGTGAAGATTTGCTTCATTTTTAAGAGTTTTGCAACTGCTGCGATGACTGCGGACGTGAAGTTGGTTCCTCTGTCGGTAAGCATTTCAAGTGGGACACCGTAACGAGATATTATTTTGTCCACCAGGTGCCATGCGACGGTTGGGGCATCAGTATTCGCAACTGCTGCTGCTTCAGGGTAGTGTGTGAAGTGGTCCACGAAGGTCAGAATGTACCTGTTGCGTTTCTTGCTCAAGGGGAGTGGACCTTTAACGTCGATGGCGATTCTCTGCAGGCGCCAGACGACTGGGGCTACTGGTCTGTTAAGCACAGGCTGCATATTTTTACCCTTTTTCTGCACGCAGGACATGCAGAGGACGCAGTGCTGGCGAACGTCTCGGTGCCATCCAGGCCAGTAGAACCGTTTTCTGATGTCGTAGAACATCCTGAAGCCTCCTTTGTGTGCACCAGTTGGCAGATTGTGGCAGACCTCCAACACTCGTGGCCTCATTTCTTCTGGTACACAAAGGCGTGGCCCCTCAAGGTCTCTGAAGTAGAGGAGGCCATCCTGGTCTACAAAGTATGGGCTGATTTCAGCTTCTGGTGCGTTTTTCAGTGTGCTCATCACTCTGGAGCAGTGGCTGTCACTTTTCTGAGCCGCCAAAATTGTTTTTCTGTCCCAGATTTTTGCGATTTCGTCCTTGACAGCTGGCTCCTGAGTGGTCTGCATGACTGAATTGATTTCTACGCGGGAGAGAGCGTCGGCGACGGTGTTCTTGCTGCCAGGGACGACTTGGACGGTGAAGTCATACTCCGCCAGCTCGACTGCCCACCTTGCGAGTTTGCCTCCTTTGACTCTGCTGGTGCTCAAAAGCCACTTGAGACATTCATGGTCAGTTTGCAGAATGAAATGGCGCCCTCTCAAGTAGACATCAAAGGCTCGGACGCCGAAGAGCACTGCAAGGCATTCTCTTTCTGTTGTGTGGTAATTCAGTTCTGCCTTTTTCAGTTTTTGGCTGGCAAAACCAACTGGGTGGCGGCCGTCTTCGAAGTCCTGCTCAAGGGCGGCGCCAAGGGCAAAGCCAGAGGCGTCAGTGCTGAGGACGAAGGGCTTGCTCATGTCTGGCAGGCGGAGGAGCGGCTCGCTGTGCAGCAGGGCTTTTGTGTGTTCGAAGGCCGTTTGGCGTTCCTCGTTCCAGACGAAGGGCTCGTCCTCCTTCAGCAGGTCAGTGAGGACCTTGATGAGGCCAGAGAACTTGGGAATGTAGCGGCGGAAGTAGTTCACCATGCCGACCCAGCTCCTCAGGGCTCGCTTCTCTGTTGGGACGGGGAAGCGGACGATGGCCTGAACGTTTTTGTTGTCTGGCTTGGAGCCAAGGGCGCTCACTCTGTGTCCCAAAATTGAGACTTCTTGGCGCAAGAAGAAGCACTTTGCTGGTTTGAGCTTCAACTTTGCTTCTCTCAGTCGGTCAAAGATGTATTGCAGGACGTCCCAGTGTTCGCAGAGGAGTGCTGTCCCGGCCACCACGTCGTCCATGTAGTTGACCACCCCCTTGCGTTTGTTTCTGAAGACTGCGTCCATCAGGGCAGAAAAGTCAGACGGTCCATTAACAAGCCCAAACCCCATTCGAAGACATTGAAATTGTCCGAAGGGCGTTGAAAAGGCCGTCTTCTCCTTGGACGCCTCGTCCATTGGTATCTGCCAGTAGCCGCTGTCCAGGTCAAGAGTGGAGAAGAATTTGCTGCCTTGCAGAGAGTCCAAGACGTCCTGGATGTGCGGCAAAGGGTAAACTCTCTTTTTCGTCACCGCATTTAATCCTCTCCAATCAATGCAGGGTCGGTACTTGATGACCTCTCCGTCTGGACCGCGCCTTGCCACCATGATCATTGGTGCGCTCCAGGGGCTGTTGGCAGGCTCGATGACTCCCTGGCGCCTCATGTCTCGCACCGCGGCCTCCATCACTTCTCGCATGGCCATCGGCACTCGATATGGGCGAATTTTCACCGGCTCTGCGTTGCCCGTGTCGATCTTGTGTGTCAGCATGTCGGTGCAGCCCAGCTGTGAGTCACTGAAGGCGAAAACGTCAATGTTTTTGAGGATGAGGGCCTTCAGGGTTGGCAGGTGCTCAGGGTCAACGCCGTTGAAATCGAACTGGGCAAGGCGTTGTTCGTCTGTGAGTGGCTGACCGACAGGGTTGGGCAGGAAAGGCGGCTCATGTCTCTCCTCTTCGGTGCACAAATTGATCAGATTTTCGCACTCGGCTGGCGGGTCAGGTGGTTTTGGCTCTTTTTCTTGCTCGACTTCTTCTTCTTCAATTTTGTAATCTGTGCCAATTTTAGCCACCAATATTCCTTCAATTTTTCCTGCTTTAACGAGAAATGGACTTGTTTCAGGGTTGCTGAGCAGGATTGAAATTCGGCCACCGCGCTCCACCTTGGTGACCATCGGGACCGCTGGACAGCTGACTCCGGGGCTTTCAGTGAGAACGAGCACGTCGGTGCCTTCGGCCAGTCCGGAGACAACTTCTACGGCGGTGCAGCTCAGCTCTCGAACCAGCTCATCTCGCGGGGCGACAACAGGAAAGAACTCCAGCTCGTGCTCGTTGTCCCGCTCAGGTCTTTTGTCCACCATAGTGACTTGCGCCTCCAGATGGCCGGTGTTGGCGTCCAGCTCAGCGGTAGCCCATGGGAAGTGGAGTCTGTTGTGAGCGTGGTCACTGACGGCTTGGTGCTGGTGCAGAAAATCGAGTCCGAGGAGGGCCTGGTAGCCAACGCCAGTGACATCTACGACCACGCAGGTGTGTGTAATATTTCTCCCCAAAACAGTGAACTTGAAATCGGTGCTCCCTCTAACTTGCATGCCCGTGCCATTTGCGCAGCCAAATTTAATGTGACACGGTTTCAGGTCCAGCCCCAGTCGCTTCGCCAGGTCATAGCGCAGGATGGTGATTGCGCTGCCACTGTCGACCATCATGGGGATGCGGACGCGCCCTCTCTGGACCCAGAGGATGCGGCCAGGGCGTGGCTGGACGGCATGTATGTTGAGGAAGGACTGGAGGGCGGCGTCAGCGCCGCCTACTGCTGCGAGTTTTTTGGCTGAGACTGGTTGATTGGAGCTCCTTGTCCTCCCTGCTGCGCCTGAACCAGTGGACAGTTGTTAGGCAGGTGTCCCAGCTGGTTGCAAAGACGGCACGGCATCAAGGGGCAGGAACCCAGGCTGTGGCCGGGCTTGAAGCAGTACGAGCAGGGCTTCTGACAGTCCTTGACCATGTGTCCGAACTGTCCACATCTGAAACATTTTCCTCCTTTCAGGTTCCGAGGCTGGTTTCCTCCTGCATTTGAGTTCCGCCTTCCTTGCTGCTGGGGCGGTGTGCCTGCGTAGTTGACGGAGTGCTGCGCAAGAGGTGCCTGCATTTGGGGCCAGAAATTCTGCGGCTGCTGATTGAACAGGTTGGGGACGCTCTGGGGCAGTTGGGGCGCTGCCTGGGCTCCCTGTTGCTGGAGGAGCTGCTGAAGAGAGACATGCTGCTGCTGCTGTTGGGAGGCAGCGGAGGCTGGGGCCGTTTGCTGTTGGCTCACGGAGCTGGTGCCGGTTGCGGCAAGGATGGCTTCGGTGACTGCGGCTACCAGGTCAGTTGTTTGGCTCCTGCTCTTCCTCTGTCTCCTTCCAGCTTCAAACTTGATGGCTGTTTTCAACATATCTTCCAATGTTTCAGCACTGCTGATCTGGAGGGCAGTTGCAATGTTGTCGTGGAGACCTGCGAAGAACTGGCGCTTCATCTCCTCCTCCAGGTAGTGCTTTTTGACGTTCTCAGTTTCCTCAGCATGTGGGTTGCGAGCCCTCAGCATTCTGTTGGCGGCTGCCTCCAAGCGAAGGTAGAACTGTTTCACATTTTCCCATTCTTCCTGTTTCAGGCGCTCGAAGGAGCTCTTCAGGCTCAAGTAGTCGGCTGCCTGCTCGAATTTGTCTGCGAGGGCCTTCTTCAGCTTCTCGAGGGTCAGCCCCTCGGTCTTCAGTTCGGTGGCAAAGTCAAAAGCTGCGCCGGTGAGGTTGCTGATGGCCAGATTGACGAGTTCACCTTCCGTGATGCCAGGGCAGCTGTACTTGGTACGCTTGATGCTTTGGATGAAGAGCGGCAAGGTCGTGCCATGCTCGTCTCCGTAGTGATTGATTCGCATTCCAGCAAACTGCTTGTTGAGGATGGCGGCGGTTGCCTTGGCTGCGGCGGAGGCGCCGTGTGCCTCATCTGCGGCCTTGTCTGCATCGACCGTGTTGACGAGGAAGGGGTCGAAATCCATGAGGAGCGAGCTCATCTTGATGGTGAGTAGGTACAGTTGCGCGCGCGAATAGCCACAAAAGATAAAAGAGGTGAGATTTACCCAAGTGCAATAAAATGCTCTCAATCAGAGCCCTGAATTTAAATTTTATCTTTAATTCGGTGTGAATTCATTCAATACTCGCGAAAATAGAAAAAAAAAATGCAACTTGGTTAAAGTCTCTAGCAAAAGGGAACTTAACTTTAACAGCTCTGGCAAGTCAGCTCGGCAGGTGCCTCCAGGGTAGCAACGGCGTCCCGTCCTAAGGGTGAGAGCAAACGGCTGACTTCAGATGCGGAACCAGCGTCCGGAACGGGATGAGGTCGGATGGAGCTTTTGGTACGGATGAGTCCTTCTGCAGTGGGACGTTCCTCTTGGGGCACAATTCAGCACCCCACACCTGACACCAAATCTGTCGTGTAACCACACGACACTTTGAATTAATCAGCAAGTTCCATCCGAGCGCGTCAAAATTTAACCAGAGCTGGAGACTGGCCGGGGAGAACTCATTTGGGTTTTAATTTAAGTTTCGGCTTACTATTGGGTTTTGGGGAATAATTGGCCTTCGGTCTTTATCTAATTGTCTCTTCATTTGACTTTTAAGTTTGACTAGTTTGAGTTTCACTTTAAATAACTAATTCCTTAATTTATCTTTATTATCCTGTTCTTCTTAATTTATCCTTAAGTTAAGCTTTAATCTGAGATTATTCTAGGCTTTAATTTAAGATCTTAACCTCAACACGTGGGGACACGTGTTGGCCAAAGTTTAACTTATTTATCTTAAAATCTTTTAATTAAATCAAGTTAATTCTCTTATTTTAATTTATTCTCTATTGCTTAATTCAGGGTTGCTTAACTTCAATTACTACACAAAGGGTTTAAATTTAATAATAGTAGTTAAGGTTATATTTTCTTAAGTCTAACAATTACAAGTTTATTATTAATTAAGTTTAAAATATGTTCTAATAAATAGGCCTGATTAATTAAAATTACTTAATTTAAATGAGAGAGAGTCTTTAAAAGGGGTGATTTGGGCTGATTGAGAATTATTACCGGAGTTGTGATGCTAGTGTGGTTGGGCAATATGGCGGTTTTAGAGCAAAAGTGATATACGTCTGAACGGCTTGAGTCTCCCAGGCTGTCTGACTTGTCCGTTGGCGCCCAACCTGGCGTCAGCACGCCAGGTAGGGACGCGGAAGTCAGTGGCGCCGCGGAAGTAGGCGCGCTCGAGAACTTTTTGAGTTTAAGTGTTTCAGTTACAACGCGGTTTTTACAAATGTTCGGCGGGAATTGACTTTAAACATATACAGGACTCTCTAAATTATTTTTATTTAAATATGGAATGGCCTTTAATTAATTACGTAGTGCTCGCGATGTTGAATCTGCGGCGGTCAGTCTCTCGGCGGTCCGTAGACGGCCAGGTCAATGGCCGGCCTAAGGGAGGGTCACGTCAATTATGCATTAATTAACTCTTAACTCTCTGGACTGCAAAAAAGAACCTGGTAGTTCCAAAAACACCAATAGGTGGCTTGAAGGTGTTGCCAAACGCTTGAATCTGACCAAGAATCTGGCTTGGATGATCGCATTTTTGGCGGGAGGGTAATGTCAACCGCAGCAGCAGCTGTTCAAGCTGTTGTTGGTTTTGTTTACCTGTTGAAGAATCATTTGAAAATAAAATGTTTTTTCCAAATAAAGTGACGTTAAACCTTTAATGAGCCGGTATGTATTTTACATGAAACTTAATAAGCTTATTAATTGCATGATTAATGTATAATCTGATCTTTTTTTCAATTGTTAGATCTTCCAAGAAATCTTCAACTACATTTATATGTAATAACTCCTGTCTGTTTCTGCTGATACTCTGCCGCGTGATTTTTGACGAGATTAATTTAAAATGGACCTTGAGCTTCAAGGAGAAGACGGAAAATTTTATTCCGTGTATTCTAAGATAAAAAGGGTATACGTGAAAAACAGGGATTCCGAAGAACGGCAGAGGGATCTGCGCATAGATCTTGACCTGCTCTCCGGAAATGGCCCTTTGGGTAGACAGGTTGATTAATTTATGTCTTTGTGCGTTTTTTTCATTCAACTTTGTCCTTAAATCTGATGCTTTAGATTTTGAGTCTGCAAATAACAGATGACGATGACCCATACTTTTTATTCCTGCTGTCGCTGACAGTTGAAGATTTCAAAATTCTCCGAATGGAACAAGGTCTTATTGTCGACTTTGACAACTTTGCTAACCAAGTGGTGCGACTACTCGATGAGTGTTCGTCTTCTTCAAAGTATACTCAGGGCAACAGATTCAGCCTAGTGCTCAACGAGGACCTGAAGAACACGAGACTCGAGTTCATGGAGACGAATGAGTTCAAGCACTTGTGCCACTTGTCGCTAAAAATGATTGAAGGCTCAAGCGCTGACATCAAGAAACACATGGCTCTAAAAATTCATAATTTAAAAGTATGTTAAGTTTAATTTTTAATTGGAAAATTGTTTTTATATTAATTCTCAACTCTATAGGATTCATTGAGAAATATAAACAATATTTTGGAGCAAAAGCAGCAAATGCTGAGTGTGGCTTACGATAAGCTGGAAGCAAAGGATCAGGAGTTAGAAAGAAATCGGCAACAACTAAAAGAGGAGAAGGATAGTTTAGAGCAAAGAGTAATTCATGAAGCAGCAGAGGCTCGTGAAAATTTGACAAGGGTGAATATTTTAGTCAATTTAAAAAGTAATACGAACATTCAGGAATTTTATATCTAGGCTCACATGGAGTGGCAAAGCAGAATGGATAAAGAGAGACAAGAGATGGAGGCAACCAAGGTTCAAGAGGTCAAAATATTGGAAGACCAGTTGTCTGAAGTGAAGTTGCGGAACACCCTGCTCTCAGAAAAATTAATGAACACGGAAAACAATGTCAGGTACATCTCTATTAATAAGTTCAAATGGAACCAAAACTAATAAAAACTTTCATTAGGGATCTTGCTAAATTAGCGGATAGCACTCAAAAAGAATTAAAAGCTGCACAAAAGGAGGTGGTCACGCTGAGGAAACAAAATTCACAAATTGACATGGATTACCATAAAAAAGATGAATCTATGAACTCTTTAAAAACTAAACTGGCTGTTTTGGAACAAGTAAATATTTATTTATTGACTGAGTTTTTTTTTTATTTTGACGCTTGAAGGAACTGAAGTCAAAGTTGGCACTGCTGGAGCAGCAACAAGAAGTTTTGCAGTTGACGACAGAACGGAAAAACGAACTGGAAGCAAAAATTGCAAACATGGAAGCGTCGGTCGGTACCAAGAAGGCCTCTCTTCAGCAGCTACAGAGTGAAATGGTCAAAGCCAATGAGATTATCACAAAGCAGTTGAACGAGATCCAAAATCTGAGTGCTAAAGTTAAATTGAGGACAGAAGTGGCTCTCAAACAAGAGAGTTTGCTTGAGGCTCGGGAAAAAGAGATTGCAGATCTGAAGAACAGAGTTACAAAACTCGAATCTAGTTTGGCTACACATGAGGAAGAAACTGGCAAACTCAAAGAGGAGCTGGAAAAAGCTGCAGAAAATCTGAAAGGAAAGGATCTTATTATCAGGAATAATGAGCAAGGTGAGTGACGAAGAGTTTGTAAACATAAATTATTATTCGAATCATTGCAGTCATTGGGTATCTGACAAAACAAGTAAAAGAGGCAGACGGAAGAACTCTCAAGTCCATAATGCCCACCTCCCTAATGGCCCCTATGACTTCGACTCCTATGATCTCGGGTGGTTCTGGACCATCTGGCTTTTTCGGTACCAGCTCTGTGCAGCCTATGGAAAACAGCGCTGAGCACTTCCTAATGAGACAGAAGGAAAACATCAGAACTCAAGCAGAACTTCGCCAGAAGTAATAATTATAAAACGTTTATTAATAAATGCTGTTGTGTCTAAATTATATTTAATTTTTAGGTTAGGTCTCACCGATCCTCTGGGGTCATATCGACCGATGGAGAAAACTCCCTTGACTCCTCTGTTGGAGCAAGAGAGTGAGTCTCGATCCCATTCCAGTGCCTCTGGAGATGCAAGAAAGCCCCAAAAGGCCAGAGAGCCCCCCAAGTCGAGATACAACCCTACGGCAACAACCCCAGCAGTAAAGCGGTCTGACATTCTCTCGGCCTACTTCCCCAAGTCAGCATAGCAACGCAGCCCCCAAGGACAACAGTGTGTAGTTTTGAAAGAGTGGGTGGAGTGAATGAGTCTTCAAATGCCAAGGTATTTATTCATCATAAGTGTTAATTAATTTGTTGCGTCATGTGCAATTATTATTGGCGAGCTACAGCTACATTGGAAATATAATTTTATTAACTATAAACCATGGTCATATTTTTACACCAAAGAAAAATAAGCTCAACATAAGACATGTTTTACTAAAGCTTTTCTTCCTCGTTATTGTTTCTAAAAATAAATTAATTTGATTTTAATATCTTGCAGTCAGGCTAAAAAGGCTTTTTTAATTTTAAAAGACTCATTTATTAATACAAACAAAATATTATTTCAGAAAAAAAATGACTAGCAATACAATTTTTAATTGCAATATATTAAAAAAAAAATTCATCAAATCGAACTGCGTCACAACCAACGAAGCGCAATTGAAAGCTTCACAAAAAGATTCACTCCAACAAAATTGGGCGTGTAAATTGCAATGGCAACTCTTGAATTGGGGGACCCTTTGTGCAGTGGACCAATTCAGGCTGATTTAAAATATACCATAGCTCGCGAGTTATTTGCCCAGCGGGAATGATTAGGCGCTGACAATAGCCTGATAGCGGATTTCCTACTAACAACACACGCTGCTTCTCTTGTGCATGCTAACCAGGGTTGAGCAACCAGCCACGCACATTATTCCCATGCAGCCTTAATCGACGCGCCATATCAAATTACGTGCTCATTATCTAACGCACTTGCATCAAAGCAGCGCCAGTCTGAACGGAACTTGGCCATTAGAAAATTAAATCTATAAAATAAATATAGAATTCTGAGTATTTCAGTAAAATAGCCATGAGTTGCTGACATTTTTCCTGGAAGAAAAGTAATTCATATATTTATTTTCATGCTAAAATATATTAAAAAAGATGTCTTATTAATAATAAAACAGACTCCGCGGGAGGATCAAATAAAGAATGTGGGAATAATTTATTTTAGCCATTTATAGTCTCATTACGCCTATAATTGCATAAATCGAGATTTGGGTAGAGTCTTTACCTTATATAAAAGCAGCACCTCAGCCTGCCTCAGCCTGAACGGAATTTATCTATCTTTTAGACAAATAAAACTTACGAAGTGTTACGAAGTAATAAATAATCGCAGAGTTTATAGTAAACGGACTGTTTTAAATTTTCATTAAATTTCTGACATTTATTTCTGGAAGAAAATTATATTTCTAATTATTTATGTACAAGATTTATAAAAAAAAATGTCTTATTAACATATAAACAAAGGCACCGCGGATACGGAATGAGAAAAGCAGCCCACGTAAAAAATATATTTGCGTGCTTCGATTATATTTTATACGCCTACTTGATATTATATTATTATGCATAAAACGAGACTTGTGTAGAGAGACTGAACCTGAAGCAAAAAAAAAGCTAAATTTTCACCCTGATCTCCCAGTTCACCTTCGAACAAAATTTATTATTGTGTGACGCCTTTCGGCACTCAATCTTTACATTTTGGTTATTTTTTTAATGCTAAGCTCACAAACAACTATTTTTTAAAGACTGGTTTCTCGCTTCCAATGCAAAAGTGCCGAACACATTTTAACAATTGCCTTCCTTATTTTTATTTAATCTCGTAAAAGCAAAGAGAGATTTTTATCTCGTTTCAACAAAGCGCAACAAAGATTAAATCTCTTCCAGACTTTCCTTATTTTAATTTCAACAAGCCCAGTGCCGCGGTTAAAGGAACGGTGCTAAAAAATTTATAATTAGTATAAAAACATAGGCATGATACCATTATAGCCACAATCAGTGCTGATCACGTTGTCAGCATGGCCAGTTTCTAATCTTCGTTTTCGAATAGAATTGGTGTCAGTTGGCCAGCAGCGATGATCGAGGGCCTCGATCCACTGGCGCAAGCCGCCCTCGGCACCCTCTTCACCTGGGGAATGACAGCCGCGGGGGCTGCTCTCGTCATCTTCTTCCGAGGAGCGCAGCGAAAACTGCTGGACGCCGCCCTGGGCTTCGCGGCCGGCGTGATGACGGCCGCGTCCTTCTGGTCGCTGCTGGCGCCGGCCATCGAGATAGCCCAGGTCTCCGGACTGTACGGCTCTGATGGTCAGTGGACGTTTGTGCCGGTGGTTGTCGGCTTCCTCATCGGCGCATTCTTCGTCTTCAGTACCGATCTCTTACTGGCCAAATTTGGCACTCCGATACTCAAGCCTGCCGACTTCTGTGACGAAGCAAGTGGACCAGTCACAAGTGGCCTGGACAATAATCCATCCGAAGCATCCATTGTTGACGTGGCTCAAGACCAAGTTGATCAGGCAACTCTTGCAGCATCTGGAAACAAAAGGTGGAAAAGGATTGTGCTGCTTATTATTGCTATTACAGTTCATAATATCCCTGAAGGGCTTGCAGTGGGAATGAGTTTTGGAGCCGTTGGACAGTCTCCCTCTGCAACCTTTGAAAATGCAAGGAATCTCGCCATTGGAATTGGCCTGCAGAATTTCCCTGAAGGCCTTGCTGTCAGTCTGCCACTCCACGGTGCAGGTGTTTCCATTGCACGCAGTTTATGGTACGGTCAGCTCAGTGGCATGGTGGAGCCCTTGGCGGGTATATTGGGTGCGGCCACTGTCCAGGTCGCTTCCCCTTTGCTGCCCTACGCCCTCTCCTTCGCAGCAGGTGCCATGATCTACGTGGTGCTTGACGATATTGTGCCCGAGGCTAACTCGGGGAATAGCGGCCGATTAGCGACTTGGGGTGGAATCGTGGGTTTCACGTTGATGATGGCCCTAGATGTCGGACTTGGCTGAACGGCTTCATTCTTACAACACTCGCCCCTCATCGCCCTCACGATTTTTTTGTATGTTGTAAATTAACAGTTCCACGTTTGTTAACAATTATTATTTATTATTCTTACTATAGCTCCCGCTTAATCATTGTTTTTCATTATTTTATTGAAGCTTGTAGTGTAAATTTTTTTATTTCAAGTATAAAATTAATTATAATTTTAAAATTTCATAGATTATTATACAATCAATCACAATCACTGCATGATGAAATTTACTGTACACAAATATGGAGATAATATTGATTTTTGAATTATACCATTTAAAATATAAAATGTCTTAATTACCATTTTTTTTTTAAATGAAAAATAAATTTTTAATAATTTAATATTTATGTAATATATAGTTTCATTCCAAGTATTTACATTTGAAGCATATATCAATTTCTGAATCCTTGTAATTTCATTTTGAACTTTTTTCAAATTCAATCTGTGATCCTAGATTAACTCTGTGTGTCCTATTGAGATAGGTCAGTGGTTTCCGTTTACTGCCGTTTTATGGCATTTGTGGCTGCCTTTATTGCACCACAACAAATACGTTTTACTATCGCTGGTCACTTGATCGCTGTATATGCAGCGGGGCGGTCACAGGAATGAAAACAAAAAACAGATTGGGCGCGAAGTGAGACATATTCAAATTATACATATATTAGAGGAGGACGCGTGCCACTGTTGCATTTTTACGATCGAATTTTATAGCTCTTTTATGGGCGCGTAAGCTGACAAACACACACATAATGAATCACACCCAAAATCACTAATCGTGCCAACAAGCATGATAAATTAATGCTGTATAGCTCTATCAGATAGAACATAGTCCGCGTACATACAATTAGAATGAATATTTTTTTTCCATTAACAAGGTCAAACATCTACAGATTTTTTTCCAACTTTGCCGCTTGTGTTTGTCGTACTTCTTAAAGATATCAATCGTACATCATTGCCTTACATCTGATAATGAAAACCATTTCAATTAAAACGTAATTGACGTGTGCTCCAGGATTCAAGTTTCAAGTGCTTTTTAATTTTTATTCAACATTTGCTCGAATAGAAATTCCACTTGCAAGTTCCCCTGTCCTCGTGAATGTGATAAAAAATTATGATTTGATCATTTCTGTTGCTATTCACGTAAATTTGCATAACGTTTTATTTGGAAACGGCTAAAAGGTTTCATTTTGTAAGAACGTGAAATTTCAGAGAGCTTTTAAATTTATAGAGCGGTTTCCTATATTTTGCCATACAAGAAACAAGATACCCAACCCAGCAGCTTTTTCTTGAGCCGAAGTTCTTCTTTTATTTTTACTCCGACTAAGATTCCCTAGATAATTTATTCATTATATATCAAACCTGTCCAATGGTCAGAGGCTCGCGCGGCGTCTGATTGGACCGAAGAGAGGCACGATTCGCTTTCACGCCGTTTCTACTCTGTCGCCGCTGAGTTTAGACGAAAATTATTGGCTTCCCACCTATATGAATGCCGATAAATTACTCTGCATGTCCTTCAATATTGCTATATTGTATTAGCATTAAAAATGAGTCGCAGATTTTTTCCTCTTACTAAAAAAAAATTGATTTGGAATATTCAAAGAGCGAAAACTTGTAAGTGTATGAACATCACTCGGATTTATTTTAATTTATCTCTGTAAACTGATTTTAAACAATTCTTTGTTATTGCACTTATTATATAGAAATAAAATTATGCAATAATAAATTTATAAAATTTAACTGCCCATTTTTTCATACACTTTGTTTTTATTAATTCCTCTATGTTGCACCTAAAGTAACTGAATATTTATAAAGCTTTTTATTTTGGTAATTTAAACCAATTTTTAGCTTTGGTAGTTTCTCTCTAATAAGAAGAGGTTTTCTTTTATGTTTTGTAAGAATTTAATTAATTTCGACTAGATATTCAGTATCAAACAAATAATTCAAAATTTTGTGCCAAACAAAGTTTGTTGACCCTTAGCTTAAGAGGTCTTATTCATTCAGCCACAAATGGAGCCATCGTCAACGGGAACAAAACACTTTAAAGGTCATTAAATTGTCTGGCTTAACGAGCATAAACTCCAACCCAATCGGTCTAATGGGCAGCAACAGTGCGTGTTTTGACCCGTAGAAAATTCGCAGTTGCCAAGTTCCCGACACTACCAAATTGAGTATGACCTGGTATATGGCGGGTCAAATCGATTGGGCGTAATGCAATTAAGGTCCGCGGCGATGGTGTCAAATTGAATATTATCATTTCGGCGACTTGCAATCAGAATCACACGATAAATTTGGGCGGCTGGGTTGGCGCGAGTTGACCCCCAAGGCCACATGTGATCTCTCGATGATGATGACGCCAAATCGCCCTGGCCTTGGCTCTCCTTTGTTTGTTCCTAACGACTTTTTAATAACTGAAACGGAGGAACACAATTATTCCCGTGCTCATGCACACAGCACACCCACCGAATGTTAATTGCGCCTTTGATTGTGCCCATTAATGCCACTAGCCAGTAGCCACTCTAGCTGTCTCGTTACCCCTTTCATTGCGGTAGGTGCACTCGCGGCGGATTTGCACAAGCTGCATCGCAATAATTGCCCCCGCGGACGGCACATATATGCATTTTGCATTACGAGAGACGCCCCTTGAGCCTCTCACAAGAGCCCACTCTCAGTTGCTAGGCTACAAACTCGCAAATCTCGCCGCTTGTGCTCAGAAAAACCGGCAAATTCCAGTTTGCGAATTTCTGCGATCTTTAGCCAATGGATTGAGAGAAATATTGAGTATTTTACCATTGGTCCATGAGTATCTTGCAAAGAAAAAAATTGTAACATTTAAAAAAATTGTGATTGTCATAAACGACAAAATACTATTTTCATTTGGAAATAAAAATAAAAACTCAGAATTTTATGGTGACCTCTAAATAAACTTGTTATAAACATTTTTTGGAAATTAAATTAAAATCATTTTTTTAAACACTGCCAAAAATATCACAAAATGGAAAATTAAAAACTCGAGTGTTTTGAATCTTGGCTTAGTCTTGCAAAAAATTGCAATATTGTAATTTTTTTATTTTAATAATTTATGAAATTAAAAAGTTTGAATATGATATCTAAACAGATTGGTATGCAAAAGCCTCTGCTTGAAAAAATGCAGTTAATTAAGTAGGGTCCACAATATAGTTAAATTAGTCGAGCTCTTACGATAGCACTTGCTGATAAAATAGAGGAGCGCCCGATAAGAGCTGAGTGAGACGTCCTGGGCATAAGAGCCGCGCTCTCGTATAGACGACAAAACGTTTTCTACAAATAAAACTTTAGAGAATCAAAAAGAGAAACTTAAAATGAATGTGACTATCCGTTAAGCAAAACAAGTTGTTATAATTCAGCTCAAATTAACAGACAGGATAGGAGATCGATTGCGAGCACTGCCTGTCTCACAAAAAATCAATTTCAATCCACTTTGTCACTGTCACACTTTGGCTAAGCAAATGATTTAAATATTTTACACAAGCGAGTCATTAACGGTGTGTACAAATTAAATTTAAAAAAAAATCATTCTACAATTCCCGCTGTCAAAATCAATTAGAGCAAATCCCTTTAAGCCATTTTTTACGGTTGAAATTTAAAATATTTTATTTTAATCCAAAATCTAATACAAATGTATTTTTTATGAAATTCTTTTTTTGTGTCGTGGCGTGATGCGCTGCTGAGCAAATACAGAAGTTTTTGTCCTAGTCGCTTCAGATTCGACCGCAAAACAAAGTGGGAATCTTGCCAGGGGCGTTGAATGTCAAAACAGTGACCCTGCAATGTCACAAACGCCTCCATGGCAGAAGATACGACAGCCAGAGCTTCTTTGAAATATTCTTCTAACACACATTTCATTCTGCGGGATAATCAATTATCAATTTTGACATTGGCGGCAATCCAGCAGGAATTTATTTTTATGATATCTCTAGGCTGCACAGAGTGCTTGCAGATTTTAGATTTTACAGTTTCTGCTGCTCACCAAGGTTGCATGTAACTGATTCATTGGGTGCAAAGAAAGATTTTCTGCACTTCATTTTTAATGCTTCATTTTTGGTGTCTCATCAGTAAAATAATTAAAACGCTCAAATTTTTTTCCTGCTTTTTCAAATACGTTTTCTTTTTTTTAAATACATAATATTTGAACAATTTAATTATTTACAGAAGTGCCGTTTGGAATTTATATTAAAAGTCCACCACTCTCTCTGTCAACTGACTTATTGCAATTCTTACGTTAAACTGAGACCTTTTTATACTTTTCTTCCGAGTGGCGCAAGTTTCAGTCACCCTATATACGCGTGGTGATGGTGAATCACGGAATGCAGATCAAAAATCACGTGGAAGCTCAGCAGATGCGAAAGAAAAACCAACAAACTAGTACTTATGTAAGATAAACAGAGTATGCTACCGCTCGTGGCCGATGCTTTTTTCTGGTCCAGAGCCAAATCCTTCCGAGACAAATTGCTCTGCTTGCGTTTGGCGTTAGGAAACTTCACGCACGCCTCACGGGATTCATCGCAGAAATTTTACTTTCCCTGCATTTTTATTTCCGTGCACGTCCTTGACTCACTTTAAAAAATGCAGTTTTAGTTTCACGTTTTAAAATTAATACGGTGTTTTCCCTCGGTTATATTTTGTGGAAGTGTTTGTCCTGGCTCCAGATGAGATCTGAAGTTGTTTGAGTTGACCTTTACTGTCTTTTATTAAGTCTGTGCCGGTGCTTAAAAACTGAAATGTCTAAAATGAGTACTTGGAACACTCTCTCTGTCTATGTGCAAGTTGGGTGAAGAAAATTAAGGGAGTGAAATTATTTTTGAATTTTAAATATATCTATCATAAGGTTTGTGATGCAAATTTGCTATTTTTGATTAACTTTTTATTTTATTTTATGAACACATTAAAACAAAATTTAATTTACTTTATAAAAAGGAGAGGTCATTATATAATATATAGGATGCTGCTGCATTTGAGTGCAAGTTGACGACAGACGAACGCACACACGTGTATTTGCAGCAAAACCATACCAACGGGGTGGCCTTGCACGTGTAAAGGCCGATCGGCACCTCTATCGCGCGCGCCCATTACCACACCGTGCGCACCTTGCCCAAGCTCTTTTGTGTTGCTTTATCGTAATGAATTAATCGCACTTTTTGCACATCACACAATTTACTTCCTCGTTCGTTTGACTTGCAGATTTTATTCTTGTTTCTACATCCCTCTCGGTGCTGCTATTGGCCGAAATTAGTCGGCAAAGCACTTGTTCACAGAAGATAAATTGGTCGTGCAGCATTAGTGCCGCAGATAATTTACATTAAAGCTAATTGCTCCACTTTAAATTGTTCTATCTGTGTGACGAAAGAAAATGAAGAATGCGCACACCCACTCACTTTTAGTAATTATTTAAAATTTAGAAATATTTGATTTTAAGTTCTATAAATTTGTTGATGAGAAAAAAAATATTTATAGCAATTATATAAATTGGAAGATTTTTTTTTTTAGTTTTTATAACATTTTAAAATTTTAAAGTAATATGAGTTTAATAAGTTTTATCTTTTAATTAATAATATATATTTAAAAAAAATGTTTATAAAGCTTAATTTAATGCGCATTATTTATTGGAGATCTAATTTTTGCAAAATAAGTTATCTAGATGTTTGAGCAGCAGCAGTTTTAAACTTTGTTACAATGTATTTATCATATTACTATAATTGAATGTAATAAATTTTCCAGAAAATTCATTAAACATAGTTAAAATACATCAAACTTAAAATATCAAAGTACTTTTAAGGTTAAACAAAGAAGCTCTTCAAAATATTTTAGTTTTTCCTTTGCCAATACTAATTTTGCGCCGATTCTTCAAATTATCTTATCAGAGCAGCGGTGAGCCCGCCACCAAGGCGTTTTAAACGCGTCTTGCTCATTAGCTTTTAAATGCATCTTATAATGCTTTTCCCCGCGCGTCGTTCACATATGGATTGACGGACGGCCGGCGTGTTTTGTTGTTCCTTGATATCTTTCTTGCGTCCTTTTGGGCGTGAAAAGGAAGCCCTTTTTTATTTTCGCTCGCTATAGGCTGCAGCTGCAGAACAAGTTACATTTTTTCGATGGACTTGTTTACTCAACCGAACTGATTAGAGTGTATTTTTCGAAAAAACAAGATCACGATGTTTTTGAATGGATCCCTCTCATAAAGATAACAATGAGTCAAAAGCGAACTGCAATCTACGATTCGCTTCGCAAGCATCTGCATGTGGCGATATATAATAATGGAATTTAATGCTGTGGTGTATGGTTTTTGCAATGAGTAGGTCGCTCCTTGCGGTAGTGTTTATTTCATGCCAACTGATCTCACTGATTGACGCCGCGTGTGAGGAACTCATCACTCATCCGTGCAAACCTGATTGACTTTTCATTTTCAATCTGTTTGCGCTTGCATATTAATTAGTCACTCATTTGAAACAATTTTTTTTAATGCTGTCTTAATAAAAATATACTAAAAGTGAATCAAATTATTTTCATAAAAAATTGGCTTGATTTATGAGGTTTTCAAAAATAATTATTAAATCATGCATAAAAAAAGTGTCGAAAAGAGTGTCGCACAAAAATTAAATTAGTTGCTAAGTCGCATCTCTTTATTGTGTCATCACGAAATTAGTGCCGAAATTCATCATTCACGCATTCAAAAATTATGAAACTTTAAATAAACAAGACAGGGGAACGATGTTATGGAATTATTTTCTATTTAATAATTTGTCTTTATCTGAACACCAGTGAAAAAAAAAAAAAAAAAATTAAGGGTATAGTTTTTGTTTTCACTTTCACTCCTGAGGTCTAAAAACGAAAAATGTGAACAAGCTCATTAATTTTTGATTGGATTTAGAGATGACGGAATATAAGATAAATTCTAGAACACCCAAGGTTGAAATTTAGGCTTTGCCAATTCTTATGTTGCTGCATCGGAAGAGAAAACAGCATCATTAATCTCAATGTGCGCATCTCTCGAAAAGGAAAAACAAAATTAAATAGACAGTTTCTTGGGGCCCACGTTCTGAACTACGATGCGGCCTCGTGAGTGATAACAACAATAGCATAATTTTGGGTCTGCTTGATTGATGGATTTTTTCCCACACTTTTCGCAACGCTTTAAAAAAGAAACGCGCAGTTTAGGTTCGTCGGCCCCTAGTTCTGTAATTAAAGTTCATCTATGATCATTTTTTCTTGTTTGGAAATCTCTGCGGCCAATAGCATCTGCCTGGGTCGCTGTGGAGAAAGAAACCTTCTGACCCGCTGCCATTCGCGCTGATTATGCAAGTGGTGATGAGCTGGAAGTGACGTTCATTCTGCCTTTCGAGCTCATTGAGGGGCTCGATCCATCTGGCAGGAGGATGCGCCTCCAGACCACACAAACACCAAACTTTACAACTGACGTTTAATCCCAATGAGAGGCCTTATTGTGTAGAATTCAAAGAAACTTTCATAGAATGCTATATTTTATAGGAGATTGAAATTCTTAAAGAGTATCGTGATTTTTTTTAATTGAAAAAAAAAATACTAAGGTTAAGGTTTTCCATAAAATTTAGAATTTTTCTAGCACTCCATAATTATACTGCACAAAAATATGTTGTAATTTTTGCAATATTTATTTTTCCTTGCTCAAGCACAAATTTCACTCCTACTCTGAAGTTGAGATGTAAACAAAATTCCAATTAATCAATCTGCCATATTATTCTCAAGTTCATCTCAACTCACGCCTGCTCAGAGAAATCTGCACAGATTATGCAGATTCATATTGCATTTTATGTTCGCACTTGACCCTCATTACCGACCAGATTGACGGCCTAACTGATCTTGCCAGTTTTAGAATTAAGAGCTGTTTCAATTGCGCTGACCGACTTATATAAATTGTTAATTACTATAGTCCTCAATTAATCCCTCATAATTAAATTAAACAGGAAGTTGCATTTGAATACACAATGAATCATAAATGATTTAATTTAAAATAACCCCTTAATTATTGTGTAAAAAAATATTTATAATTTTAGAAAATGAGTTAATTTGCAAAAAGTAAATAAAATGAAATAAAATAAATCAAGAAGTTATTTTATATATTTGCAACATTTTATTTCGATGAACATCCATGACACTGATTAAAAAATTTAAATAACCTATTTTTCTTCTAAAATGAAACGCAAAATAAATCTGATTTTCCTGGAAACTCTAATTACAATTGCATCATCAGAACCTTCGACCCAGAACCGACATTAAACTCATTAAATAGGCACCTAACCACTTCCTCCAAGTACGGTTTTCCCTGTCACGCGAAAGGAGAACAAAAATTACTCTTTGATCATCATACGATTTTCAAAGCTGCGCCTGCGAATTTTTTTTTTATAATCTTGTGGGAAACTTAATTGTTTTGGAAATTTTGAAGGGGCAATTACGTCGTCCAAGAGGTGACACGATAATAGTGGCGAACGAGTGAGAAAAGAGTGGTGCATCCATCGTGGGGGCTGCGCGCAGCCGCCTCCGAGGCAAGTGGGGGCCCTTGATATTTATCCAGTGAGCGCAGCCGCGCCGACCACCAGTTTAGCACCAGCTGCACACCGATCGCGAGCACAGCCCCAAGCTGCAGGTCGCACTCTCGGCTTTTCCAGCACCTTTCTGTATGAACTGAAGACACTTTATTCGGCCAAACGCAATTCGAGTGAGTACCTTTCGATTCAAAACTTCATTTCCGAGCATCAAGGCGCTCAAACGCCGCGAGTTCGAGTGCGAACGAGTCCATTTCACAGCTCTTTTTTCGGGCTGGCTGTTCTGCGTCTTGTTTTTCTGGGAAATATTGACAGAAAAACAAATTGTTTCGAAAAGGTTTCAACCCCAGCTACAGTGCCAATCAATTCTAGCAGCCAGAGAAATTGATTATAAATAAATTTGAAAATTTAATTTTTACAAAATATCCTCAAAAATTATTTCTAAAAAATTTAATGGTGAAATTTACTGCCCTCAAATTTTTTTTTTTAATTAATCTTCGTGGTCAAATTTTGACCTTTGTAAATTTTATTAATTTTAAAATAATTTTTTTAGATTTTTTTGGCTTAAAAACAGATTAAATTTGTATGATTAATTATGAGTACCTGTAGCTAATTAATTATATAATTAAATTGAACTTATCTCCTTGAAACCCTTTTTTCTAACATCGTCTTGAAGCGTTTTGTAAAAAGTCCTACCAATGCCAAGCACCGTGAAGTTGCATTTTCTGCGCACATTCCTACATAGCAGGCGCGAGGACGAGCATTCTCGAAATACAACAATTATTATTACACATTCGTACACCAGACACATTGAAGCCATTAATAATTCAAACAAAACTCCCACGGACAAGCAACTTTCTATTAGCTAAAATTAATCGGCAATAAATCGATGAAATTAAGCACCGAAATTTTCACGCTCAAATTTTTTCAATTAACCTATTCAGAACCGATTTCGGCAAATCATAATCCGACATCAACCCTTGGAGGAAAAACGCTCTCTATTTCTTCCACACGCACGACCTACATCGAGCAAAACAACATCAGCTGTTCGCCTGGCTATTTCGGTCAATACCGCTGCGCGCGCGAGGGTGAGAATAAACCAACGCAGCTCTCGGCAAGAAACGCTCGGCGTTCGCAGCGTACCTGTTGTTGCTGTCGCTCGCCAAAATCGCAGCCGCCTTTGAAAACAAGTTGTCTTTTCCTGCTCTGTCCGCGATTCGAGGATTTTGACGCTGAGGTTGTTTGCGAATTAGAAGGGAACCATAATAATTAGAAAATAGCGGCTCGTTTCACATTCAAGAGGGGTGCGACGGGTTATTTTTGCGCAGTTCTGCCATGGGGGAATCCAAAGTCTATTGGCGAAATTGCATTGAGGTCTTGCTGATGTTCCGCCACAATTTATCCTCAATCATCATAATATTGCAACAAACTGCAGATACTTTCGTTGGACTTCTTTTGGTGATTAAAATGATTAATTGAAACCAATTAAATACCATTTTACTTATTGAAGTAAAATATATTTTTGCATTTGTTAAATGATTTTATTATAATTTTTAGCCTTTTATTAAATTCCTAATTTTCAACAAATCAAATATTATGTATTAAAATATATTATATTTTCTTTTATTAAAACTATTGCTAACAGTTCATACAGGACAATGACAAGTTGTGTTTTAAAGTTAGCATATTTTTTGAGTCGTTAAGTACAGGCGGCCTAAAACTGTAATTATTGATTGTATTGATAGTCCCAATTGAATTAATGAACAGCACTGATAAAATTTGAAACACAAATAAATCAAATTTAAGTAAATAAAAGCTGTTGAAATCATACTTTCATTTTTATTGTAATTACAATAATCTGAAGCTTCTTGACTGATGTCCTTGCTATCATTTGCGGCAAAATAATAATAAAAAAAACCGCTAAATTATTTGCAAGCGGCTTAAAGATTTTTTGAGACCCACTGAAGCAGACGCTTGCTTCAATAATGCAGCAAAATAGATCTAAATCTCTCTCTCACCAATTATATTAGCATGATCAATAGAGCCGAATGTACGCCGCATAAGACGCGCACTCGGCAAATTCAATGTGAAGGCCATCAGGCTCAATAAGATAAAAAGCGCCCAAGGATCGAACGGCGTCGACATTAAGCAAAATCGAAAGTGCTTCTCATCCATTTTCATGGCGGTGCGACTGCAGACGAAAGGGAGTCAAAAAGCGCTGCAGAGGGATGGCGGTGGCTCTCGTCGGGTCCATTTATTTTCTTCGGTCTATTTTTAGTGATGTGCGATTTCATTTGAACGTGCTAGAGACCTCCATTTTTCCAATCACAATCAGCACGTTCCCTCTTTTAAGAGAAAAAATTCTTAAGGGACAAAAGCTGTTTAAATGGATAAAAAGAAAATTGGTCTCTGTTTACTCACTGATTAAATTGGAAACAGATGGTTGAATCTTTCAACATCATTTCCTTTTCAGCGAGATAAATATGAAAACGGAAAACTTGTTTCCTCAACTGAAATCAAAACAGAATTTATGAAATTCTTGATTTGTAAACCAAGAAAAAAATAAAGTAAAAAATATCAAGCATGATTATTCTCTACACCTTTCACGACAATTTTACCATAATTATAAAATTATGTTTGTTATGGGTTACTTTTATTTAATCAAAAGAATTACCATTCCAATAATTTTTTTTTTTTAAATTCAAAGCTATAAACAGAAATATCAACTGGAGAGGTGTTAATAAATTATATTTTTTTTTTTTTGCAAAGGCTGAAGGAAAAAAATCCTGTTGGCAAAAAGAAATCTTAAAAGTGTTTCCCCACGAGAGTTGAGCAAAAGTTTGCTCTGCCAGCGGGTTTTCGGTGAGATGACCGATCCGAACACACCTCCTTTTAATTACCCCAATTACACCTGTTTTCGAGGCGGCTGCAATTAGTGTAGTCGGCAGCAGACACGCGATTTCGCGGACATGCTGGGCTTAATTCATCCGGTACAAAAGTGAGACAAAGCCGGGCAGAAATGGGCACGTGAAGAAAGCAGAGAGAAGTGGCGTGATGACCTCTGCATGCATTCCGAGAACCGTCGTAGCCAGAGGATAGCATGGGCACAGCCTCCACGTCTTAATCCAGAGAAAAGAAAAACTCTAGCACGTGCAAAGACCCCGCTCGTTTTTATGCTTTATCTTGCTTTTATTTGCGAAATGTCGCGCGCGTCAAGTTGTTTATTGTCGGCGGCATGAGTGTCGAATTTGAGACTTGAGAGGGTCTTCGCATTCGCATAACAACACTTTTCCTTGTTGAAACTACTGTCTAAGGTTTCTAGCAGAATGGAACGTTAGGAACGTATAAAATTTTAATATCAGTGAATTTTTTAAGATAAAAAATATATTTGATACAAATCTTGATATTCTGATTTTAGTTTTTCAACTAGTAAGTTTAATTATTTAAATACTAGAGTGAAAATAATCAGTAAATTTGCAATTTTAATATTATCATTTAAGTCTTACTCATCTTTTAATTTTTAAACGCTCCAAATAAACAAATTTCATTTATACGCCCTTTAAATAGTTGAGTTGAACAAGCTGAACAAACATTGTAAAATTTGCAACCATTATAAAAATTTTGTTCAAACGAGAGCTCACTTATATTGTTATAATCATCAATCACGTGTGCTCTGTCTGTGTGAGCGTCCAGCAGCATAAATTCAGGTTTTCCAACTCAAAAACGGCGACGCGTTCACTTCTTTCTTGCTCACTCAAAAGTGGCTATCCTTGCTGCCGGGGGTCATTTTCTGCTCTTCACATCAAGGCAGAGTTTTATTTTTATGTATATTAGTGACCATTCCGCCGCAATTTTTTACACCTCAACGAGCACATTAAACACACATTTCGCATTGCACACTTCAAGTTGCTTTTTATCCATTCATTTTTTATCTCGCCTCATATGCATTCCTCCGGCGTTTTTCCACGCACGTTCAACCGCGAGTGTTTATTTCAAGGAAGTGGGTCGTCAAGCTGCCGTCATCATTTGAAACTGGCTGCTGCTCTCTTTATCTGGCGCACTGATTATCAGTGTGCTTGCTTTAATCACGGCTCAATGGCGAGGAGTATTGATAAATAAGTGGACCAGCAGCACGCGATTGCAAAATTGCTCGCAGACGCTGATCAGAGAGGATTAATTAACACACAAAAATATTTTTTTTTATATCACTAATTTAAGAATAACATTGCTGAATTGAAATTTGCCTCGACAAATTTCAAAAAGTAAATTATTTAAAAAAAAAGAAGGTAGAAACGTCAATTGCCAATTAATTATAATATTTTTATTATTATTATTTTATTGCGATATATCCATTAAAATATTTTGCAGAAAAGCAACTGTTTATTTAATTGGGCGTTTTTTTTTTTCATAGCTTTATATTTTAACAGTCTACATTTAACCAAAGGCAATATAAATAGATAATTAATAGCACAATTAGCAAGCCTCTAAACGCCAAGCCAAATAAATGCAAACGTTTTCTTACGTCAAACTTTCGCTCTCACTATTTACGCGTGTCGCTGTCACGCGATTTATGAATGGAAGCCTCTCTGGCAAATTAAAACGGTGTTTGTGCAAATACTGCAAGTTATGCAAATTTCATGGTTTATATTTTTACCGTCGCACTCGCTTAATGCCAGAGCATTGTGTTTGCGTCGGGCGCGTGTTTATTTGGCTGGGTCGTGTAGGAGGCACCGTTCGCGCACTCGCTATAATATTATGTAGTCGGAGGCTCAGCAGTGCAAATATTAACTTGGTGCCCATTTGCACGGCACTCCAACATGGCATGAAAATTTTAGCGCCAGCAACCCTTACTCACAACGAGAGAGCAGGATTTATTTGGAAGAGAATGGCACCGCCCTAGTTTGATCTGGTTTACATTTAAATATTGGTGATGTTGGAAGTCTTTTCCATGATAAATTATTTTATTTTTTAATATTTCATAGATTGTTTTTTTTTTTAATACAATAACTTTGAAAAATTATTTCAAGAAATCAAACCTTTTTTAAAATGGCGTATGAAAAATAATTCTCTTTTCAGTTTAATACGAACAATCTTAATTATTGACAAATATTTTTAAAGCTGTCAAGCAATTTTCTTTCGAGTCCTCCAATCAAAGCACCCTAGAGAGTTGTTGGAAAAATACTTTCCGCTTTTTATCGTGATGTTCTTTTTTCTCCTTTTTTTTCTTTCTCGGCCGAATCACGTGAAGCCAGCGCCCACACTCACGTGAACGCGTTTTGAAACCCTTGCACAAGTCGGGGTGGAATTTTACGTCCCTACCGTTTTATTGACCAGCCTCAAACCTCGAGTGCTACACTCTGCCACTCACCATGTTATAAAAAGAGCGTCTTTTGTTCGCGACAATTTCAACGCTCAGATGCTTCTTCTTTCGCTAATGGAAACGCTTAATATTCCTTTCATTCAACGTTCACAATGTATAATTCAAACTGCACAATCAGGAGCCATTAGTAAGATTAAAATATTAATTCACTCAAAAATATACTTTTGCTGATTAAATTTCATTTTTTTATCCTTTTCACATTAGTTAATAAAATATTCATAAAACCCAATCAAATTTCTCTCAACTTGGACCTTCACTTTATTCCAACCTGTTTTCACCGACCCTGCAATTATCCTCTCTGTAATAGCACCAACATGAATGCATCAATTTCCAATCTGGATGAATAACAATTTTATTTTTGAGCTTTCCTTTTTGTGGCTGCTTTCCTCTAGAATTCGTTATTACCCAATTCTTTCAGCCGTCATTCAAGGCAAAAGCAATTTTCATTCCAAACGGCACGTCTCAGCCCGAAGGTGTCTGGCAATAATTGAATCAAAGCGTCTGTCTGCCCAAGAACCTTCCGTTCTTTACCGTCGTCACTCCTAGGACAATATCTAGGCGTCCACCTTAATGAATTCCATTATCACGGAGGCGACGCATCAAATAATCATAATCTAGTCGGCCTGGTTTAATCGTTGATAATAATATTCGTCCCCTCGTGGCACCCTCTCTCGCCCACAACTGGCGTGACGTGGGCTGGACTTTCAGGTGTCCGTCGTCAAATTTGCATTAGTGTGAGCTTTATATGGAAATAGTTCCTGGGTCTACTCAGGCAGTGAATAAATCAGACTTCTTGTTATTCTTTGTGTAAATGAGTGTTTTATATATAAATTCTTACGAAGACATAGCCCTTAAATTAAAATGGGAATAAAAAAATTTACGGTAGCATGATATAAAATAGAAATAGTAAACAGTTTAAATTCAAAAGTAATAATTGGACACTGGTGAACTTATGAGTTATAAACTTATGTTTTATCTTCTTCAATTTATCTTTTTTTGTTAAGCAAAACGTTTAATAATTTGAATGGCACAAAACGAAAAACTCAAAAGGATAGAATTTAATTAGTTAAATTTTTATTTATTATTGCTCGCTTTCCAGGAAATTTGGCAGATTAATGTGGACTGATAACACAGTGAAATTTTTTAAACGATTTAATTGATATTAATTAATCAAATTTTAAAGTTTTTCAACCACGACAAATTAATTCCATATTAATATCTCATTCTTCACTGAAATTAGTTGTTAATCTTCAACTAAATGAAACTCGGGAAAAATTTACTTTCCTCATTTCCCATGCATTCATTTCTCGCAAACAGACTACTGCTGATAACGATAACAACATAACGGTCTATTAACATTAACACATTCATGCAATTTTCCTACGACAAAGTGCAATAAAGCGATGAACTCAATCTGGAGTAGCGAAGTGGCAGCCACCCATAATAAACTAGTCATGAACAAGGCATACCAGGGCAGGCACAACATTATACTGGTGGATGATTAGAGACCAATGTCCTTATGTGCACCATGCTTAATGAGATTATACTAATTCAAGAGTTTTTAATTGACTCTTCTATTCTAGACTAGAACCTAGATTCCGAGAATATTCGCTCCTCTAAACAAAGTTCTTTGTCAACAGCGCGCTGCTATTTTAGTCAATGGCAAAGAAAATTGCATTTCCTCGCTTTACGAGAGTTCAATGAACTGTCTCTCTTAAATTTTCCACAGCGGTAAACTGATAATTCAAATTGTAGCATTACATTTTATTCTAAAATTGCAGTAAATAAATTTAAAATTTGGAATTGGTTTTTATTCTATATATTTTATATATTCAAGCCTCAAATTAAGTTGGAAGGTACTTAAATTAAAAAATGCGGCCCTTGAACTTTTAACACTTTTGTTTTAAAATTTTTCTTTAACTTGTCTGACCTGTTTATACAAGCTGTCAGATCAAATTAGCGCTCTGACAGAATCGAGAGACTGCGATCACGATCACGAAATTTCTGCAGCCAAAAATATCCGAAGGGCCAAGGAAAGCAGCGGCTCTCAATTTTTTGGCCTCAAGATTCAAAATAATAAATTTTAGATATTTAAAAAAACGGCTCCTGCTTCCTGAAATTGTCATGATTTGACTTATTTTCTTATTTAATTGCAGAATCACAAACAATATAATGCGTAGTATAATTATTATAATATGCTTAAAAAAGATTATTTATAAAACTCTAATAGAACTAAGATGACTCAAAATAGTATTGAAAAATATTTGCTAAGCGTTTTATCTTGCAATTAAAATAATTGATTCCAGTAGGATATGAACCTGAGCGTGCTTAAGACGATTAAATTTTAATGGAAATTGATCTCATTCCCCATCTTGACATTTTACATTAGCAAGCCCATCAGTGGCGGCTGTAGAAAATAAAAAGACTAGCCGCCGCTCTCATATGCATTAAAACAAAGTTGTTCTTGCTTGTCAAGAAAATAAGCTCCGAGTTCGTGCGTCATCAAAGCGGCCGTAGAGAGCAAGATTTGCGAGAGTGCAAAAGAGTTCCGCCTTTTACAATTCTACAATTAATTCTAATTAAAATATTTGAGCAATTGAAGTCTAAATTTAATTTGTTGATAAAAACAAGCTTGTTTGGACTTGAAGCCACTTAAATTTATTTGATCCGTGAATAATATTTGTCACATTTTGAAAAACAGCCAGTTCCGCCACAGCAAACACAAAGCCCAATCTGGTTCGCTGCTCTTTGTACATTCGCCTTGGCACTCTTTGTGCGCCAGTGACAAAGCAAATTAACTCGCAGCTGGTCGCACTCTTCTGCTCGGCGCACTCATAATTTTAAACTCCCTAACTGAAGAAAAAAATGATGAATTTTGAGAGTTCTAACAAATTTTTTGGCGCTTCCAGCATGGCGGCCCCCAACCAAATCGCCTACACCAACAAAAGGGTGTTGGACCGCTACCTGGCTCTTGAACAGCCTGCCGACAAGGTGATGGCTACCTACATTTGGATCGACGGCACCGGCGAGAATGTGCGCGCCAAGACCAGAACCCTCGACTCCATTCCAAAGAGCCCAAAGGGTAAGTTTTTGAACTTTCAATACATAATCGTTCATCTATAGAAAAAAATAATATTTTAGAACTTTCGCTCTATATAAAAGTTGTATAATGGGAAGAGAACAAAAGACTGACAATGAGAGGTAAAATAACAGAAAAGAATAAAAGAAAACGGGTTGAAAAAGACGACAGTTTTCAGCTCATTCTTTTCATTGTCAACCAAGTGTTCTTGGAAATCGTAACACCATGAACATCATAACATAAATAAACGATCTTTTACATTTTAAATTTTAACGTAAAATCTTCTAAAATTAAAAAAAAAACATTTTATGTCTTAAAAAAACCTTATTTTTAATTTTTAAATATTTATTAATTATTTTAATGATTTTCTATAACTTTTCAACATTAATTGAGACAAACCAATCAAGATGATTATTTTTACTTTTTATTATTATTCACATACAAAAAATTTAATTGTATAACAACAATTGTAACTAGTCATATTAGTGAAAATTATTTACTGCAAATTTAAAATAAAAATATGACAAATATGTATTGTACAAGTGAGGGTAGTCTATGTAAGCCACTCTCTTTCAAACTGTTTGGTGTAAAATTGCCGCACCCAAAAGCCAGCATTAAATTTCAAAGAAAGACATTTTGTCAGATATTAATTCGAGAACGGTGTCGGATAATTTCCACATCTTCTCGCCCACTCTACCTGTCCTCAGTGGTCTATTTTGGACGCTTACATTCGCGTGGCAGCGTTGCACTACGTGTGGCCTACGATGAACTTGGCGCTCTCCTGCCAAGTTTCTCTCATTACGCGTCCGAAGCGCGAAAGTGACACGCCGCACTTGCAAAATTAGAACATTGTATTATTTGCGTCCCGCCACAATCTTGCTCCATGCCTCATGATCTTCAAAAGAATTCTCTTGTTGTACACGAATAAACAACAAAGGCAATTTCAAGCTGATGAACAAATTATTTTGACAGCCAAATAGTAAAAACGAACCACAGGAAGAGTCAAGAGCAATAATATTTGAATTTTATATGTTTCAAAGTACCATTTATGACATATTTCACATGGTATATAATCAAATATTTTGCACTGTGGTGTGTCATAGTTGTCATAGAATAAAGCACATTGATAATAACAAAGAACAATGTAGTAAATTGTAGTTAAGAAGTTCCTGAAATAAGATATACTGATGAAGCTGCACAAAAGATATAGAAAAATATGGAGCTGTAATTGAACGATTTGAATACAAAGATAATTTATAACTTTATTTCTTTGTTATGCTAATTTTGCATTTTATTTGTTTTTCAGATTTGCCCATCTGGAACTATGACGGCAGCTCAACGTACCAAGCCGACGGTTCCAACTCAGACATCTACCTCCACCCCTGTGCCATTTACAGGGATCCCTTCCTCCTCGGCAACAACATCCTTGTCCTTTGTGAAACCTACCGCCACAACGGAAAGCCCACTGGTAGAAGAAATTTTTATTAAAAATATCTCATCTTAATTGCGGATTTTTGCAGAATCAAACCACCGCAAGTCTTGCGCCGAAGTGATGGACCGCGCCAAGGACCAGCACCCGTGGTTTGGCCTCGAACAGGAGTACACCCTTCTCGACCAGGACCTGCATCCCTTTGGCTGGCCCAAGAATGGATTCCCCGGTCCCCAGGGTCCCTACTACTGCGGCGTGGGCGCCAATAAGGTGTTTGGCCGTGACATTGTTGAGGCTCACTACAAGGCCTGCCTGTATGCAGGTGTCATGATCTGCGGCACCAACGCTGAGGTAATATTATTTCATCCGTTTGTCTTTGAATTATTTTTACTCTTCTCAATAATAATTAATTTATATTCATTTCAAAACTAGCAAGAAACTTTTGTGTATAATAAAGAAGTTAAAAATTGGGATGTTCTTATAATAAAATATAATACTTAATTTATATTCATTTTCAAAACATATAATTATTATTTAAAGATTTTTTTAAATTTTAATTTTTTTATTATTTTACAAAAAACTTTTTGAACATTATAATTATTTTTTCTTGAATTAACCAATATATTTGAAAAAAAAAATCTAATGCAAGAAATAGTTCTTAATATTAATAATATATATAAATACAATTACCCATCAATTTGAATCAAAGTTTTTGTTTCAGGCAAAGAAACCTTTTATTCTTGGTACAATGACTGACTACATATTATTTATCATTCTGAATTTTTAATTGAAAATTTAAATTAAACTTTAAAACCCTTCATAATAGAAATTAACACTAAATTTTAGCACATTGCAAGCTATATAATTATGCTGGTTATTTGCGTTTATTTAATGAATATGAATCTCACTCTGTGTATTATAAAAAAATGGCACGATTGGCCCAATTTTTCTTATAGCGCTTTTAATTTAAATAAATATCTCGATGATTCCACTCAATAACAAAGTTATTTCATTTCAGGTTATGCCAGCGCAGTGGGAGTTCCAGGTGGGACCCGCCGAAGGTGTGAAGATGGCCGATGACATGTGGGTCGCCAGGTACCTTTTGCACCGCGTTGCTGAAGATTTTGGAGTTGTGGTCACTTTGGACCCTAAGCCAGTGCCAGGAAACTGGAACGGCGCCGGTGCTCACACCAACTTCTCAACCACTGCAATGAGAGAAGAAAATGGCATCATGTATAAACTCGTTTTGGCAAATTTGGCAAAGGAATAATTTTGGAAATGAATTTCAGTGAGATTGAAAAAGCCATCACTAAGCTTTCCAAGCAGCACATTCGCCACATTAAGGCCTACGATCCCCATGAGGGCAAGGACAACGAGAGACGTCTTACTGGTCACCACGAGACATCTTCCATTCACGATTTCTCTGCTGGTCAGTAAAATTTTATGATTTCTTTTTTTATAATTTTTATTCGAAAACAGCTAGGGAGAGAGGAAATGAACTTTTTATACTATTTAGTTATTTTCAATTACAGGAGTTGCCAATCGTGGCTGCAGCGTTCGTATTCCTCGCCAGGTTGCTGAGGAAAAGAAGGGTTACTTGGAGGACAGGCGTCCATCATCCAACTGTGACCCGTACAGTGTTTCTGAAGTGCTGGTGCGCACTATGTGCCTCGACGAATAAACAGGTCTGTAATTTTTTTTAATAGATATATTTAAATTTTTGATCTGTTAATTAAATTTATATTTATTTTTTTCAGGGTTGTGGCTTTCCCCCCTCTGGACAGCCAGAAGAGACAAAATATAAAGCGCATCATTTAATTTTAGAGCTCGACGTTTCACTGTTAACAAGTGCATTTTTCTAAACATATTATACTGTATTTCACCCATCAGCTTCTCGATCGTCCAGAATCGAGCGTGAAACTTTTATCTCTATACCCCTTCCTCTTGAAAACAAACTATACAAACTGTGTAAAATATCAAATTGCCTCGCCTTATTTTGCCCTAGATGGCTTTCGTCTTTTCCATGAAAACTGATTAAGAGCACGCAAGAGTATAGAAGCATGCGTATTTTGCACGAGGGTAACTTTGCACAAATTTTGAAAAATTTCCTCAAAAATCTAGAGACGAGAGCAAATGAATATACAAACTATAGACCATCTGAGCACACAAAAAATGAGAATTAAATATTTTTATGCCGTGCAGCGGTTCAGCAGGCGCGAAAATGTCTTACTATACATGTTGAATGGAGGCAGCAGAAGTGATGTTTGTTATACGTAAAGGCCTTAAATGTTTCCAGCGCAGCGCAAAAGTGTAGAGATTTTTGGTGAGCACTATTATTGCACTCAAATTGTATAGATCATATGAGAAAGGGCTTTGCATTCCACTCACTAATTAACCCACTCTTGCCTGCACATCAGCTGTTGCTAAAAATGCTGGAAATATTCAAGGTATTGTCTTTCTCGCCTACTTTAATTGACAGGAGAAAGATTATTAAATAAAATATGATTACATATACACTGTTCTGTGTTGTATTGATTTAAACGTTTAAATAGTCTTGTACATCATGTAATTGTTAGTTGCTCGACCACTTTTTTATTGACGTTCTTGCCAATTGATGACAAGTGTGAAGGTATTGATTAAAAATATACAGATGAAAAAATAAATGAATGTTTTATGATATGAGAATAATTATAAATTATAATTTGAAAAGCGAAAATGATATATGTTCACAATGAGAAACACCGAGAGACACAAAAGCGCTATTCAAACAGTTTTATAACATGTAAAGGGACGATATTTTTTATTAATTTGCTTATTATATGGAATTAAAAAAAATGGTGATGACAATCTTCTTTGTTTTAATTTTATCCCTTTTATGAAATTGAATAATATGTCCTAAATTAATTTTGAAACTTTTATTGGCCAGTCCTCTTTTAATGTTTTTTTAAAATAAGTTTTTTAATACACAAATAATAAAATATAAAAAATGTTATTATAAATTAATTTTTATTATATAAATAATTATACTTTTTGCATGGCAGATTAAGCTGCAAGAAATTTCATTATTTGAAGCATGAATTTCTGAATTGACAATTATACATAATATATTATTTTAATTATACGCGTATCTCATTATATAATGTGTACCGAATCCCGCTCCAAGTCCCGCTCCTTTTTCTCTACCAAAAGCGCCTGACGCCTGCGCAGAAATAACGTGGCCCAGGTACGCCCCCTTACCCATGTGCTCAGAAATGAAAACAAAATATCGCAAAATATTAAAATTTTGAAGCAATATTTTGTCGGCTGCAGATTTTGAACCATTGAAAAATTATTAGAGACCGTAGGTAAAATTCCCTTTTCCAGTTCGACATCGTTTTTTAATAAATTGTGCGTGCATTTTTTGCAGATCTCAACATATCAAGGAATTGAATATTGAATCAGAGCAGAGTGCACAATGGACCAGAATTCATCTGTCAGTGGAGCCGAAGAGGCTGTTTTTGTCAAAAGTGAGCAGTTGCCCGAAAATACACCCGAGGTCAAAGGTCAGTTCCAGATCTCTTCATCTAAAATTTTACGTATTAAATTCAAATTTATTTTAGGTTACGACTGGAATAAAGGGATTGACTATCACAAGTTGTTTGATGTTTTCAAATATTCGGGTTTCCAAGCCACAAATTTTGGATTGGCAGTGGACGAAATCAATCGAATGGTACAATTTTCTGGCTCAAATTAAAATCATGGGTTGATAATTGAAGCATAATTTCTGCGCTAGATCGAAAATCGAAAAATTCCTCTAAATGAAGATCAAAGTGATGATTTGGAAGATGACGAATTCATCAAGCGTCGTTCTGGCTGCACACTTTTCCTTGGATACACATCCAACATGTCATCGTGTGGCGTTCGGGACTCAATTCGCTTCCTGGTTCAACACAGAATGGTAATTTTTTTCCAACCGTAGGAAGATTTGAAAAACTAAAAGGAAAATGTTTCAGGTCGATTGCATTGTGACCACAGCGGGAGGAGTAGAAGAAGATTTTATAAAATGCTTAGCACCCACATATGTGGGGAGCTTCCGACTAGATGGCCGCACTCTAAGGAATCAGGGCATCAACAGGATAGGAAATTTACTAGTTCCCAACAACAACTATTGCCTGTTTGAAGATTGGCTCATGCCTAAGTTAGACGAAATGCTAGTGATTCAGAAAGAAACGGTTAATTATAATCATTTTTCCAACACACTTTATATTTTTTTATATAATTAAATCTTTTAGGGTAAAGTTTGGACTCCTTCGAAAGTGATCTCGTACCTTGGCGAGGCAATCGACGATCCTTCGTCTATTTGTTATTGGGCAGCAAAAAATAAGATTCCAATCTTCAGTCCTGCACTGACTGACGGAAGCCTTGGGGACATGATGTACTTCCACTCGGTACGAAACCCAGGACTCATCCTCGACATTATTCAAGGTAAACGGTTTGAACCAAAGAGGAAAATAAAAAATTTTAAAGAAATATTTTAGATCTCAGGAGAATTAATACAATGGCGGTCAAGGCTGTTAGCACAGGGATGATAATTTTGGGCGGTGGAGTAATAAAACATCACATTTGTAATGCTAATTTGATGGTAGGTAATTTGATTTTGAAGTTAAATTACATTTTTAATATTTAATGCATTTGCAGAGAAACGGTGCTGATTACTCGGTTTTTGTGAATACTGCAAGTGAATTTGACGGGTCAGACAGCGGCGCCCAGCCTGACGAAGCAATTTCTTGGGGTAAAATTAAAAAGGACGCTCAACCCGTGAAGGTAGATTTGGAAAATATAAATTTGTATCAATATCAACCCCATACTTAATCTCTAGGTTTATGCTGATGCTAGTCTTGTTTTTCCTCTACTGGTCGGAGAAACGTTTGCTCGAGACTTCCACGGGAAATCTACAGCAGATTAATTCCACATTTACTGCTTTGTCAGTCCCACCTTACGACCAAACCTTAAGGTAGGACTTTTTTATAACTTCTCTATCTCAAATAAAGTAAATCGAAAGACATCTTGATATGGTAAATTTTAAAAACCCAAATATTTGCATTTAAAGTTTTTATTTTCCTTAATACATAATAATAATTGCACTTATCAGTTTCGATTTCGAATATAATTGTATGATATAGTCGGTCTATGGCGGAAATTTTGGCAGATCGTAAAATGCAGCCCAGTGGGGCCAAGATTGCAACTCTAGGAAAAATCGTATCCCGGGAGACTCTGTTTTTGACACTTGCCGGTGCGCTATGAGCTTGTACTCCGGACTCACTTTTCCAAGTCTCACTCCTTCTTCAATCAAAATTTTTGCCGCCATCATTTGTCTCTCTGACGGCAGCACAGTGACGTATGTGCCAATGAAGTTGACACCAATGCTGCGGTTGTTGTAGCCCTTGGCGTGCGCACCAATTTTGTCCCAACCGCGCCCTTCGTAGATTCCTCCTTCTCCTCCGACCACGAAATTGTACCCTATGTCAGCCCAGCCAAAACTCTCTATGTGGAACATCTGAATTTTTCGGACCTGAAAATTTACAGCACTTAATTAGTTACTCAAGTGCTCCATGACATCACTCTTTGTTTTTGTGCCACTTTTAAAACAAAAATCAACACTTGTTTGTTTTCATACTTAAAAAAATTGTAAAGTTCTCACTTGCAGAACACATTGCGTGTGATTGTAGCATGGGTTGGTCGCAGAGTGACTTATAATCACAAACTCGACTGGATGATGAAGTGGATCCGAGACATCCACAGGCTGGGCCAGCCAATCTATTCTCGAGTAATATGGCGCAGAACCTTCCGTTCCATTTATGACATTGCTTTCCTTATCTGCAATTACATGTCAAATTTATCAAAATTGCTTTCACTTGCTACCAGAGCACACATATGGAACTGTGATGAAATGCTCTGCAAAAAAAAATCAAGCTCAAATGTAACTCGCATCCGCATCAAAATATAATAAATTTTTAATTTTTTTTTATAAATACAATTTTAAATATTCAAAAAAGTCTAAATAATTATGGTATTGGATCAAAATTTAATAGAACAAAGTTGAAGCCGTCAAACAAATTCCTTTTTCTTTTTTATTCTCAATTTACCATATCGTTTTATTATTTTAAGATTTCAGCTTTTTTTTCAAAATCTTTCGTAAACATTCCCTTTTCAATTACGAATGATGTAAAGTGTACAACATTAAATATTTCTTGCGAACATGTTATATATTTTCCTGGAATACTGTTTATCGTAAAGATAAAATGTAAAAGTATTAACTTAGAGAGATAAAGCGAAGTGTAAACTTAACATCGCCTCTTGCTTTGATACTTCGCTCGTCATTTGCTCTTGCCCTCGATAAACTCAAAGTTTGAATTCCACTCACGCGATTTGCTTTCTTACTTAACGCCGTTTGTAAGTACACAATGACAAATAAAAATATATACTCTGTCGCTGCGAGTTGAGCGCTTTGCGCTCTAGAATTTTAATTATCACTTGACGGAGCCCCTCGCATGAATATTTTTTGCAATTCAAACTCACCATATTCGGGACACTGGTATTCACTCTCGTAAATCTTAGATTGGCTGCCCTTCAGATTCCAGATCAGAACCAGGGCTATGATGAGACCAACGATGACAGTCAACATTGATATGAAGGCGATCAGCCTCCTCAGTGTAAATTTAAAACAAAGCGTGGACCGCTGGTCTGAAACAGTTTTTCAATAAAAATAAGACAATTTTTCCAGTTTATTTTAAAAAATGTGTTGGCGCGCAAAAGTTAGTCCTATATGCACTACAAAATTACTTCCTTTTTTCTTGGTTCAAAACCGCGTTGCATCCGTTTTGCGTCACTAAAACTCGTGAACGTTCTATTCTCACAAAAATGTTATTGTGATTAAGGAAAAAACCTGCAGCTAATTTTACTTTCAAGAAATAGTTCAAAATTATCTTATAACTTCTAATGTAAATTTTTTCTTAAATATTTAATTAATATTCTCGTTGCTTTTACAAAAGCATTTTGGAACATAAAATTTATTATTTTAATTTTTAAATACTTCTTACAGTTAGGAATTCTCAAGATTATACAATTATTTTGGATGCTGTAAAATAATGGTCAAGTATTACAATTATTAAATAGTTTTCAAATAAATTAATAGAATTTATATTTTTTTTTTATTTAATAAAAATTAGTTAAAATATAAATAATTATATTTTAAAACCACGTTCATCTTACTTCTTTTAGTATTTGAAGTTACTTGGTCTTGGCTCTGTCGTACTCTGCCGAGAATTTGTTCGACCGCCGCCAGCTTGGATTTGCTGTCATCGTCCAGGTTATTTGGTAGCCCTGAAGAAACGAGCACCGTTTTTTCTGCGACCCCTTTCAACTGCTGCAAACTAGTGTCCGCTCGGGACAGTTCGATCGGACTCATTATCACAGTCACGTCCCCATTGTACACTGCACTGTTCCCGAAATGCACATTGCTGGAATGCTTCACTTGCACGTTTGAGAAGTGCGTCGATGGCACTTGAATGTTGACTGTCTGGCCATCTTCCTCCTCGGACGAATCCTCGCTGCTGCTTTCTTCAGCCAAAGCAGAGTTGATAAAGCCAGTCCTATTCACAGCAAAGTTTGTTTCCGACGACATTTTTAAATCTTTTCGGAATAAATTAACCGTCTCGGTGTGCTAAGCCATTACATCCGTAGTGAGATAATTCTCACTTGGCAGGCAACTGGTGCTCGTGGTCGCGACTTTCTATGTGCAAGGATACCCGCGCCCCGATGCTACTGACATCTGTGTTCGTCGGCCTTGCCGGGTATTCAGTGGCTTTTTGCACCAGCATTATCCAACGCCCCTGACAATGCGAGATGAGCCCGTCCATTGTTTCGCTTTTTCCTGGTTTGGGATTCCCTACTCTAACTGGTTTTATTGCTTTTCATAATATTTAAATAATTTTTTATTTCCTGAAATTTGTTTATCATATTCTGTCATCTATAGGTGATTAAAATTTGCAAGCCCAACAATTAAAAATTAATATTCAGTTTTATTTTAAAGTAGCTGTTCACAAAAATAAAATATGGAGTGTGTAAGCATTGTTAAAGGCTTCTTAAAAACAGGAAATAATTTTTATTGTTTCTTCAGAGTATTAAAAAGGAATGCTTCTTTTATAATTGTCTAACTAGATTTTGTGATTAAAAAAAATCTGCATAGCAGTTTTGTACACGGGGATTAAAAATATCACATATTTTTTTTTAATTTGTTGCTGTGCCAGTTTCATAAACTACCCGCGCGAAACTTACTTTCATCTTTCCCAAATTATTGTCCATAAGATGCCTTTGAACTTGTAACAAAATTGATGCCTTTTTATTTCATTCAACTTGTGTTGTTGTCAGCGGGCACCACCTCCATTAGCTTTTGTATCCATTCCGTAAATCGTCCTGAAAAATACAAATTCAATCAATTGAAAACAAATATAAATGTTACGAGGTAGAAATTACCCAGAATTTTAGGATGTTTTTTGTAATATACAAACGGAATGTAAACTATGACCCCAGTAAAAATGAAAAACACTGCAATGAGGTATTTAGGACTGGGGTCCATTGCAATAGGAACTACTGCCAGGAAAATTGCCACGACCATCACGAGCAAGGGGATGATGAGTGGAACCTAAACTTCAAAAGATAAATGGCAAACTTCATAAATTCAATTTTAGTTTTACTCGATATGGACGGTGCGCTTTGGGTCGCGATTTTCTTAACACCAGCAATGCCACCATTGCACCACCGTAAAATATCCAAATAAGGAAACTTGAAAAATCAATCAGATCTACAATATCTCCGGCCAAAATGAAAAACGCAGTCAGAATCCCTTGCAGTGTGACTGCTGGTGCTGGCGTAAGTCTTCGAAAATGAATGAACGATAAAGCAGAAACCATGTGACCCTCTTGAGCAGCCACAAAACACAATCTGAGCACACACAAAAATAATATAATTATTTTAGCAAATTCGATAAAAAAAAATCCACCTTGTTACTCCAAACTGGATACTCAAGGCGCAGCCAAATGTTGATAAAGCTACGCCAAGTGGAATGATAAATTTAAAAACTCCTAGCATTCGATCTCCAAATTCCTGAAATTTTTGTTTGAGCATAATTTGAAATTTTATTTGTAACTCGTGCATTAAACTTACAACTGCCACTGCTGGGGCGGCGATCATTTCAGGGATGCTCAAGACAGTCATGTAAGAGAGGTTCATGAAGCAGTAGACGACTGTAACCACTGGCACACCAATTGCAATGCTCCACAAAATGTTCCTGTTTTAATTTAAAATTTGTAACTATAAAAATCTCATTTTGAATATTAGAAGGTCACCTTTCTGGCCGTTTAACTTCCTCTGTGACTGATGTAACAGTTGACCTTAAAAGGAAAAAAAATATAAAGTTAAGCTTTTTTGTCTCTATAATTTAAATGAATTTACAAATTAGTAATTTGAAATTACCATCCATCATATGCCCAGAGACCGCTATAGAAGGCTAAAGCAATACTCTTTGGATCTGTTGAAGAGCCTTCGAAACCTTTTGAAAGATTTTGAGTTTGGCCTGAAAGAAAAGAGAAAGAAAGAGAATCAATTAAATTGCCAAGTGGATAGGCAACCAGTTTCTTCCAGATGTATGACGTCGCGGTGTGGTTAAAATTACTGAAGCCTTTGAATAAAGTGAATGAATAATGAAAGTGATGATATCATTTTTATGGCATCACAAGTATTACAATACCTTCCAAAACAATTTTTAAATGCTTTGAATTAATTTTGACCAATTTTGTCCTAACATCTAGCAAGAAATTGGTAAGGATATATTAATAATAACAACAAGAAGTAACATAATATGTATAATTTTCATTTTGCATAGACATGAAGATGCATGCGAAAATATTTTAAAATTTTATTGTTGTTTAAATTTATAAATTCACATTTATTTGTCTCGTTAAACGTTGGGTTTATTCTTCAGATTAACTTCACGAGAAATCTTATTTAAAAAAGTGGATTAATTAAAAAAATAATTTTAATTTAAAATTGAATTAAATAAATTCATAAATATAATAAGTAGTAACCATAAAATAATTACCTTTTAAATTGATAAGCTAGTATTTTTTTATTATACAATTGAAAACAAAGAATTGTGTATTTTATGTACAGCAATATTAAAAACTTACCATTTATCAAAGCGTAGAGCCCTCCACAAATAACCACAAAGCAGGCGATCAGTTTGCAGGCCGTGAACACATTTTGCACCCTGACGTAGAGTTTGACACTCACAATGTTGATGTAAGTCATCAAGCCTGTTGGTATTCAAAAGTGTCACCTTTGCGGTTGGTAGCAAATTAGCTTTTATTACCCAAAGCTACCAGGGCGATCAGCTTCAAAACGAGCTGCCGGTGTTCCAGATCCATCTCGACTTGGAAAGCCTCCTCGAATGGTTGGCTCACGTACTGAGAGAAGGTGAGGACAATGACGGCTACCTCAGCCGGTCTCAGCACCATCACATACACCCAGGCACACACGAAACTGGGCAGTGGTCCCCAGAAAGGGTGCAGTTTGCCAAAAGCTTCAATGAAATAAGCATACTCGGCGCCAGATCGGGGAACAACTGCGCCTAACTCTGCGAAGGCCAAAGCACCTGAAGTAATTTTAAAAATTTTAAAATATGATATTAGTTCATACTAGTTAAACAAAGCTTAAAAAATAAACCAGCAGACTTAAATTTGACTTTTGATTGATTCATTTCATTTATGGGTGAAATCGGGAAAGGATGAGGTGTAATTGGCAGTGAAAAGTTACCATTTTGATTTTCACATATGTTGTTGGGGTTGTTGAAAGGTAGCTTCTCCTAAATTTTCAGCTTAAAATATGGTGCGCTTTTCCGGGAAATCGGATTTTTCCAAAAACAGAAAATATTGAATATCTTTGCTAAAAATGAGAATATATGAATGCTCTTTTCACTAACAGACGTAACTTTTCACGCCCGACAACTTTGCTGTTAATTATTTTTGCGTAGGTCAAAGGTCAAGGTCACTAATTAGCAAATTTCACTTTCAAACGCAATTTTCGCAAAGAAGCACACCTTGGATTTTTTTCGTGATATACAAATAAATGTAGCCCTAAGTGTGTAGAACAAAATACTTGATTTTCAGATTGGTAACTTTTTCTGTTTAATTGATATTTTTAATTGAAAATAAAAAACAGTGAAAAATCACTTTTCCGCAAACGAAATTAATTTTGAAACAGCGATAATTTTTTTTCTGCTAGAGATACGCAAAAACATGTAAGTACAAAAAGTGTTTCTAATGACCTAACCTATCGAACCATGTATCGATCATGTAGGTCGAGTCACTTAAGGTCATTGACCTCAGTGACCTGTGACCTTGAAAAACGATATTGCAAAAAATTGGAAACGTTTCAAAACAGGCGCACTCTTTTTCATTATTTAATGAACTAATATTTTGCAAAATCATTTTTCAAGGTCACAGGTCACTGAGGTCAATGACCTTAAGTGACTCGACCTACATGATCGATACATGGTTCGATAGGTTAGGTCATTAGAAACACTTTTTGTACTTACATGTTTTTGCGTATCTCTAGCAGAAAAAAAATTATCGCTGTTTCAAAATTAATTTCGTTTGCGGAAAAGTGATTTTTCACTGTTTTTTATTTTCAATTAAAAATATCAATTAAACAGAAAAAGTTACCAATCTGAAAATCAAGTATTTTGTTCTACACACTTAGGGCTACATTTATTTGTATATCACGAAAAAAATCCAAGGTGTGCTTCTTTGCGAAAATTGCGTTTGAAAGTGAAATTTGCTAATTAGTGACCTTGACCTTTGACCTACGCAAAAATAATTAACAGCAAAGTTGTCGGGCGTGAAAAGTTACGTCTGTTAGTGAAAAGAGCATTCATATATTCTCATTTTTAGCAAAGATATTCAATATTTTCTGTTTTTGGAAAAATCCGATTTCCCGGAAAAGCGCACCATATTTTAAGCTGAAAATTTAGGAGAAGCTACCTTTCAACAACCCCAACAACATATGTGAAAATCAAAATGGTAACTTTTCACTGCCAATTACACCTCATCCTTTCCCGATTTCACCCTTATAAGAATTATTAAACAAATGGAAAAACAAATTAAAGTTACAAAAAAAAATTTGTGCTGAATGTGTTTGTAAGAGTTAATTGTAGGTCATTGTAGGTGTGCATCAAAATTTATTTCTAGGAAAAATTTACATAAAATATAAAAAAAGAACTCTGTAATTATAGCAATAGATGTAATAATTTTGACAGGCGTATAGGACGCGTGAAAATTTGCAAAAATGAGTGTGTGGGTTGAACAATAGAATTTGGTTGCGCATATTTAAATACAACTTTTGGGCAAGGCAGAAATGGTTAAAAATACTCCTAACAAAGCCAAGAGAAATATTTACAAATGTGTTTATCACGTGCGTGCACTTGCCTAGCAAGGAGATTCCGCCGCAAACGGCCCAAATAATGAGGCACAGCCCGACGGAGCCAGACCGCTCCAAAGCGCTCGTCGGAGAAACAAAGATGCCGGATCCTGAAACGAAACCGAATTACAGATCAAGGAGCACACGCGAGCAAGGATGGACTCTTGTTGTTCTCGATCGTCTCGGGCAGTAAAATATTTAACTCGAATAAATAGCCACCGGCGAGATGTTGTTTGATTCCTATCTGGGCTCACAACCAGACGATCTCTTCTCTTTTGTTCACATCCCGCTCCGTAATTATTAAAATGAAAAACTGGTTTGCGAAAATTATCTGATTATGATTTTTGGCATCGACTTGTTATTTACTTTGCAAATCGTTTGACCACCATTAAATTACGCGTTACGTGCTCCAAGGCCAAGGTCTTGTTTGAACAAAAAGTCAGCAACCTGATCAAGACTTGCTCGGAATGATTAAATGGCAATTTAAAATTACGGCAAAAGAAATAGTCAAGAATCCAAATATGGTGCGCTCTTATCAGTAAAATTAAAAAAGCTTTTGTAAAAAGGACTAAAAACTCAAATAAGTCTCAAAATTTTGAAGTAATTACAAGGTAATTTTAAACTTTCGAAAAAAAAAATTGGAATCATAGGAAAATGTTTCAGACCAACCTTTTCACCTGACTTTGGTTCAGAGTTCAATTATAAATAAATTAATGATTAGATTTAAAGTTTTAAAAAAGCAATTTAAATGAACCAATATTTTTAGAATAATAATTTTCCCATATAATGTTTAGGAATCCAAAGATTTAATCAGTTAAGCCTTTTTAATTCACTAAAAATTATTCTTTCGTTCCCATTAAAAAAATCAAAAGGTTTCATTTTGTAAGCGAGTTCAGATCTTCAAAAACCAAATACAATAAAAAATAAATATATGCGTGCAAATTAACAGTTTAAAGTAATTCTATACTTCTTTAAAAATGACCGGTTGAAATCATCTGCGAATAATTGCGCAGTAAAAATTACTTGTTGAGTCAAAGGGTGCATTAGTGCTGACATTTTTTTCTCTATGGTGAGGGCGCGGCGCAAAAAGGCTTCTAGGGCCACTCGACCAGGACTGACCGAGTAATTAACCTGATGCACGCAGACAAATAAGTGAAAATTCCTTAACTGACCTATCATGACCCCGACAATCAGGCTGACCGCACTCCAGAGGCCAAGTTCGCGACGCAGTTGGACACCTCCACCGTCTGCTCCACCGCCTCCGTCGGAGGCGGCTTTTTGCGACGCCATTGCGTCACTATTGGGGACAACCGTGGCCACAACTGCAAACATATTTAAACATCATTATATTAATACAAAATAAATGTTTCTCAGAATAATATGTTAGAATAATATGTTGTTCAAAAAAACAATCGACGATTTGTTACAAGATAGTTTTCACATATATTCACCTTTCACACAATGAAACATCAATTTATTTGCATTATTTTTATTATTATTTTTTTACGGTTTGTTATTTAAAAATAAATTATGTGCATAAGATATTCCACTTTTTTATGAATGCTTATAAAAATAATATTGATTTTATTTTGTAACATCATCTTTTAGAATCAATCATATTGGTTAGATGATTGTCAAATTCATAATTTTGTTTAGGGCTTTTTCCAGTAAATGACTGGTAATTCGGTAAGTTTTTAAAGATTATTAAATAAATAAGTTTATTAAGCATTTGCTATTAAAACAGCAATCAACAACAACCAAAATGATAGATTAATAGCGACTACTTGAGAGACGACTTTTCTTTTTGTTATAGCTGCAAAATCGTGCGTTGAAATCAATTTTTCATTAATCATTAGATGATAGTGATGACGTTTTCTTTTAACATTAAAAGATGGTTAAAAAAATCGAGGGGTTAATGATAAAATATTTAAAATTCTCAACGTCCAAATTCAATGGAGTGGAGAATAGGAAGGAGCGGGATGACCGCGCTTTTTCAGCTGCTGCGCCTCTCAAATAATCGTATTATAACCCTTTCGCTTCAGTGCACGTGAGAAAAACAGGTCGAAAAACAACCACTGGCATGCAAGCAGTGGTTCTGCAAGAGAATTCAACTGTAGAAGGAAACAGCTAAAAATGCCCCTATAAGTGCGGCAAGCAAAACAACCGAATCTCAGCTTGTTCGGCAAGTAGAACGAAAGGATTAAATGATTGCAAAAAACCCAAATTAACTGAAATACGAACAGAAATGACAAAAAGCTCTTACTCTGTGGTCTGCTCTTGCCCATGGCAGCAATGGAACTGGTGAAGCCTCTTCTTTTTGTGCGCTGAGAAAGGGGGCTGGCTTGGGGGGAAACAGCGTTGCTTGAATAAAGACGAAGGGTCCCTGCAGCTACAGCCTTTTTATATTTTTCTTTGTTTGCAGCCTCTCTTTATGATTTCGCGGCTATTCACCGATTTGCAGCTCTGGCCTATGGAACAAAAAAATGGTTGGCGCGTTTCACCGGAGCTAATTTCGCTGCTCAAGCGAGAAAAGGTGCATTCTTTATTATAGAGCGACACGGCAGAAGAGCAGGTCAGAATTCTCGCTATCTCTAGTGTGGGGGCAATGTCGATTTATCATTGTTCAGCTGCATCAACAACACAAAAGTGACCAACACACTAGATACAAGACCCCGCGTGATAAATTAATTGCAAACAGGATGGTGTAGAGTGTATTGGTGACGTGATAACAAGTGGTCTTGATCGATCTCATCTATTTTGCGTCACAGGTCTTGGTAACGCGTTATTATTCATATATGTACATTTTACTGATAAATTTGATTGGAAATTGTGCCACCAACAAATACATTATTATAAATATTATTATAAATAATTCTGTACTAAATATCAATTTTGTTCAAAGGATAATTTTATTAAAGTTGATTTGAAATATTATATTTTAATATTAGAATAATTAAAAATAGTCAAAAATAAAAAAAAAATTTGTTTAAAAAAATGCATAAATAGTAAAATATTATTTTTTTCCTTTAAATAAATTTTTAAACGTTTTTAAAATATATTTTTTATTTTATTTTTAACATGCTGCATGGAATTATAAAGCCGAAGCAGATTCATGTAAACACCTTTATATGATCTTACGCCTTTCAATTCTGAGAAAACTTTTATATACGCACTATAGACTATACTGAATGCTGAATAAAAGAAACGTGACTGAACGACTGATTGTGGCCAACCGGCGCAGACTGGACAATAAATTGGAGTAATTACCTTCCTTTGAGAGCGGCCGGCCGTTTAATCGATAAAGAGAATTGCTGTTGTATAATTTTGTCTCCGTCTGGCTCAAACTCTCTCAACAATAACGGACAGTCCGTCTGCACCACTTCCTTGAGCAACCAAAGTTCGCCAAGAACTGCATCACGTTTATTTATTTTCTGCCTTTTGGCGCCCCTCCCTTCCCCTTATACAGTCAACTGGGAGAAGGGCTTCCTTATGGCTCCTGCGTTCTCCACTTCTTCCATTCTAAGCGCGCGGTTTCCATTGAATGTTTTGTTTACTTTTACTCTCAAAATAAAATTTTAGATCGAGCCACTCTAAGACGAAAAAAGCTTCCGTCAGCAATGCTGATTGTAAAATTATTTTTCCTGGTTTATATTCCGAAAAATTGGTTTGTATTAAAAAAATTGGTAAGGTTTAAATAATAAAAAGATATTTTGTGCATTAAATAAGAAAGAAAGTGATTAAAGTGATATGGACAAAAATACAGAGTTATTTGTGCCAAAAAGTTAAATATATTTTTATTGATTTACAGTTTCTTAATTAAAAATAAAATGGCTGCAATATTTTGCACTAATAATTATTATCCATAAATACAGTTCATTTAGAGTAAAGAAGTTTAACAGACTTTAAAGATGACAACAGTTTATCCTCAATGACTACTAGGATGGTACAGATTTCAGCAAAAGTTATTTAAAATTGTAAACTCTAACTGCGATTTTAATTGCTTAATATTGGTTTTGAGTAGTTTACAAGATGGACAGTGGTATCCCTGCACATGACATGCGTTATACGGTATTAATTATTATTCTAAATTTAAATTATATAAAATTAGAGAAACAATAAAATTACTTTTAATTAATAAACTCTAGAATTTATATTTTGCGTCTCCTACTCATTCGGTGGATGCAGACTGACAACAAGTGAAAACTAACTCCTTTCCAGCAATTTAAAAAGTGCACTTCTTAATTATTTTATGTCAAAGCATGATGTAAGCTGCATGACGAGTTTACAAAAAAAGTTTCACTAGATTATTTATATGCACTACATAAGCCCATGATTGTAAATAGGTCCATCACGAGCAGGCAAGGTCTTACAAAAAGAGCACCACTATACAAAAATTACTCGCAATATATGCATGACACTGAAGGCGTTACTTTGTAAAAATGGTATTATATTGATCCTGTGGAATGTTATTATTAATCTTAGTTAGAAATAGGCAAAAGCACATTCAGTTAATGTCCGTCACAAACATGAAGTGATAACAGGCGTATATTAAGAAAATAAATTGCTTTCAGTACTGAGCTAAATGGACCATCCTGATTTGTGAACACAAACTGCATTATTGTCGATAAATTTTCCGGAGTTGATTTTCAAACCAAAGTGAAAGCATGCAAGTCGTTTTTATCCTTACAATATCACAACCAACGTTTTCCCAGGCAAAGACGTCTGCCACCTCTTAAACCTTCATCTTGCTGCATTCACTGCAGTTCCTGAATTTTATTCTTATCAAAAACTATAATTGAGGTTAAAAAGATTGACATACCTTAGTCGTTGTTTCAACTGCTCGTTCTCCAACGTTGTGTGGTCCAGAGCTTCCTTCATTGTGTGCAGCATCAACTCTTTCTCGACCAACTCGAGACGAGTTTGCTGCAACGTGTCCATCAAGGCCTCAAGAGCGGCCTAGTTTTTTTTTTCATTAACAATGAGACTGAGACAGAGAATTAAATATTACCCTTGACTCGTCCATCCCGTCGGCTGCAGTCGGCGGCTCGTCCAGACAGAAAAACTCCCTCAGAGCCATGCTGAGTTGCAACTGTTCCTTCTTAAAGATGCTGTTGACAAACTGCTGCAGGCCGAGGGTTCTTTCGTGAATGAAGGAAGGGTTGAAGTTGTCGCCAAACCAGCGCTTTCTAGGTAACGGTAGCTCCACATCGGGAAAGTCAGTCTTTAACTTTTAACAAATAAAAAATTAAAAAAATTCTCACTCTAAAGATTAAATTAATACATACTTTGTTATAAAGGCGCACAAAATCTGTGTATCTGCGGAAAACAAACCAGCAGTCACCGGTAGCTAAATTTTCCACTCTCAATTTATAAACCTGCATGGAATTAAATTTGGTTGCAAAAACAACGGTTAAATCAAGAAACCTACTGTAAATCTAGCCCTCTCCTCCATCACTTCGTGTCCAATGATGGGACATCTGTAGTTGGACAAAGTTGTAAACTGTTCTTCCATGTTCGAATCAATGCCCCGAAATCTGTAAAGGCAGAAAATTAGCGATCAACATCTATTGCGGAAAAAGGTTTTGTGCCTGATGGTCGGCGAGGGACTTCTGCTGTCAGAGGCCTCGGCACCAGCGTCAGCACCGACGTCCTCCTCTGTTCTGGACAAGTGCAGACCGGCGATGGAGGCGCTCAGAGGGGTCGCCGTGGACGGCTCCGAGGTGGAAGAACTTCCACTACTCGTGCTTGCCATTCTCCTAGTCACGTTCAGCTCTGAATCAGCGCGACATGGGCTTGTAGTTCTCGCGGATGGTCAGAATCGTTTAGCATTAGCCACGGTGACACACGTCATGGACAACATCTTGTGACAGCTGGGACTATTCTCGCTTCTTGTTGACGGCCGACTTTCTCTGCAAAATCACGAGACTCGAATTGAAAAGTCCTGTTCAATTTTATTGACCTTCAGATTATTTACCTGCGAATAGGAATGATGCCAAATTACATAATTCGAATAAGTGCAGATTTCTTATTAGTAGAAGAGTTTTATCTCCTCCGTTTTTGCAAAGAGTTCATAACATAAGCAAAAAATGATGTAGTGATGTCACTTCACTTTGTCATGTTATTCCACATTCCACCTTCCACCTGGTTTGTTTTCGATTCGATTTTATGAAAGAGAAATCGGTTAAAACTTGTTATCTTTACCGGTTTCAAATTTTCAATGGCTTAAGCATTGCAAAGTTTTGGCCGGTTACCGGTTGCTTTTCCAATTTTGCTTTATTGCTGCCATCTTTGGGCTAATTTAGAAACTCATTCCTCATTCGCATTCGCTGCAAAAAATAAACATTAGCACGCCGGCCACGTCGTTGAGTTGAAGACGAGTTTTAGTGTGCAAAAGATATCTAATTTGCCATCGGAAATCGGAAAAGCAGTGAAAAAGAGTTTCCATTTCCAAGAGAGAGCGTTGCACTGCTTTTATTGGCACAAGCAGCACTTTGAGTGGACATGTCAGGCTTCTCGTTTGGATTTTCCACGGATGATGTGGAAAATTTTGACAAATCCGACTCAACATCAGGTTAAATTGTTTGTAATATTTGCAATGTGAAAATACATAATTTATCATTTTCAGGCGCCAACAAACAGCTTCAATGGTTTCCTGCCAAGGAACTGACCTTTGACTCGGATCCACTGCTCCCTTCTTCGTACCTCCACTCAAGAGGAAGTGTGCAGCTGGAAATTGCTAATTCGGAGGAGGTTTTGAAACTTGTCAGTGAAAATGAAAATAGCTGTGCTAAAGCCGCTGACTCGGTGCATTCTGATTTAGTCCCAGCTTTCTACGAAGGTAATTTTTTTATTTTTTCATTTCAAATTTTAGAAAGTTTTTCATTAATTTTTTTTAAGTGATAATAAATTTTCTAACAAAAGATCTGAATTAAATTTTAATTTTTGTAGGAGGTCTGAAGATCTGGGAGTGTACAGATGATCTCCTTGATTTTATTTCTCGTCCGATTTTTAAAGAGAAACTCCAAAACTCGAAAGTGTTAGACCTTGGTTGCGGTTCAGGAGCAATTGGGATTTATTGCCTGCTTTCAGGTGCATCCGAAGTCCACTTTCAGGACTATGTAAGTAATGAATCAAAACATTTACCTTTTATACATTAAAATTTATAGAAATCTGGACTTTTTTGGTTTATTGATCTACATTGTTATCTATTTTGCAGAATGAAGAGGTCTTGAAATTTTACACAAGACCTAATGTCACCTTAAACCTCTTCGGTGACAACGTAACTGATAAAGTCAAGTACTTTGCTGGGGATTGGAGTTCTTTTGCTGACCTTATGAAGAACTACAAGTACGACTTCATATTTACTTCTGAAACCATCTACAGCCAAGAGTGTTACCCCAAATTGCTGAAAATCTTCAAAAATCATTTGAATGACTCGGGGGAAATGTAAGTGGATTAAAAAAATATTTTTAATAAGAATCTCATTACTTATTGAAAAATTTATCCATAGATATCTTGGTGCCAAAACATACTACTTTGGCGTGGGTGGAGGAACACGGCTATTTGAAAGTGCTCTAGAGAAAGAGGCAACGTTAAAAAGTGAGCAAGTCTGGAAGTGTGATGAAGGTAGTTTGCTTTTGACAGTGAAATTTCTATGGCTTAATGCTTAAATACCTTCTTGCTAGGTCTTCACAGGGAAATTTTGCGGATAACAAAAGCAATCACCAGTTTAGGAAGCTGACTGACAGAATAAGGTCTGTTTATTTATTAATTTTTTGTTATAATTACAATCGGCAATTTTAAAGTTAAATTGTAACCTCATTTCTAAAAATGCTTACACTTTATTCCAATATCGCATAATACAAAAATAAAATTCAATTTGAAAACCAACCCTTCTCTTAAGATCACGGGGCTAGACGCTCAAAGACCCAACCGTCAGCACCCTCAAAAGTAGTCGTCCCGTTAGCCTCTGAAGCGTCAGCTTTACGGAAAACAATTCGATCGTGCACTCGGTTGCTCTGCCCCTGCCAGAACTCCACGACGTGTGGGACAACCAAGTAACCTCCCCTAATTTAAAGATGAAATTATTTTAACTTCACAAATCCTAAAGTCAAATCACCATTCCTCTGGTCGATCAATTTCCTTGTCCTCCCCATATTTCTCTCGCAACTCCTTCTCTCGCACGTCCAATTCCTCTCGACCTTTGATGACGGAGCTCTGGTGACTGGTGCAAGCCCCAAGCTGGCTGTCCCTCGGTCTCTCGTGGAAATATTTGTCTGACTCGGCAGCACTCACTTTTTCACACGATCCTTCTATTCTGACCTGAAATTAAAAAATTTTGGTTTACTTTTTTATAATTCATAAAGTTGGATAATTCTTACAGAGCGTTTCAAAGGCTCCCAGTAGAAAGTCAGAGCAGCTTTTGGATTTTCAGCCTGTGTATCAAAGCAAATTTTTAATCCTGTTTAGCTAATCTATTGATTAGCATACCAAGTCGCGAGCCTTTCTACTGCTATAATTTGTAAAGAATTTAAATCCCTCTGAACCATAACTCTTGAGCAAAACATAGCGACAGGAGGGAGATCCATCCCTGAAGTAAACATTAAAAATAATTTAATGAAACTAATATCAGTATCTATATTACTTGGAAGCAGTTGCAAGGCACATGGCATTGGGCTCTAAAATTCCTGGTGTTTTGCAAGCCTCCTCAAGCCAGTTTTTAAATTGGCTGATCGGCTCGTTGCTGACCAAGTCCTTCTCAAGAAACAACTCACTCCTGTCTCGGTATTTCACCCTCATGGCTGCAATATAACTGTTAATGTTGTAATTACAATAAATTTAAATTATTTACCGCCAATGTCCTCTGCAATAGGTGAACTCAATTTTGCGGCCATCCTGAGACTTCTGCGGCCTGCATTAAAAATTTGCCGATGATAAGATGACAATAGTTTGGCCATCAAACTAAGTGAAGATAAATGACTGATAAATTCTGACTATCATGGTGCAAAGTTCGATTCATTTTTTTTTTTTTTTTTATTAAAGAGACAGGCTAGATAAAAAATCCAAGGTAAAAAAATTCACTTTAGAATTGCGGGAGTAAAAAATTAATTTATAATCAGATAGACAATTCTAGCGAATAAATTACTGTAATTAATCAAGAAGATGACAGAGACGAAAAATAAAATCCATTATAACTTTCTCGAATAATTATCTTACCAAGTGAAGGTTCGGTGGAGCTGCTTTTTGCTTTCCGGACCTCAGCTGTTATATAATGTGGGCGTGGTGAAGCTGCTGACGTTGAAGTAGGCAACTGTGCGAGCACGTTTGTACTCCAGGCTGCATACTCTTGACGTGCGCAGGGGCTAATATCAAATAATTGATAGTTTCTCTGGCGCCTACTTTATTTTCAACTACTTTGAGCGTCAGCAAAAAATCAAGGGAAAATTACTTGTTGCTGGCAGAAGTCTGACAACTCATCAAGTTTTCTCTTTTTTTTTGAGTGTATGGAGTATGGAAAGTAAAATTTCAGTTCAGTTTGGTTAATTTTGACGGCCTTTATTTATTTTTCGGAGCGCAGTGTTTTTCATTAATTACAGAAGCTCTCACACTCATTGTCAATCGAATTCATTCAGTTAGGATTTTGGATCGCAAGAAATAAAAACAATGATTGCAAAACAAATTGACAAAATATTTGCAAGTTTTTGTCCCTACAAGCTAAATTTTGTGCACGTTTGGATGAACGTAAAACGGGGACGGAGGGAAAAGAGTGAAATGAATCGCGTCGACTAGATTAACTCATGAAAGTTTGAAACCAATTTATGTTCTAAAAAACTAGAACTTGGCCAACTTTAAACACAAACGTCAGAATAATTTATTAAAAAGCACAACCTTTTCACTTTCAGGCATGCAAATCAATCAGCAAAAGGAACTTTATTTTTTATTTAAAAAAGCCTGAAAGTTGGACGTATATATTTTTTGGCACCTAACTCTTTGCTAAAATTTAAAATAGCTCAGGTCGTTACCAGGGTTCAGTTCGTACAAATATAAATTATTCGTCTCCAATACATTCACGTGATCACAGGAGTCGTGCGCGTTAATTGCTATATTTAATCGTCGGCAAACAACATTTAATTTTATTTAAAAATCAATCACGTTAGTGGAAGCGCTCTGGATTACGTAGCAATGGTTTCTTTTGGGCAATCTACAATGTTTTGTGCAATTTCTAACAAAGGACAATTTAAGTGATTTTTTTTTTATTTCCAATCTCAAAGGGTCCACGAGGCGGAAGACGATTCGGTTGTGGGGGAGGGAGTCTGGTGGTGGTGCTTGGATTGCGATCTGAAAGCGTGGTCCAGCTGGAGCCTTTGACCTATTGTTAAGCCGCGTCGTTTGGCCAGGGAGGACGTCGGTGCGCTGCCGATTCCGTTCGTTTCTGCCACGAACACTCGTCCAGGTGACGGTCTGTAAACAAGCAAGGATTTTCCCATTAACTATGTGTACTCTCAATCCGGCCTCAAAGAGACTGTTCTAAAGAAAGAGCGAATAAATTGGCTTGTCCCCCCTCGGGACTCGGCGTGCATTCAAAGGCGCCGCAAGATAATTTCGTGAGAGAGAAATGAAGGGCTGGAGATTTATGAGCGAGCAGGCCTTGCAATAACACACGCCGATATGAGAGCAGGGAATAAAAAAGTGGCGACTGTGTCAATATTTAAGCAAGGCTGTTTCTCCGCCAACAGGCGAAATGTAATTTATTTTCACTCTACTCGCTCGGCGTATATTTATTTTTCTTAGCGAAATTAAAAAGCACCGGATATAGCCCCAAGAGATTTTGTCTGTTAATATTCCCAGATTGAATAAATAGAAGAAAAACGCTAAGGAGTTAATTCTGTTTAGAAGATCATGAATATTTTTGTCATCTTTTTATTGACAGAGACCTTTGCAAATCTGCAACCAATATACATCAACAGATATTTATTATTGAAAAATAATGTACCGTTTAAAAAAAATCCTTTGAAAATGGAAATATTTCAGTTAATAATAATAGTAAGCTTTCAAGCTGTTTAAAGTTAAATTTTTTATCTATATCCCCTATCTCTGAAATTTTTTACTTTAAAACTAGATTTATGATCAATTTTAAAAGTAAAGTTGTGCTGGTTGCATTTTTTTATCATCAATTTTCTAAGAACCAAAGATTTTTTCTTGTTAATTGGGTCATTTGGACAAAGTTCAAAAACTGAAGTTCCTCTTTATGAAAAAATGGTCTTATCTTTTTGTTTTGTTTTTTGCTTCATTTTTATGCTCTGGAGGTCTTTAGTTCTGGCGGCATCACCATTTTCGTGCGGCGCTGCCGAAATAAGCCCTCGCAGTTTGTCACATTGTCTCATTTCGCTAAAAGAGCTGGGAAAATTCCGCCTCTCTTGAGTGCTCACCTAAGTAGCGTGGCACCATATTTTAAGCATTTATTTTGCATGCTGCGGAGAAACCGCTAAAATGCCATCGTCGGCGCGGCGACGGGGTGGCTCCTTGCCAAAACCGCGCACACTGCTATTGTCCAATTTCCTCCGCTGTTATATTTACATTGGCGAGGCCGAGCGTGTTTTTTTAGAATTCGCCATCAGCCAGTCAGCAGCTCTGTGCGTTTTTATTAGTACGGCTCGCTTGCCTTTGAGCAGCGAGCAGAGCCGCCCTTCAAAAAGCAGGTCTTGCATTATTCAGCAGGTTGCGCGAACAAAGAAAAACAGGATTACGACACTATCCACCCTGACATTGGCCAATTAAACGAATACAAAGTATTTTGTAGAAGAATTTCACGATGGAGGGTTGATTCATGGTGATTTGAATTTTAAGTCGGCTTTTCCTCCATAGGTTTTTTGAGTTGTTTATTGTTTAAGAAAAGCTGTTCATTCTGAGCAAAATTATTATAAAAATTAATTTGTTTTTAAAAGATTTGAATTCAATTGCATTATTTTGTGATTAAATTATTTTGTATAAAAGTATAACTTCAAATGATTTTTCTCGAAAAATTATTAATTTAAAAGAAAAAGATTTTACAAGTTTGATATTTGTACTAATTTGTATCAAAATGATTTCACAGCTCATGAATTTGAATTATGGCTGCAGCCCGAAGCCAAAACATGAGGAGTAGGATATTGTTTTTTTCTTAAAAAATTAATCACAAAACCCGTCGAAGAGTAAATCTGACTTTCAATTCAAATCAACTTGAGTGTCTTGAGTATATTAGAAGTTGACGGTAATTCAAAAAGCCTGAGAAGAATAAGTCCCAAATTTGCACATAATTTTGATTATTTAATTTTGCTGGTTTGCGTGCTGAAAAATTGGATTAAATTATGTTATTAATTTACTAAAATCTTTGCTAAAAATTAAAAAAAAAAACAACAATTTTTATTTCAAAAAAAAAAAAAAAAAAAAAAAAAAAATATATATATATATATATTTTTTTTTAAATTTAATTATTTGTGAATTGCTCGCGAAGTTGTGGTAAATTAAAAGGCCTTTACTTTTTCATGTACTTTAGATGGGGCATCATCTGTTAGTTTGCTTATTGCGGTGGAAAACACAGACATTTTCTCACCACGAATTACGAGTTTGCCCTGAGCGGAAAAAAGTTTTCGCGTCTCAACGCGCCTGGTTTTGCCCGGAAACCAGAATTCCATGCAGCACTTTGTTTCAATTTGTTTATTCATGCTGTTGTTTTTCCGGCACGCTCGTTAAGAAAAACTTTTTCGCCGAGCATAACGCCGCGGTGCTCTTGCTGTTCGCCAGGCACGAGAATGCATAATCAAAGAGATGAAAACAAAAGAATATACGTCGCGATTTTTTGCTTCCAGAGTAAACACTTTGTTTCGCTTTCGTTAAATAGCGCAGCCCAAGCAGAATGCAAAGTCAGTCAGAGCCGCCCTGCCTGAAGACGATGGGAAAATTAAAAATCTGTGACGAGCGGAAAAGCAGGGCTAAATTTTTGCTTCATAGAAATCGCTCAACTTGGAATAAATTAAGTTTAGAACAAAAGCCTCGATAATGCGTTTTCTGAGGAGTTAGGCCGCGTGCGAAGCCCAAGGGTTTTCCTAAAGGATTTTCTTGAAAGGAGTTGCGTGTTGGACGCGTTAAAAAAGTTTCGGTCAGTCGGCGAGAGCGAACAATAATAAAATTTCAAGCATAGCTGGGAGTGCCGAGGGCTGTCGGAGGAAAGAAATGGTCTGGCGAGTTTGCATATTTCGGCGTGCGCCGCCCCAGCCACTCTCGCCGCCGCACAACAACGAACTTCACGGCGAAAGTTTATATTGAAAAATTCTTGGTGAAATTGGGAGGAAATGAGAGCGACGAGACTTGAAACAAGCGGCCACCACAACAATGTTGTCTGCCCCCAGAATCCACTGTGCATCTTGCTGGTCTAATTTGATTTTGGCCCAGCAAACTTTTGCCCTTGATCAAAATTTAACCTACAAAAACAAGCGCGCCGTTCGGTCCGATTCATTAAAAGTTTTTGATCGAACCCGAGAACTGTGCCTGCTTTGTTTCGAGAATCGTGACTGATATTATTGTTCAATGGGTTTGAAGAGCGGCTAAGATAATGAAGATCTCTGAATTCCTTAGATTTTCCCGTTTCATGGCCACTGAACAGAAATTTAATTACTGCGATCTAAACGTGGCAAAAATTTTCAGATTCCAAGAGAGGATCAAATAACGATGAAGATTTTTAGCCAATTGTTTATAAAATTTTCATAAGTTGCCAAAAAGATTGATTCTAACCAGCAGAAAATCAAGTTAATATTGGAAAACATTTTTGCACATTTTTTTATATTGATTATGCTAATTTATAATGCATGCGATTTTTTATGATATGTAAAAGAAAAAAATCACTCTGCCAAATCGAAATTTAATATGATATCACATTGATTGGCAGTTTGTCAGTCGATTAAAATACTTAAATATGGCGCACCAAAATTTAAAAAAAAAAATCATGAGTTATTATCAATAAAATCTGATCAAATTTTAAATTTGAATCAATCAAATAACCGAGAATTACTCTTTAATCTATGGAAAATTAAAGAGGTCGTCTGAAATTTTAGGAATTCGTTTATTTAGCGAAAACGGATCGTCTGACAAAACCATATATAAATATAAAATCGCAAGAACTAATTAAAACTTTGTCATTGCACGTTCAAACTCCACTTGAATTAATGCAAATTCACAAGGCCTTCGTCGTCTCATTGCCGGTGCGGAATTCGCCACACGAGGGCGCTTCAAAACTAGCTCAAAACACAAATTGCAAAAGTAACGCGCTCCCTCACGGTGCGGCCAAGTTGACGTTCACCGGTGTCGACGTTTGCACTTTCGGCGCGCCAACCGATATTCGCCATTATTATTACGGTCATATACACTCGGATCCATTAATTAAGTCGACACACGCGACAACTATCCGACCGCGATGCAATTACAGTTTATTTTGTGCTGCACAGCCAAAGTGGTTGTTAACTGAATTGAATGCAATGCATGCTCGCGGTTGGTAATTAACAACACGACGAGCTTTAATTTTGCTTCCTTTATTGCATAATTATCTGCTTTCATTACTCGGCGTAATTGCGAATTGTCCCGGCAAAAAGAGACACACACTGGTGGGGGTGTCGGCGTCAATACTCCGCGAGCAACACATCTTGGTGGTTTATTCTCGGCTCCACTTGAGAACTAACTTTTAATTAACTTTCAACCGCAGAGTGCATGTGTGCGATAAAATGAAATTCATCCCCGCACGTTAAACTACCGATGAAAGCAAAAGTCGTCGTCAATTCGGAATGTTGTACGTTTTTTACGATTGGGTGCTGGCAGTAAAATTTTATTGGAGCAAGTCGTTAAAACGTGCATGAATATATATTGGAGGAATATTTTCCAGATAATTTAATTCGCCTCTATTTCCGAACGGACGCTGATGGATTAGCAATCATTATATTATTGCCGCTCGAACCGGCGCCGGCCGCGGCCAAGTGTTTTTTTATTTCCTCATTCGCGCTTTACTGGCGGATTGAGCTCTTCAAATTTATTATGGAGCGCGGAGAATTATTTGCCTCCGACAAACTGCGCCTCCACACCGGGCAGAGCAAAGTTTGCTTGATGGGAAAAGCCAATGTGCTAACTTTTTGTCAAACTTCTTGGGATTTATTTCATTAATCAAGACGGTAATTCAATCAGATTTTCATTCACCTTAATGGAAAATTGATGAGCATTCTCCAGACGAAGATTAATTATAATTTTAGGTGCAGGAAGTTTCTTTTTATTTATTTTCATGTTTAAAAAAATCCATTTTTAAAATTTTCCTCAGCTCTACGCTTTTTATCTATGAATAACAAAAAGTGAACCCCGACAGGAAAATTTTCCGGTTATATTGAACAAAATAGATTATTTTGCATTTAAACGACTTGGTTAGTAATTAATATCAAATTATTAGCTCGTAAATTAACCATTTAGGGTGTTTTTTTAATGTATGGAGACAAAATTTGAGTAGCCTAATTAATTGGTTGATTTTACCGAGTAAAATATTTTAGCTCTTAAATGAACAAATCATAGATTTAAAAAAAATCTTAATAATTCAACGTTAAACTCTAAATAAATCACCATCCATCATAGACGTGTGCTTTAATTTAAAATTTACCTGTTTAGAAGACCTGGATTCGATGATTCTCTCGGTCGCACACCAGGATGTTGCCGTTCGACATCACTGCCACTCCCTCCAGCCCCTTGAACTCGCCGTCCCCGGAGCCCCAGCACCCGAACGCTCGAAGGAACGTCCCGTCCGGGTAGAAGATCTGAATGCGGTTGTTGCCCGAGTCCCCGACGCAGATGTAGCCCTGGTCGTCCACCGCCACTCCTCTGCAGAATTTCATATTAAAATTGATCTCTTTTTCCATTACCACATTTTATATTTTTTTTTGCGGCCAACAAGTAAAAAACCGGGAGAGGAAGAAGAACACTGGGGGTGCCATTACACGCCGCGTGTGGGTTGGAACGGGGTCATTAGCTGGGGTTTTTCGCATTAGGAGAGGGACTTTGTAAAAACTTTTCATCATAAATGATAATAAAATTTCCATTTTTTTTCCGGCAAAGTGCAAAGTAGGAAGAGGGAAAGTAAAAGAGATATTTGTTTTTTTATATACGCTGTGCAAAATGAAAAAGAGAGCAAAAGTCTGCGGTGAAAAAGAAGACGTGTACTTAGAGCACGAAAGGGCATGTCAGGGGCGTCCTGATTTGTATTATTTCAACGCCGCACTTTCGGGTTTAATTTTGAAGGACGTGCTTTGCGACGAGTGTCTGTGCGTAAAACGCATAATGCGGAACGTGTTTGGCCTCTCAAATGACTGCGGAAAATCCAAAAAAAAAAGTGCGCCGAATTCCACCCCTGCTCCGACGCGCGAGTTAATTTTCCAGTTAAAAAACAGCGGTTTGACCCAATTTCTTTGTGACTGCGCGTTGCGTGATTGCAGTGATTGACAGGAAAATTTCCAAGTACTCGAGGGAAAACAAAACTGATGCAAACCGATCAGCAGGCTGTAAAAATTTATCGACTCCGTGGAAATCGCGTGCTGTGCCACTCAAGTCAAACTAGATTTTCCGATTTTCTACGCCAGACCGATACATAGTGACATTAATTCGTTTTAAATGGTGGCCGGCACTATGTGTCTGGGTGGTTTTTGTTCGCTCTCAGCAGCAGCAAGTGATGAAAAACCTATAATGATTGTCATTATTTGCAGCTGTCGCCCGCCCTGGAAAGGCAATTTTTGTCCTTCACTCGCTCCAATTCGTTTGGAAAATAACTTTTCCCAATTTGTAGGCACGCTCAGCACCAATTTGCAGTGATTTCCCGAACTAGTTCCATAACACAATGATTAACGTGAAAAAATCGTTCGAAGCGTGACGGGGGAGCCGTTTATTCAGAGTAAAATACCGGAAATTTATGATTAGTTGAAGCTGCTATAATATACGGTTTTGAGAAGAGTGGCAGGCAATTGTGCAGTTTACGGACGTGCACTGATTTGAATTTTGCAACGTGAATAATTTGACAAGTGCGGTGCTAGTTTGTTAGCCAATTAGCGCATGAACTATACAACTCTATGTTTGGCTTCGTTATTTGAAATTAACGAACGATTCACTTTGTTAATAGTTATTATGCAAGTGGTGTAATCTGCAACTGAGCTTGTTAGTGTTAATTCCAATACGAGAAATTAAAGGGACATGTAATAATAAATTGAATAAAACTGATTACAAATTAAACGTGAGTTAAACGATTAATGCGGTTATATTTTTGAAAGAGAAAATACTGCAAAATTAATAAGCATAATTAGAGAGATGCAAAATGAGAGATTAGTTGATTTTATTTTTTAACAAAATACTTTTGAAATTCACAAATCATGAAGTATTTTCTCCAAAGTTTTGAACGTGGAATTTTGGATTTTTTTTCCATTTATAAAATTGACTTATAAAAATAAGCGTGCAACGAACGACATGAAATTGGGGGGAGCGCAGCAGCCTGTTGCCCATTTGAGGAATCGGCAGTGGCAGGTGCCGCTTACCTCCGTCGATATTGGGGACGACGGAATCGGCGGAAGTGGCGCAGAGACCCTACTAACGTGGGCAGCAGCACTCGAAAATTTGGGCTCAGTTAGGCATGACGATGTTGGGGAAAGAGGTGAACTTGGTTTTAGTGATGGACTTTCTGATGCTGCGCCTCTTCTGCAATAATTAATCGAGCACCATTTTTTAATTGTGTATACTTTAAAGCGAGAAATCACTCTAAAAAAAAATATCACAAACGTGGAGTTTGCACGGCGGGGGGTCTCGTTTGCGAGCTGAGTTTGCAATGCGCGCGTATGATGAAAAGTTTTTTTTTATTGACATTTAAATGAGGATGAAGTGTTAATAAGAGCATAGAGAGATAAAGCACGTGTGCCACTTTTTTATACAAAGGCCACAACGCACACACGAAGCTGCAATAGAAATTATAAAATGATATAAAAAGTAAATCGCTGCGGCTGTTTGTCCGCCGCTTACCTCGGGAACTTGAACTGGCCCTCCTCGGAGCCTTCGGTGCCGAATGTTGACAAGACCCTTCCGTTGACGTCAAATATTTGGATACGATGATTATTCGAATCGGACACTATGACGCGGTTAGTATTGCTAACGGCGATGTAGTGCGGGTGCTCCAGCTGGCCGGGCTTGTTCCCGGGGCTACCGAACTTGCCGACAAAAGTGCCGTCTGATTGAAAAACCTGCCGACGCATTTAAATTGATACATATCGAGATTAAAATGCAAATTATTTAAAATAGAGTGGCGCAAACATACTTGAACTCTGTGATTCTCTTTGTCACAGACGTAGATGAACCCGAGGGCGTCGGTGGTCACGCCCCAGGGGTAGTTGAATCTTCCGTCGGTGGTGCCCTGGCTGCCGAACGCCCTGAGGAAGCGTCCGGACGGGTCGAGCACCTGAATGCGGTGGTTGTAGCGGTCGGCGATGATGAACTGCCCTATCCTGTTGACCGCAACGCCGGCCAGGCAGTCAAACTCGCCCTCGGCGCTTCCGTAGGCGCCGAACTCCTTGACGAAGATTCCGTTTGAGTCAAACAATTGGACTCTGTGGTTGCTCGAGTCGGCCACGACAATCGTGTTGTCCGGACCGACGGCAATCCCGCGCGGCCAAGTGAAACATCCAGGCTCGCTCCCCCGACTTCCGATCTTAAATTGTTGCCGTCTCTTCTGCAGGTACTGGTTTCTAGGGATATTTGCGAAACCGGCTGCCACTGTAGGAGAAGTGGGGGAGGTAGGCGTGTTTTTTTGGTCGTCGTCTGAAGTTTGATCTAGGCTGGCGTTACGCAGGGGCAGGCCGAGCGAGAGGCGCCGCGACGCCGCCGAGCCGGCCGTGCTTCCGACTGACGAGGCGCCGGCACCCGATCCAGCAGCCGTGCCGCCGCCGCCTTCTTTTTCCTTGGCCCGGTTGCCGTACTTGTTCTTGAGGTACCGGGCCCACGAGCTCAGGGCCGCGCCGTCCTTTTCGCCGTTGGTCGCGCCACCCGCGGCGCCCGACCGCTCCGGCGAGTTCTCCCTCGACTTGAGTGCGTGCGTCGACCTGCTGCGGGACAGTTCGGAGGTGCCGCCGAGGGCGCTCGTCGAATTTGAGCCTACACCCGACGTTCCATACCTGCCAGACATATACACAGCCAATTTTGTACCCAACAAGTTTGGAAAATTTTCATCATTTATAAAGCCCAATAAAAATTAAAATCAAGCGTATATGGTTGAAGGAAAGACAGGCGCCAAATTCGTGAAATTCGTTTCATGGAGTGAATAAAGTCTTGACGAAATGTTAGCAAGGTATAGAAAAGTCCGTAAATAGTCAGTCTTCAATACATACGACCAATTTTTAAGAACAAATTTAATTTAAAAATCATGTAAATTTATTTTCTAATTTTGCTGCTCGTGCGTGCAATTTTACCATTTGTATCTTCGTCATTGAAGAAATTTCCCATTTAATTTGTCAATTTTCTCAAGTGTCAAATTGCCCAACTGACATTTTGACGAAAAACGATATCCTTGTGTTAATGGGTGGTTACATCATAAAGAGGATTTGAAATTTTTCTATATTAAATGAGCATTTCCAGCGCAATTAACAGCAAATTGAGTTACTGTATTGCTGGCATAAAATTATTTTACACAACTTATAATGATTAAAAAGCTTTTGAATTTACTCAAAAATTTTTTAGTAAAAAAAAAGTTTATCTTTCATGCCACCCAGTGAGAAGTTATTAAGTATTTTATTTCTTCTGTAAAATCTAGTTTTATGCAGTTCGGAAAATTTTTACATGACAAAAATGCAAATGGGAAAATTGCGCGCAAAAGCAGTAATTTTTTTATTTATGTTTTTTTCTTTGTCTTAAATTATTTTAAGTTCCTAATATAATATAATTTTTTATCGTTTTTTTTTTTAAATTTTTTCATCAAAACATTTATTTAATTAAATATAAATCATGCGCAAAATGAAGAATAATAAATAACTATTCATATTTTAATAGATGAGGGAATTCAAATTAATAAAATAAAATAATATCTAATTTCAAAATTATCGTGGAATTAATAATCCGTAAAATATTTATGAAATCAATAAATAGTTAAATTAGGCCTTTTTGAGCAAATTGATCTAATTATAAGCAATTCATTAATATTAAAGAAAAAACAGTCTGTCAGTCGGTTTGCCCAACCCTAGGAATAATGGAAGATGGGTGAAGGGGAAACGATGACATGGCGATAGGGGGCGAAAAATGTGTGATCAAATAATATGAACCACATTAAAACACAGCCAAATGAATAATGCTCAATCTCACGCAGCTACAGTGTGTCAATGATGGCAACAAAAATTTTGTAAAGCATGTACGCGCGCACTACGAATTTGAAAATTTGCTTCAAGCTGCTCACGAAACCCCCAGACTTATTTTCAAACTCAACAACCTGCTCATACCTGGATCGCCCTGTTCCGTACTTGTCCTCGGTCGAGTACTTCCTGGAGGCCGTCGAAGAGCTGTCCTCGTCCTCTGGCGAGATGGCCGCGGTGCTCTTGCTGCGGTTCAGGAATCTGCTCGTGTAGCCGGAGGTGCCGTACCGCGACGACGGCGTCTCGTCCTCTTGCTTGCGGCCGTACTTGTTGGCTTGCTCTTCGCGTCCAGCATTGTACGCACGCCTACCCCCCATGTACGAACTGTCGTTCGCGGCTGGGGTTCGCGTCGAAGCAGACTCTCTGGCCTGAGCACTTCTCGCCAGCAGCGAGTTAATGCTCGATCCCTTGGCCTGCGCCGTGGAGGCAGTTTCGTCCTCGGACTCTTCCTCGGACTCACTTTCCTCCTCAGACTCGGACTCAGAGCTTTCTTTTTTCGGCTCGGGCGCAGCGGGAGTCGAGGACCGAGTGGTATTCAGGAATCTGCTTTGGAATTTGGGCTTTTCCGTCGCGGCCGGGGCGGCGGGTGTGCTGGATGCTGCCGTGGTGGAAGGTCGGTCGCTTTCCGACTCGGACTCGTCGTCGGACGCGTTGTTCGTCGTGGCCGCCGTCTCGGCTTTCACAGGGCTCGTCGTCTCCTCCTCTTCCTCAGACTCCTCTGCGTCGCTGGACGCCGTCACCTGCAACACCTGATCTTGCACACAGACTGCTCAAACAAACTTGGTGGTGTGTTGTTTTTATATAAATTAATTTACTTGTGTGTGGTTTTTAAATGTTTGTTTTGGACAAGGGACAATATTTATATATAAGAGACGCATCTTCACAAACATTGTTAACGATTAAACTAACTGCTTTTTATATTTACGGATTTTATACTGTTTTACTCAGAATCGTCACGCACCTCGCTAGATCTCCTCGCTGGCTCTTCTGGCGCTCTGTCCACAGAGGTGGTGCGTGTCTCGGGAACCGCAGCTGCTCCGGCGGATGTAGTAGAAGCTTCAGCCTTGTTCTGTTTCTTGATCTTGGCGATCTCGTCCTCCTCGCTGACCTGCCGCGACGTCTTCTTCGCGGGCTGCCCCGCCACCGGTGGTTTTGCGCCAACGGCCGGCACGACAGGGGTGACCGGTTTGGGCTCCTTGGACTTCTTGTCCTTCTGTTCAGTCTCTTGGAGGCGTTTCATGACCCTGGGCGAGTCGTACAGACGCGTGATGCCACTGAGAGGGCCCTTGGACACGTCCTCGGTGTCCAACACCCTTTCGCGCTCTTTCCGCGGAATGTGCGTTTGGGACGGAGACTCCTCACAGAAACGCACAGACCGACCGGACGTCTCGGTTTCGTCATCCGGGTTGTCCAGGTGTCTGGTGAAGCGCGACCTGTAGCGGGACGGTCTTCGGCTCTCCGAGTCTTCGTCAAAATCGTCCCTTCGGCCGTACCTGTTGTTGCCACCCTGAGGTCGCTCGCCGAACTTCCGTCCATTCAGGGCATCGTCAGGGTCGGTGCCACCTCCCCTTGAATAGTACTGCTCCTCCTGTTGCCTGAACTGACTGGCAAGTCGGTGGTCGCTCTTGCTCCTCATCAGCCCTGGACCGGACGGAGGCTGCAGGCTGCCAGTGCTGGCGCTTGTGTTGGTTCCGGAGCCCATCACGCCAAAGGGCTGGGGCATGTTGATGGCCAGCTCGCCGTAGTTGCCCACGTTGACCACCAGAGTGTTGGGGTCGTGCGACATGATGAACCTGGCGCGGCGCGTGTAGTCGCTCTGCTCGTATTCGAAATTGCGAATGAAATCGACAGTCTTAAGGAAAATATCTTTGGTGTCCATCAGCTCGCAGTCGTCCCACTCAACACTTTCCGTCATGTGCTTATCGGCGAGCTCGCAGTTTGCCTGGATATTGGACAGCTCTTGCTCCAGCTGGCTTTTAAGCGTGGTCAAGTTGCGCGCCTCCGTCGTCAGATAACGGTCTATCTCGTTTTTCAAGTAGTCGGTGCGATCTTTTAGTGCCTTGGTCAGGCGTCTGTGGATCTCGTCGATTTCTCCCTCGACTGACGCGCAGTTCAGGGCTAAGCCTTGAGCGTTCTTCTCCACAATGCCGATGGCGTCTTGTACTCTGGGCAGACCGCGGCGAATCTGAAAAATTAAAACAAAAATCAGTTTGGTGCAAACATTTCTTATGTTTTAAAAATTAAAATGGAATTTAAAAAAAGAAGTTATAGTTGAGAGTTGAGTTCTATGGTTAATAAATGTTTAAAAACCAAAATAAATGTAAGGCTAAAAATTCAGTTAAACCCAGTTAGAAATTATTACATAATTTAAATTTATAATGAAGTAATAATTATACTATTGGGCAGAGAAATATGAAAGTAAGATTTAAATTGTCAATAAATAAAATAATTACATATTTAAAAAATCCATGCATCTAATTGAAAAGTTATAAATGAAATCATGTAATAAATTTGTCTCTATTTAAAAATTCATTCTAAAAACTAAATTTTGGTCAAATATATGAATTTTATTATAATGTGATTTAAAAAATTTGTTTGCATTGCCATACTGCACAAACATTTATGGGACAAAGTTACCCTTTTTGGCGAATATAATTTTAAAAAAATTGACATTTTTTGAGAGTGTAAAAATTTAAATAACTTCGCGCCCCAGCTGGTGTTTATAATTTATGCCGTTCTTGCAAATTTAGCACAGCATGGCTGACTTTTCCACTTTGTTCTTTGTTTAGCGCTGGGTAAACAAAATTACAGCGGCGCAAACTTAAGAAAGTTGCCTGCAATTAAATATTTAAAGCCTGGTGACAGCGCAGAGTGCAGCGTCATAAAACACAAAGCCCGCGCGTTAATGCAGGGCCGCGCCTAATTACGGCCCCCTGGCGATTCATACTTGGTTGTTAATTCGCGAAATCTCGCGGCGCAAGATGTCCATGTGCGCCTCCTTGCAGTCGGCGCAGATTTTCTTCTCGCAGTGCGTGCAGAGCGAGCAGTACGCCTTTTCCGAGCACACGTTGCACCGCTCCATGATCTGGTTGCTGTTCGGGTCGGGCAGCTCGCCCGTGATCTCGATGTGCAATTCGAGGAACCTCTGCAGGGTGACGTTGGTCGGGAAGCCCTGCACGCCCTGGTAGGGAATGCGGTGCTCGGCGCGGCATTCTGGACACTTCACCTGCAACCAAATGGAAAATCAGTCAATCTGATTTATGGCGATCCTAAACATGTGTTAAAGCAAATGTAGCCACCGGCTGGACAATACAAAAGGAATTCGGCCTGGCCGACAGTTATAATTTATATCGCATTGAATTGGAGTTGCTTTGAACGGAGGGGATGCTGCTGGAAGGCGGCCAAAGTGTTAACACGCTTGTAACTAGCCTAAATAGAACGGGCGCTGGATAAGGGCGTCGGAGCAAATATCCCTCGTCTATATTTATGCGCTCTCTGCTTCCTCATCTCGAATTCAGTTTCTGAGCAGGCGGATTATTTGCGGTGCTCGCGAGGTGACGTCTGCATGTAAATATCATTTGCGGCCGTTTATTAGGTTAATCCTTGCTTTGCATCAAAGTGAATTAATAGCTTGCATACGTGCATCCAATTTGTTAGATGGAGATAGGCAACGTGCCCGACAGGCGACTCCGGCAGGTTGCATATGGCGTTATCAAAGGAGTTGATTTTATTCTTGGTAGAATGAAATTAGTAAAATCTGCATGTTGCAATTATTTTTTATCTTAATTATGAATAGTCTTGTGAAAAAAATTTGTTGATAAACATCTTATTCTTTAGATTTATATTAAATAAGGCATTACATTTACAATAAAATATGGATTTTAGACGTACTTTATTAAAATAGGAAAATTGGAAAATATCACTGATCACTGCACAAAATAAATAGTAAAATATTTTATAGAGAGATCAAATGTAAATTTATCAAATGAATTAAATTATTATCCATTCTCATTAACCAAAGATATTAAACATTTGAACTTTATTTCACTTCCTTTTTTTTTATTTTATGATGTGAAAAAGTTAATTAGATCTTTTGACATTTTCTTTTTTTATAAGAGGCAAATCAATTTTCCTTCATAATGTACATATAAACAGGGGAGAAAAGTCAATTATGTACATAATCATTTCAGTAATGGAATCATTTAGCGCGAGCGTCCGATATTAAGGCTTGTACCGTATGTGCAGGGCAATTTTATGGGCACAATGGCGTGGCCGTACCAGCAGCTCTGATCTATTAGGACGGAGTTATTGACATTTTATGATTTTAATACCGAATCGATAACGGTAGCGGCGTAATGAGCTCCCGAGTGCTAATCTCTATTCTGCATAAAACGGGTAAAATCATGTGCGCGGCCTTTTTTCGCGATCACGTCCGTCCATTTGAATTACCACAGCGGTAAAAACAAACGGTGATTAACCAGCTGGCTGATTCACTGCTGCTGTTTAATTAATGGCCGAGAAAATTTTGCTCAGGCCACTTTGCATAATTGAATGAGCGGCTGACCGGTGTGGCTTTCGAGTGGTTTTATTTTCGGAATGTTTATCTTTTACTGACCTGTCTCCTGACGTAGTCGACCAGGCCGTCCATGCACGGCTCCATGCAGAACGAGTGCTGGCATGGCAGCAGCTTGGGGATCCGATATCGGTCAAGGCAGATGGCACAAGTCAGCAGCTGCTCGAACTGCTCCATCCTCGTTCAGCTTTCTCTGAAACACAAATAATGAGCTCTGAATTAATCTGCACTTAATTTATCTTGGCGTGCAGCACGCCGCTGTACCTGCGCTAGTTGCAAATTCGAATGGAATGTTTAATCAGGGTATGTGCAGAGTAATTGCGTGTGGCGAAATCCACTTGTAATGCATGTTTACCGGGTTTGTTATCACTCGGCTGCATTTGCTCTGCTCTCTCCCTGTTATGTTTTGCTCGTGTAATTGGATTACTCTGCATAGGTAAAGTTTTACCCTTAATTGAAATGATTTCGGAATGCAATCCCGTTGTTGCGAGTAATAAATGGATGGTTTATGCGGAAATAATACGCAGTTAATTTTCAGTAAAAATGTAGAGCGATTTCAATAAAGACTGATTAATTGCCATTCTGATTCCTTTTGCTTACAAGCAGTTTTCTAACCGTGAAATAAGTGAGTCAAAATATGTATAACCTACATTAAAATAATTCCAAAAATTTAATCACTAAAAGAAAGCAACGTTTTTGTCAAAATAATTTCTTTTTAATTAATTCAATTAAAATTTAATTTTTCAAGCAATTTAATTGTTCATTTCTCACTAGAAAGTAAATAAATTTGACCAATTTGTCAACCGAGGCTCACAGCGGCGGATGGGGTCTTTTTATCCAGGAAGTTTAGAAAAATTCTTGCTAGTGGTGATGCCGTTTTGTCCAAAAATTCCTTTCTTCCAATAAATTGTTTCCAAAAATAAAGTTAATACAATTTATTTGTAACTATACGTACAAATAAACAAAAGTAATAAAAAAAAAGAATGAGAATCCTAACGTTTTTGCACTTAGATCCTTTAATAAATTTTGGCTAAAAGTAAATAATGATGCTCTACATAATGTTTATTTTTAGTTGAAAAACTAGAAATATACTCGCTTCCACTAATTGTATTTTGCGTTTGTGTGGTCTATTGTGATTATTTTTTGGTGTTTGAAAGCTGTCAAATATTTGTTGGTTTGATAAATTTATTAACAAATTCCAAGTTCTATTGAATTCTCTCTTTTGAAATTAAGAGCTCCACCGTATTTACTCTCTTTTTTGTGTTGCTCACATCCACCGTGTTGAAAATTCTCTTTTGTCAACGCCGGAGTTTATTTTTTTTACCCAACAAGAGATATGACAAATGGTGGCGATCAAAATGTCCCCATTTCCCCGACGACAAACAACAGCTTTTTAACCAGGACGAAACACGTGCGCAGATAAAACACGTTGTCATGTAAATTTTGGTTATTATTTCATTTCCGAGGATAAATCTGCCGGATTATTTTGCATTTAAAACACCCGCTTTTCGAGTACATTTGCGTTATTACTTTTTCCGTCTCTAATTCTGAATTATGGTACAAAATGTTCAGTATATATTCAAGTGTTTTAGCACTTTATGCGAGGCGATTGTGCAATATTTAAAAAATCCAAGCTAATAAAAAAAGGAGTTTTTACTGTGTGGTGCAGCATTAGTGAAATTAACATCTTATTAAAGCAGCGGTGGCAGCGTTCGCGCCCATCGATGTCCAGCCGCTCTTTATCTAAATATAATTACGGGGCTGAGCCGCATAATTTACAATGGTCGCGCAGCAGATTGTATACTCGCGGCCAACAAAGCGTTGTTTGTAATTAAATGGCAAACACACGCCGCGTCCGGCCAACCAGGGTGAGCAAACACGTCACTGATTTATTAGCAATTTTATAATCCAACCAAAAAAATAACACCTCGAGGGTTGTTTGCTTCTAACCAACAATCCCAAAAAAATTAGATGCGCGCCACGTGTAGCATTTTCCAGAAAGATGATAAGCTTCTATTTGCGGTCTCGCCCTTCCTTCTTTTTTCCGCCGTTTGCATTATTCACAAAAACAAAATCGCCGCTATGTGCACGTCTCGCAGAAATCTCCCGCAGGCTCGCTCGAGATGAAATGAATAAAAAATTTCCACGCTCGCGGATCCGTCTCTGGCAATTTCTTGCTTGTTGTCCTGCGCGCTTTTTATTTTGCCTGACTGAAACGGGCTTTTACTGCGAGCTCGCAGACATTACGTTGCCGTTTCAGCTTGGGTGGTGGATTTCAAACAGGCTGTTTTTTCTTGAAAATATAAAGTGCAAGCCTTTGAAAAGTTTATACATATTTCAACAACAAAAGGAATAATAAATTATGTTTAATGTTCGCTATTGAAATTTATTCATTATATTTCTTTTCTCTTTTAAATGAAAGAAAAAAATAATAACGTATTCTCATTCTGAACCCAATCCTATAAGATGCTAATGCATAAACAGGTTACTTCGGAGTAAATTTATTCATTTTCAAACAATAATAATAATAATAATAATATTTCAAATATAAATGCTATTCAATTTACAACTAAAATAAGTAAATTATGAACAAATATGGAATTACTGAATTTTGCATTGCTAGAAAAAGAATGAAATATTATATAAATTTATTAAACCACAATTTTTATTTATTTATCCTGATTAAATCATAAAAGTAATAAAAAGCTTGGTTGTTTGTGAAAAGATTAGAAATTATTTTGTATGCTATTTGGTTCTTTATTTATTTTAATAAACGTTTAAAATTATTGCAGCACTGTAATCCAACTGCCGGAAGTGTCATGGTATGTGAGCGCGGCACACGTCACATTTCTGCAGAAATATCCAAGTGCGCACTCGGCACACATTTATCACCGGCAGGCTCATTTTTTTACTCGTCGGTGGCAATATTATCCATCAGGTATGTACCCAAGGAGGGGAAGCGTATATAAAGTTTATCAAACTGCACGCACTTAAACTCTTGAGTGATAAATATTTTATGACGACAGAGCGTCGCTGAATAAAAAAAAAGCAGATTTTGTGTGCGCCGAATTTAACGCGCCCTCGCAAACATTAAAATAGTACGTCGAAAATGATAAATTGAGGCTATTGTTGCAACACGTGCGCCCTCGCCTCCCTCTCTCTACTGTGCGCCCTTTGCTGGAGAAGAGAAAGAGGATTTCATTTTTGCTCATTTTTACAACCCTTTCTGCTGCACGGCTAAATGGAATTTTAGATATACAGCTTCCACGCGCACAAAGCTCTTTATGTCGAGAGACTTGTAATTCAAATTTATGTATACATGCGCGTTCTTTCATTTATTTTATCTCAGCAGCCGGCTATGCAGAACGGCGCCGAGGTGAGTTTCTTTTGAGGAACAACCGGCGCGGAAAAGAAAGTGAGACAGAGGAAAATCAATTTTGGGCCGCGCACATATTTCTCTTTTTTCTTAAAGCGTGTGCGTTACGACAAAGGGAATTTTTTCGTTATGCATCAAGCTGGAAAGACCCGAATTGAGAGGATTTTCTTTTCTGTTTGATACATAATACACAGGCAACGCGGAATTCGACGTGATAGGCTAAGCTCCAAATTGCATCGAACCAATTTTTTTGAATCGAAAAAAATTTATTTAAGCTGCTCCTTAGAGAATCACGGAAAAAAGATTTAGTAAAAAAATTGTAGAAAAATAATATTACAAAGCAAAGTTTTGACGAGCGCATAATATTTTTTGAAATTCCAAACCAATTCCTTTTCTAGCTAAATTTTAAAAATTTTTATTTCTACAAAACGGATTGGATGAATCGTAATTTGGTCAATGTCTAAAATTTTGTGCTACAATCTGGAATCGCACTTTCTCTTTAAAAACATATTCGATACTTTGATTGACAGTGATTTTTTTCAAAACTTTTCGCAACCAACTATTTCTAAAAAAACCCACTTTGGTTTTAAGAAGGATTTTAAGCTCATATTATTGGAAGTTCTTCAACCTCGTGTTTGCTCAAAGTGGACTTGCGTTCATGGTGGAAACGGAGAAAAAAAATCAAAGTTGGCACTTTGCTCATTTGGCGAATGTTGTGTTCAAACCCGTGGCGCACCAACGCTCAAAACACTCACCGGCCGAGAGCAACGAACTGAACTGCCACCGCAGCAGTAAAAGAAAATTTTCATTATCTGCGTCGCCAGCGAAACGACTTCCTTCCTCTCTTGAAATGGTAATGAGCGGGCAGCACTTTTAATGCGTCCTCCACCCACTTGGCACTAGTTCTTGTCGAAATTCGCCAACAAACTTGGCCAAGTATAAGGGTGGACCCCCCTCTTTCTGAAAGCGAGCTTCGATATTTATTCAATTAATGGTGGATTAAATACCAAAGTTTAATGTAGTGTGCTGTTAAATTGCTAACTGAATTTTCTCCTCAAAGCCGATTTAATTTGCTCGATAACGGCGCCTGTGATTCTGCAAGTTGGTTGAATCGGCGCTATTATTACTGGCCGCCTCGCGATAGAGAGAAACGGCTCGAGGAGAGATGCGGCCGCGTTCTAACTTCGTCGGGGCTCTCCCCGGATGGCTAATAATAGCGATGGCGCGGTGTATCCGAGCCCGAACTGGCCGTCGCGAGTCGGACGAAAAGCCGAACGAATCATGCCCGCGACCATGTGACTCTCTTTCTCTCTCGCTTTGTGTCCGATCGAAATACCTGATTATTTATATTCAGTAGTTTTTGGAGTCGCACGCATTTATTTACTCACCGCAATGCTTTTATGCCGGCGGTGACCATTTGTTTGGAGCGCGCACGTGCCATTTCGCTGTGAATAAATCTGCGGACGGACAAAAAGCACAAACGCAATACCAGAGAAGAGGCATCACTTTGTCGACACATGCAAATATCCTGGCCCCGAGCGAACGCGGACTGAAATATTCAATGGCTTTTTAATGGCGGCTGTATGCTTATTTTTGGAAATGGAGTCGAAATCGATTTAGATATTTTATTATTTCACCACCATGTTTCAAAATCAAAATTCATTTTTCAATTAAGTGAATGTTTCTTGCTCTAAATCATTACCGATATAGACCAAATACAGCTCAAGATTGATAATGAAGGTTGAAAGATTATTTAACATCAAAATAATATTTTGCAAAAATAAAAAAACTAAAAAAATTATTGAAATTTTTCTATTTAAAAAATAGGGCTATTAAAATTATAATACGTAAGAAAAGTAGCAAAATTTAAATATAACATAAATATTTAAAAAAATATGAACCACACTGAATTAATTTTAATAAGTAATTTTAGCTTTTTAATAAAGAAAATTAATGATGAAGTAGTTAAAGTTAATGAAGTAAATTTAAATTAATAAAAATCTTCAATCTTGTCTGTTGCTAGTAAAATTTAACACCACTTTCAGCATGTATCAGGCTAAAATAAACAAATGTGTAGCATTGAGCAAACCTATAGTGAACGACGTTAATATTAAAAACCACAGGAACGCAAACATGCCATAAATTTTGATCAAAAAAGCACCAAGCCGTCTAGATCAGTGAGCGCGCGTATCGATGATGCTGGTAAAATTACGCACCAGACAGTAAAGCATAATTTTAAGTGATGTGTGTTTGCAGAATGCAAACATACGCAAGCCGTCGCACGTCATCGCGAAAACCGTCTGAAAATACACACCCTCCTCTCTCTCTCTCTTCCAAGAGGAAACTGAAATATGAGGCCCGAGGGTAGAATTCGCAAGTAATGAGAAAATAACCTACGCCTTTGCATGCAGCCTCCGTTCCGTATCTTGCGGTGTCTTGAAATGGACCAACTCACCTGGTTGCGAAAGCCGTCCGAGAATTAGCGTCTGAATTAATAACCGGCAGCGCCAAAGGCGCGTCGGCTTTTTGGCAAACTCCGCGGCCTGGATAAAAGTGAGTAGGCGACGTGCTTTTCCGAGCAGTAATGCACGCGTACACAATTTTTCCCTCTGTGTGTTTATTTTTTCATTTCATGTAAGTTTTGACGTCAATCGAAAGCAATCCGCGCTGGAATTTGCCATACACTCTGGCCCGTGAGTAGGAGTTGGATTTTGCCCCAAAAGCATGTTTTATTTATACAGCAGCTTACCATTAGTGCCGAGGGCTTTTGACTGACCCTCTAGACCAAAAAATACACAGTGGAAAGTGGCATTTGGATGTAGTTTTTCCATAAACGTAGGAAAACCCAAATAACCTTCATCCCTTCAAACGTTTCTATGAAATCAAAATTATATAATTTTAAATGATGAAGGGCTTATTTTAGTTTATTTTAATCAACAGATGAATTTAATAGGGAGCAAAATGATAAAATTGCTGCATTAATTATTAATTTATATTTAATTTTGAATAAAAATTTTATTACAAATTTCCAAGTGTCTCTAGGTAAAAATAAGTAAATAAATAAAGGTAGCTCCCCTGCAGAATAATTACTGTTAATTTGTTTTAATATTTTATACAAAATTCAAATTTATATATCTGCAAATTTCTTTCCCTTTGACCGAAACTTTGGTGGTGATGAATTTGATAAAGTTACGTCAACAAGCAGTCAAAGTAAAAAAAACAAAATAAAATAAAAAAGTAAATGATTTTGAGGTGAAGTTTGCCAGGTTTTATTTATTTATTGTGCCTCGATTTTCACGGCAAATAAAATTACATGGTCGTGATGTGGGGCAAAAAACGAACCAATTTTAAGCAAAGTGTCAAGCGCACGTCGACTAATTGTCCAGGCAACAACAAACAAGGCCGTGAGCAAAAACAGGACCGAGTCGAAAATAACGGTCGGCAAAAAATTTGCACGCCAAATCAGCACATGCGATTGTTTTTTGTCGTTTGGCATAAATTTGAAACAAAATGCATGCCACATACAGACGGTCCACCTCGGTTTTCGTTTTGGCCTGCCATTGAGATATACACCAATTAATAAATGGCCCTGCAAATGGCCGCTGCCGAGGCAATTAAAGCCCTCGCCGATCCAAGCAATGTTATTTCGCGTTTAATTATTCTGCAATGCAAATATGGTTAAATGGCTTGTTTTTGCGATAGCACTGTGGAAGGGGCGTTGGTTGCCAGCAAACGATATGATAATAAACTCTGGCCTAAAGTCCAAAACGTTAATTGTGCGCGTGGCCATTTCGTTTTTCATTATTTCCGGCAGCCGAAATGCGCTTGTGATTCTCTCTGGTAAAAATAAAATCGGTGGAGCGTCACAAAAGAACAGCAATTTTTAAATTAAAGGGGGAGGAATTGGAACGGAACGTGCTGGGAGGAGTTTTAATTTGCGCGCTGCCTCATTTTCGGAATTAATTTGTGCCGAGTGCCTGCGTATGCATGTGAAATGAGTGCCTGCTCCAAATTAATGTATTTCTTTTTGCAGAAAGGATATTTTGTTCTAAATTAATGTAGAAAGTAATTATTTTAGATGGGTTTGTTATTTTGAATGAAATTCATTTTGTTAGAATTAAAGAAATATGTAGCTACTCAAATACAAAAACAAATTATTTTGCGTATTTTTTTTAATATAAAGTGAAAAAAAAAAACATTTCCTTGTCACTTGATGAGGTATGGATTTCCTGTAAAAGCAAAAGTGATGCAGGTTTTTCCTGGTTCTGGGGAATGCCGCAATGGGTTTCAAATCCCAGAGTAATTGTTCTCAAATTAGAAATAATTGCTGTTTTTTTTATGATAGTGATGTAAGTCATCTGGAATAAATACACATGAGAAGTCCATAAATTACTGTTTCCCTTTTTTATAATTTAAACTCTCGTCATAATTTGAAGAAATTATTAATTTCTTTTAAATTTCCTCTGTATAACATGAAAAATTAATAATAAGAAAAAATATATTAGAACACACCACTCTTGAAAAAGAATGTGATCATGATAATTTTAATCATTTTATTAATGTTTAGCCTTTTTGCACTGCCAGTGCCAGTTCAATTGCAAACAAAACATTATATTAAATTTAATGCATATTGCATATATTTGCTCATTATGCTATTTTCTACTTCAAACTTTTATTTCTGATACTCTGGCAATCCTTCTTTTCGCTGCTTTTTCATCTATCTTTGTATTTTCCATTCTATGATGTTTTTTTTTTATTTTCAAAGATTTGGATTTGATGCAGGGCAACCTTTTTAACCAACTTTAAAACTAAATTTTGGCCACTTTTCAAAAATTTAATATCAATTTTATATTCTAATAACTGGCGCTGTTTACAAATTCATAAATCATCGTCATCCAGCGTTGTCTAATCACAGCGCGACTTGTCACTGCTGCCAAGCAAAGAAAATTTTCTATGCTTTTTCTTGGGCTGCCAGGTCAAAACTCAAAAAGAGCTAATTATTTTGCACGGCTTTTCGCCTCCAGCAGCCGCGCCTGGGGATGATGAATTACATTTTTAATGGAAACACACGCGGCAGCCGCACCTCGGCGCACAAAAGTAAATGCGACGGCTGAGCAAATTTAATAATGGCCGCTACCCAAATTTGGCTCTCATCAATCAAATGAAAGAATAATTCCCTCTCCTCTGTATCAACCTCCCTCACTGCAGATTAAAAGATTAATTAGTTATAACCTGCAGTTTTGTGCCGATCACCGTCGCAGCGAATCGATTTTGACGCGTGCGAAATGACGTCACGTTTCTGCATTAAAACAGAGCCGACCTTAAATCGACACACTTTTGCCGCGCCTAATCCGTGCAAATAACCAGCAAACTTTCGGCGGTTGACTAACTAGGTGGTCCTTTCGCAGGGGAAAACTTTTTCAGCAGGCGATGTTTGCGGCTTACTCTCTTTAAGCCGCACTCGCTTGACTGCGCTCAACCCTTTATGTGTCGCAAACGTTTGCACCCGTTTCATCTCTTGCCGAATTTCTGTGGTGCTGCGCAGATTGTGCGTGACTCCGTCGTCATCTCTGCGACTAATTGCATTCCTCGAGAAAATGCACCAATTTTCTGCTCTATTGGCGAATAAATATTTGGCTGAGTGTATAGGCTTGGAAGATAAAATAATAAGATTACGACTTTTCAATTTCTATCCACTGATTAAATTCTTATTGCTGCTTTAGAACTTAGAACTGAATAATTACATAACAATCTAATATATTTATGTTTTATGTAATAATTATTAATAGTAATATAATTTTTTTTAGACTTCTCTAACTGTCTGTTTTTTTTTTAAATCTCTGTAATTTTTTTATGAACTCTGTTTTAATCAATTTTGTAATTAAAACTGATTTACCTTGCCAACTAATGTTGTGTTTCAAAACCTATATAATATTAATTTACGTTCATGCTGGATACTTAAATTTTAATCAATTAAAATTTTTTATTCAAGATAATTAATGAATTTATATTACAAAAAAGACTTTGCAAAAATTAAAATTAGACATTTCATAAAATCAACCAAAATATATATTTTGAGGATATTGTTTAATTTAATTTTGCTTTCGTAAAATAGAAGGAATGATGAAATATTAAATTTAATTTAATTTGCAAAACGCAAGAAATAAAAGAAAAATTATCAATTTTTAAGGGTACTCATATTGACGATTAAAATATTTCATGCCCTACACAAAGCCCGTTGCCAGTTTGGCATGCGTGCAAATCTGCCTGAATGGTATTCTCTGCAATCGCCAATTTTTTTCAAACACTGCAAAATTGAGCCTTTGTGAGAGGACAATTACACAGCTCCAGTTGCCAAATTGACAACTCAATCGTTCGCAACTCGAACGGTTTCGCTGGAATTCATTGGTATGGAAAGATGTGTATATGCACCAACATTTGGCACCGGCATCATTGGAGCCTGAAATTCCGCCGCCCAAACAGACCTTGCGTAACATCAAAAGCTGCGTTCCATTTTGCGTGAGTTCACACTTCCATATATTGCTTTGTGAAATCGACGCTTTCACACTATTGACGACTCTGCTTTTTTAGTTTACGTTTTGCGTCTATTTTCAAACTCCATCTGCTTTTTCCCTTGCCGGTTAATAGGACTGCCGACCCAGATTGCTGTGTTGATTCTGTCAGAGTTTCAAGTTTGAGTGGGATTTCTGTCCTGCCGTAACGCGGTCCGTCCCGAGAGTCGCATGGATATTGAGAACGGCCGGCGAGATACGACGGTTCACGTGCAATTAAAGACCTTTCAGCATTAATTTGCCGTGAAAAGATACTGGCGAACAGCGACGTTTGATCTCTTTCTCATTTTGCTATCCGTTACGCCAGAGAGATTTTCAATTTGCACTCAAGAGCAGCATGCAAGTGCTCAGTGCCTTTTTGCTTCTCCAGGAAGCAATTTAATTACATTCGCCTGAGAAAAGATATTATTTTCTTCGCTTCGCTGGTAGCGTGAGGTGTATGTAAACGTACGTTTGATATTTTCCAAGTATCAACCTTGTGACTGAATGTACGAAGGCGCAGTAAAGTGAAATAATTAAATTCTGATATGTCATTTTTTAAAATTACTTTCGTTCTGCACCGTTTACTTATTCCTACAGTACTTGTTCTGAGAAATTACTATAAACATTTCTACTGATTTCCACTGAGTGCACAAAAATTGTCACTACTTTTTCATTCAATTAAAATAAATATTAATATTGTTTACATCCTTAAAAACAAATATTCTGGAATCCTTCAAGGGATTAAAATTTAACGTTGTATATAATATTATACATTAGAACAAATAAATGAGCTAAAATAATTTAATTGTAAATAGCTAATTTATTTGTAAACGATCATGGATGTGAATTAGTTAAATTTAAGATGTTTTAAGTTTTATACACTGTCTATGTAATTATATGTGTAAATCATGCTCAATTATTTAATGTTACAAAGTAATGAGACTTGATCAATTATCCAACAGAAGCGTTTGTTTGTATTTAAAAATAAAGAGAAATATAATCACAGAATATGTGGTGTTCACCGGATTTTTAACATTTGTAAATTTTAACCTATTATTCTCAAAGAAATTAAAAAATTATTGTAAATAAACTACAATAATTTATTTAAAAAACCTTATTTCTTTAGGTTTCAAATCAGAGTTTAAATGCATCCTTCAATAGTATTGTATCATAGAAGTGTTTTGATCCACTTTCTTCTAGGTCTTTTGAGAATCATCCAACTGGCCGAAATAGTATCCGACGATTGCCTCGTCGTGGGTGTTTACCCCATAAAGCCCGAGTGTCTGACGCGCGTCTCTTTTTCGACCATGAGAACTTGGGTGTTTTCGCCAGCCCATAAATACAGAATTGGAAACCAGGTAAGTGGGTCGACCGCTTTTTTACTCCACTCCGTTCCCCAACGCCGCATACATAAAACAAGTCCAACAAGGTTGCAAAGAAAATAAAAAGGAAAAAGGCTCATCTCGGAAGCGGCGACACATGGAAGCCAACAAGGTCTCAAAATGCAGAATGCAAATTAATTTCAACTCCTCCTCAGCACGACCCGCAGAGGTCTCTTTTTCTTAATATCCACCAGCTATCAGTTTAATTAGTTATTTGACCTCTGTTTTGCGTCGCTCTCGCGACCCAAGCGCGCAATTAATTGCACTCGATGCGGTTTTAAAGGACAAATAGCTCAAGGCTGCAATAACAATGCACTGCTTGCGATTCTCATCTTCTATTGAGAGAGCACTAGAAATACGCAGTGATTGAAACATATTAAATTAATTTCAACTACTGTTTCTATTTATGGGAGACCCTCATTGCTCCCAACAGAGTTTGTCACTAAATTGAATATTGTTAGTTGTCCCGGCAAAATTTCCCCTTTATAATAATCCTTGGATTGTTCGTAATTATAAATCAGATATCAATAAAGTCAACTAATAAGAAACGGAAATTTTGTGTCAATAGACACTTTTTTTATTACATTAAAATATTATATCACTGCAAGTTTTGATAACAGTTATTAAAGAAAGCATTTAAATTTAAACTTGTTAATTTAAAATGATTATATTGTTAAAATTTTTTTTTTAAATTTTGCCTATTCAGGTATGTAGTCGGACGTTGCACGAAATAGTTTATTTTAGTCATTCTTGGCAGCAGCTCAAATTTCATAAAAATCCACGATTTATGCCTATTTCATACCCACTCTCTGGCTCGTAGGAAAAAATAGTCCGACGTTCATAAAATGCAAGATTTTATTCCCGAGATTGGCAAGAGCTAAACTTTTCCATTAGCAAATCAAAGTCTGTGATATTTAGCAGCGTTTGATTTGCGGTTGATTGGCGAGAGCGGCTCGCGCGATTTACGGCTCGTTGCAGTTCTGGGCCGTAATCCTCTCGAGTAATTCAATCAGGATAAAACGTACTGCAGGAGTAGCCGTTGTTGCTGTCCATTGTGTAGCAGGACGTGTTTGTCATTGCGAAAAAGCCGGCAGCGCGAGTTATACAACACGGAGCGCGGTGCAAATTATTCTGGTTTCGTGGACACGTCTAGCGGAAAATTAATTTCCCCATTTTTCCGACACATATATTTCTCAAGGGAGAGCCCAGTCTGATGGTCACTAGCGCCTGACTGGGACGCACGTCCAAGCCGTCCAAGGGATAATTCCCACCGTTGGAAATGAAAACGCCCTCTAACCCTTTTTACCGGGATTACCCCACATTACTCTTGCTAACTGGACCTCAAATCCTTTAATGGAACTTAAAAAAAAATATGTATAATTATATCTTCAGGTTTTCCCCGCCAAAACTTCAAATTCAAATGGGTTTATTAAAACTGCAAAAGCTTTTAATTTATACTGAAAAAACTCATCATGGAAAAGCCGACTTTACATTCAAATTGCTACCCTCTATATTTTTCTGAATTTTCGTATGATCTAAATTTTATTGCATAAATTCTGTCTATAAAAAGTTTATAATTTATGTGAATGTTTTTGTGCGAGCAGTACAAATCATTCCTTTGTGATATTGATGTTAACTTCTGTGCTTGCATATCATCGTATTGCGTTATTCCTTTATTTCATTAGCAAACGCAATCGCAGTTATGCGTACAATACCGTCGTGTGGATAACATTTATGACAACATACTTGACTGACAATATTAATTAGGCTAATTGGGAGCGCAGTTAAAAGCCTCCTCGTTGGGCAAAAAGGAATCACAAACAAAGAGGGAGTTCCTCTCCGCCGCGTATTTGTCCAATGAAAGATTAATTCAATAAGCACGCAGACGCAAACAGAGAGAAACTTACAGTTAGCAACAATCCTTCAGAGATATCGCAAGCAGACAAACTTTTGCCAACGAGATGGTTAATTGTTTATAATCCGCAGCCCCACCGAGAGTGAAAACTTTTCACACCGCAGCTGAGAAAATTTTCAACATCAGATTTTTGGTTATAGACTTTTAACAGAAAAAATTAAATTAATGGATTTTGCCGTCGTCTTTTTGGCATCGGAAAATATTTTTTCGTCACCGCTCCTAATGCAAAAAACGTGTAAATAAATAAAAGCCATCCATTTTATTGACAAAAGCGGCCGTCCGTGACGCGTGAGTTTTTTCCGTTGCTTTTTCGAGCCGGAATCTTTCGGACACAGCTGTTGAAAAAGTTGAAAATGCTGTGAGAGAGCCGAGTCGTCGCGGCCAAAAATAGACTCGCCAGTTGGAAAAAGGCTGCATTTAGATCGTGTGTGAGTGTGCATGCACGGCGCACACGGAGCGTGTGCCAATAAAATTATCCTCCACATCATCACCAAGTCAGATGATGCTCGAAGCGCGTTCGCGCGCAGAAATGATTTTTCACTGAATCACCGCGCGGAATATTTTAGAAATCACTGCACAAACACGCGCGCGCCAACCGCGGTGATGACGGAGCAACTTTTGATTTCCAATCGAGTTTTGATGAAAGCGGAGTTTAAACATTTCTTCGCCATATGCACACAGTCAAGCGGCGAACGTGATTCAGCGCATTTTATATTCAGGGGCAATTTAACAGGGCGGAAAGAACAAGTTTGCGGGCGAAATGTTAAATATGTTCAAACGTGACTTGAAATTATTTAGCGTTGCATAAATTTCTGATAAACATTTCTTAAACCCAATTTCTGATTTCTTCTGTATCAGGGAACTTGAAATTTGTTTTAAAATGAAGAAAGTTTGAGAAAATATTCCTGCCTTAAAAATTTAAACGATGAGAAAAGATGACAATATTGTCATTATTTAATGAGTTGCTCTTTAAAATTTCTTAAATTTTTGAGGAAATATAGAAACTGAAACTGTAACTTAAAATTATATGACAATATAAATTATTTATTCCCTTAAAAGTTATTTAAAAGGTTGAAAGTTGACACATGAATTTTGGGCACTGTGCGCCTATTTTTCTTCCAATTAATTCACTTTTTATCGTACTGACTTGTTTGGAGAAAAATAAATGAATTGATAATTGCATTCCGGTTAGATATATTGAAGTTGTGATCTTAATTAACTCTTAACTAAATTAAATTTTTGTCTAATTTCAATATTTAAATAGATGTATAATTGCAATTTTTCATTTTTAATATCCACATTACCATATTCTTTGAACAAATAATTTTAAGCAAACATCAACGCATCTTGTAGTTAATTTGAATTTACAATAAACCAAATTAGCCATACCAACATAATATATTGTTAAAAAAGATTTTTTTAATAAAATGAGCGTTGGAATTAATTTTTTAAATTCAAATCAAGTATAAACAGATTTATGCAAAATATTTAAATATATTAAAAAATTAACAATAATTTAAATATATATTTAAAAAAATACAGATTTATCTAAAAACAAACCTTATTAATATTGGAAAAAAACTACAAATAATTTCTTTTTTTTGTACATATTTTTGATCTTTCCTTTTTGGTGTAGAATACAGAATACAATTAAAAAATGTTTTGAAAACTTTGCATACAATTTTTTTTTTTTTTTTGGGAATAATCACTGCTCATTAATTTGTTTAGTTTTTGTAAATTAATATCAAAAGAAAAATTAAAAAGAATTCCCAATCAATGTTGGCCTTTTGTCTTTTAACTGAATAGTCGGGCGTGAGTGGCGCGGGTGACAAAAAGCAAAATCGACTTACTTGGTGTCTGCAGGCTGCGTCTCTTCACCGCGACATGGGTGGGCACCTAACACACAGCGTGTCTCGAAAGGGTTCGCTCGGAGAGAGCAAAGCGTTGCTCGGCGAGTGTATTTCCTGTTTCGTACACTAGGCCGCACCGGGCGAGTTTCAATTCCACTCAATGTGTAAATATAAATCCCGCGCTTAAACGTACACGCGTGTAAGTCTCGACTGGCGCTGCCGGGGCGAGCAGTGATAATAGTGGTGCTGCTGCTGCATTGTTATTCCTCAATAACGAAATTTACGTCGGCCGACCGACCAGGGTCGTTGTTTTCCGCAAAAGCGGCGCGCAGTATAATGTACTCGGCGCACAGTGTGCGTGTGACTCGCGTGTTGGTTTATGCGGCCGCGAGCCAGTGGATGAGATGACGATCACGCCGCGCTATTTCTGGCCTTCGCATTCAGCCGTTGCAACAGTTAACCCTTGCTTGCCGACGCGCACTTGGAACCGCCCGCGTGCTTCCGAGAGAAAGAGAGAAATGCTGAAGCGCGGCTGCAAGAGCCCCTAATTTTCCTCGTCTTCCGCTCGCCCTCATTTAATTTCTTCACCAGATGTTTTTTTTTTACTTCTTAATGATCTCATTAAATCTTAAAGAGGCCGAAGAAATGAAGAAAATGCAAATTTTGCAAAATGCATCAATGAGCACAGCACAATTTGCGTAAATCTTGAAATTTATTTCCCACACTTTCCTACCAAATGAAATAATTTGGAATTTCGTGACAGTTATGCTATAACTGTTAGATATGAAATGATTTACACGATACAGAAAGTTTCAGACTATATTTGATTAAAAAATTATGCTTGGAAAACTTAATTTCAATTTGTATAACTATTTTGCAAATTTTCTATGATCAAATTGTTTAAAAGAAATCCGTCATTTTTTTTTTTTACATTTTAAAAATTTTCAAATTTTAAGAATTGCCCCTGGACTGAAAATTTCCCTGTTAAATTTGACAAAGCATTCTTGAACAATCCGTTTGTTCAAGGAATAGAAATGCCCACTCATTTAGTTCAGACAAAACTCGTTGCAAATTGGAACTTGTCTCTCAATGCCTTGTCTTGTTTGTGCACTCAAAAGACTTTAGAACTATATATATAAATTTATACACCATTGAGCTAGTTGATCTTTCAACAACTAACACAAGGCGGCGTCGTGGGCGAATGAGGTCAAAATTACATTATTTGCGAACGGCTCCCTCTTGGACGCAAATACACAACCACATCGCGAAAAGTCTGCCGTCTGCGCCTAAGCAAAGTCTGATTCACTCGAACCGCTCTTAAAGTTAAACACACGTTTCACTTTGAAGAGTCGTTTAATTAGAATTGCAGTTCAAAGCACGATTGCATTGAGTTCACCGGCTTCGCAGAGAAAATTTAATACGGGACGAAAATCAGATTATCAGAGAAAAATCAGCCTTTTGAGCAAAGACTTTTAACCTGTTTATCCATTTTAGCAGCACATTTTTCTCTTAGAGTTGAAAGAACATTAAACGAGTTGCTATATTTTGTGAAGAAAAAACACAGCACCGACCATGAAATTTAATTTAGCTTAATTTTTTCCTGTGTCTCTCTTGCGTGAATATTTAATTCAGTTATTCTCTGCATTTAACTCAGACACATGCAATTAGTGCTTCCGCCTACGCTGGTGAAATAGCAAACTAGTACTTTTTTCCCATACAGAGTGTGGTAGTAAATATTCTGATGAAAACATGAGCACTTATAATTAATATTTACAAGCAAAACAGTAGCAGGGCATCGCCTGAAATTTCCACAATTATGCAGCACGCTTAACATTGGAGCTCAGCGTGTTGCATAGTGTGCAATTTCATCCTCTATTAACCAATAATTTAATTTTTATGCTTACCTTAAACGAAATTAAATTGGAAACTCGGGGGCAAGTGTTGAAAAGTCTTTCAGGGGACGGGGGTGGTGAGGGGGGAAACCGAGCCCCCTCGCGTTGTCACGTGTAATCCGTGCTTCTCATCACTTGTCTGAAAACAAAGAGAGGAAAGAAACTAGGTTAAATATCTCCCTGGCAATTAATTGCGTCCGCGAGCCAAAGGGGTGCGTTCGCTCGTTAACAATTAGAGAAAGAGAGGATGAGGAGTGGAAATTATGGAGATAAAAAATCCAGAACGAGCTGCGCACTTTTGATGGTAACATTATTCAGCATCCTCTGGAAGCTTTTTGACGGGCTTCCCTCGTTCTCTCTGCGATGATTAATTACGCACTTTAAGAAACATGAATCCTTTCAGCTTGCGTAAATTAATTTTTCATTCTGAAAGTTTTTTCCTTCTTAAATTCATAACAACACGCTTTTAATTTGATTCAAATTACTTTTCTTCCTGTTGGAATTTAATAAGCACCAAATGGGAAAAATCTCTTAATTGAAGTGATATTCTGTGCGTATTTAATATTTTCAGACACTGTTACAAATTTATTAAATTTTATTTACCGTAAGAAGATTTCTAAATGGCAGGCAATATCCACTATACGTTAGTTTTGATAATTGTGTTTGTTCTTTTAAAATAGGAAACAAATCCAATTCCAAAAAAGATGAAAAGTAATTAGGGAAAAAATGAAAACTGTAACCAAATGAGAGCAGTTTTCTTAATGAAAGAAGCCAAAAATTGAAATTCCGTGCTATTGCAGCGGTGCGAAATCCACCAAGAGCTCGTTGGGGGAGGCAGCGTGGCCCTTTTGCGAGTTTAATTATAATTAGGCGCTAATTAATCATTGTGAAAATCTCGCTCGCCGCTTCCAGAGCGAGCGTCGGGAAAAAGAGACTCGCAGGCGACTTGTTAGAATGCGAGCTTGTGAGAGATAAATTAAGAACTGATTTAAATTACAAATTTTGAACGGCTGCCAACAAGAGCTCGCTTTTCACGACGCACCGAGCGAAAAAAGATGAAAAATCAAAGGCAGCTAGCCGGTGTGTGAAGAAGAAGAACTGGGTGGGTTGGTCGGTCTACCTACTTAAAAGCCGGCGCACAAATTCAGAAGCGACAAACTCGAACGTCAAAGTTTTCATGCGTGCACTTCACACACACATACACACACCGAGAGTTATCGCACTTTTGTGTCACATTTCTCTAATTAATGGGCGCACCATCACTTTCTAATTATAAGAGGTCAAAACGTCGGCCCGCGACACCTAGCTCCGTCGGCCACCGGAGTTCGAGAAGACTCGGGCCGTCTCCTCCCGTCCCTCGCACCGCCACTTGAACAAAATTCCCCTGGCCCTCCGTCCAAGTTAAACACACACATTCGCCATTCCCTCACTCCCCGCTGTAGGAATTTCTGGCACACAAACACACCGGCATTTCGGGCTATATGCGAAAAGCGGAGGCCCACGTTTGACTCTCGCTTCGCGTCGCCGAATCCGACCTCTCTCTCCCCGAGCCTAGGTCACTGCGAGTGACCTTTCGACTCGGCCAAGATTGCCAAACGCAAGAAGAAGCGATACTCGACTGACTCACTTGCCGCGAAAGATGCACTGTTTTTTTTTTTGTTCTGCGAATGTACGTCGTCTTGGTTGAGAAATTCGCTCCCCAGAATACAAGATGACGTTTTCTCCAAGGACGCAAGAAGTGGCCGCGTGGCGATAATGAAAAATTCCACTCTGCCTGCTTTTTTCTCCTACAGCTCTGTCGCTTTTAATAAAAACAAAGGAAAGAAGACACATGACAGAATGTGCAGTGTCCTCTTGATCCAAAGAAATGTTTCAATTTATATTAATTTATATTATATACTAGTAAAATTATAAGTATTACTCGTGATAATGACTACATTACAATTTATACTAAAATTTTAAATATGTCTAACACAGCAAAACAAGAACAATCTTTTCATTTAAATGATTGAAATTTAAGTAATTAACCTATTAAATCTAGGGCGGTGGTTTTAAAATGACAATTTAAATATAAATTGAGATTAAAGTACGCTTAGTCCTTGATGTTGTTTTTTCAATTAATTATTTTTATTATTTCTTGATCTAAATTATTGGTTGTATATATACAAAATTTATATCATACACTTATTAACTTATTGATTTGTGTAACGAAGCTAATTTTAAATATATTTAAAATTCATGACTTGCACAGTTTAAAAAAAAATATGAAAACAAAAGAAGATAATTTTAATGGAATTTTAATTTCTTTTCTAGCATAAACATTTATAAAACGCTAAAAAAATTAATTAACACTGACAGATTAATAATATTTAAATTTTATCAAAGAGGGCAACCTTCTACATTATTAAAATCATTGAAGTAATTAAGTATTGATATTTGTCTTCCAATTTGTTTCTCATGTCCGTGACCTTTTTACGACAGTTTTAGAGCAGCGTGTACTTAGGTTATTTTTCAAAGTGCCATCTTTTGCAGCTGAGCCCAAGATGTTGCAACACAAAGAGCTGTCAAGAGCACAACACCTCCTTAGACAGAGTGCATAGTGTAGAACACGCGATTGTCCCAATTCGGCCTGCTCATGATTTATGCCATCGCGGCGGGCGCGCATTAAAGTGATGGATCGCAATACCGCGTCTGCTGACTTGGGGCAACACAAGCAGCAGCAATCAATCTAATAGTTTGCTAACTTAATCCCCATCAGCAGAGTGAGAGCTCCCAGTTGGTTTCGTTCGCGTATCATATTCGCGCCCGCAAAATATGGCCCTAAATGCGTTCTTCTACGAACTCTCACCCATTCTGCACCTTTACAACGCCGTCGGTGGTTTACGATTCCATGAGGAGTACGACAAAGAGGCAAGGACGTACAAAGTGAGGACCAAAATTTTTGCATGGTCAACCTTGTATTCGTTTGCGGCTCTCTGTCTCCAATACTACTTCGTCATAAAAATCGCCATCAAATGCAGCGATGTTTGATAATTTTTCTAGTAAATATTTATCTTAAATGCTTTTTTTTTATGGATTTAGAACTTTGTTCGTATGGACGAGGGAAACAAACTGAATGGAATCGTATTCAGTTTCAACATTTTTGCTCCAATGGTACTGCCAATTGTTGTTTTGCTGCAAAACAGGAGAGTGTCCCATCAGATGGAATTTTGGTTTCAACTTCAGGTTTCAAATTTTTTAGCTTTGTATTCAAATGGAGTATTTTTGAATGATTAATTTCAGAGGAAAGTCAAAGCACTGTCCGTAAGGGGAGTAGATTTTAACCTGGGAATTCGAAACTGGTGCCGAGGAGCAATGTTTTGCACTGTTTTGTTGGGCCTCATGATGGCACTCAGCAACACTTTGTTAAGCGGCCAGCTACCTGAAGCGTTAGATGTGATTCAAGCTTTGGGTGGTTTCTACGGTTGCATGATGTTTTCAGTTTATTACGCCACTTCCAAAGCCTCATGGAGAGTCTCCCACAGGGTTCTCGAGGACTACAAAGTACTTTCTCATAAGTAAAAAATATCTCTATCAATGATTTTGTTTGAGAGCAGGAACTGCTTGTTTTGAACTTGAAGGGGAAAAGCACGGAAAAATTAGACCACGTAGTTCTGGCTTTTAGAGAAGTTTGGCTTGATATGAATATTATCTTAAAAATATCTGGTAACAATTCAAACTTAAAATAATAAAAAATAAAATTTTTTAAAACAGAATTTTAATACATCATTTTAAAAATAATAAGAAAATTATTAATTTTAAAGGTTCAAGCTCCTCTCTTGGATTGGCATCATCCATCTTAGTAAACTTTGAAATAGCCCTCTACCTGAGTTACATGCTTCTCAGAACCATCAGAACATTACATTGGGGTGTGATTGCATCACTTGTGGGTGTTATATTTATTTGTATTTTCACGGTTTCGGAAATTTGCTCAGCCAGTCATCAGCTTTCATGTAAAGTAAGCGAAAAGAAGCAATCAATTTGAATTTATATATGTGTTGAATAATTTTTAAAATTCATTGTTAGATTGAAAAACGCGACCCTTTTTAGGGCCGGTAAAAAATTTAAATTTATTTTTCTTTAGCAAAATATTATTCTTGTAATGTTTTATTATTCTTGGCAGGTAAAGACAGATTTTGTCGAGGCAATTGGCGTGACGAAGAAATTGAGGGCAAGCCAATCAACGGTGCGCATGGTGAGAGGGCGCGTGCAATATTTATGCATTCATCTACTTTATCTCGGTGTTGTTTGCAGATCAATAAGTTTCTGTTGCACTTGATTGAAATTTCTCCGCCACTTAACCTAGATGGCTATATGAAGATAGACCGGAGTTTGATGACAACAGTGAGTAAACCCGTATTTGTATCTCTTGCAAGTAAATTGTTAAGCAATTGTGTTTATTCGTTCCAGTTAACGTCGACTGGAATCGCGATCACCATTGTCTTGATGCAGTTGCAAATGGGAAACAAAACCATCACAGGAATCAACGACTTATTAGCACTCAGAGGGGTTTTGTTCCCTTAATTAAACGATCGGCAAAATAAAAATCAATGCGCAATCTTGTATAGAATAAAAACTGAGAAAAGCATCTTAATTTGTATCCACTTTCAATCACAAAAATAATATCTACACCAACCTGCATTAAAAATTGCTATTTTCAAGTAAAGTGTCACCAGGGGCTCTATTAATTTTTTTTTAATAAAATTTCTAGACCTGAATTAAAGGGTATTGGCAGAACTGGGCAGAACCTTCTCAATATCAATAAGATTTTATACAGTGCAATTGGAGTAGAAAAAATACACAGTGCATCAAAATAAAAATAGCTTCTCCACAATAACTTTATTTTCTACGTTGTCGCAACATCCCTCATATGAAATCAATCAAACTGTGGCACTAATCAATATAATGTGAGGAAACTGCCTTTGGGTAGTTGCAAAAGAGAAGTTGGCCTACAGAGCACGCTATTTTAGCACCCCCGTATCGCATTTTCGCATCAGGATATCCTTCACGTGAATATGATTGTTTGTTCTTACTTCCGCGAGCTTCAACCCTTATTTTTCACATACTCATTGTTGGGAGGGATTTGTCTCTATGAGCAATGGAACGCAGACCCCAAAAAGTACAGAGTGAAAATTATGTTTTGGTCATGGTGGACTGTCTACAGCGTGTGTTTCAACTTGACTGTTCAGGGAATGGTCTTAGTTTTGGTTGGGAAATTTTTCCACGTAAGTTTTCAAATTAATTTATAAAAAATTGAACTACAAAATTTTAAAATTACAGAATCTTCATAAAATAGAAGATGAAATGAAACTATTTGCCTTATCTTTAATTTTCAATACTTTGGCACCAATGCTTGTCCCTATATTTTTGGGAATCCAGCTTCCCAGAATGATGAAGCTTGTTTGCATGTGGTACCAAGTTGAGGTATGATACATTTTAAAACCTTTTTTATTGATGCAAACCGCAGATGCTTCCTTTTTTCAATGTCCCGAAGATGAAACTTCTCAGAGTTTCATTCAATAAATCTCCGCTGGATTTGGGAATGCGCCAAAGGTGCATTTGGGCATCAATTTATTCAATACTTTTGGGACTCACTTGCATGATGGTTGGCCCAGTATTATCTGGGACGCCATTCGGATTCTTTGACATTGTATTCGGCTTAGGAATTACGTACAGTTCAATGCTGTACAGTTCTTACTACATCTCCTGCAATTCTCATGCGGCGCTCTCGACAAGAATTCTAAACGACTTTAAAGTGCGTCAAAATTTATGTTTTATTTTTCACTTATTGTGATGATTCAATATTTTAGTTAATAATGAAAATATATGCAAATGGGACACATGATGACAAACTTGGAAACGCTGTTCTTGCTTTTCAAGACATTTGGCTTCAGCTCAATATTGTATTACAATACGCAGGCAAGAGGGAAATTTATTTTTTAATAATTAAAAAAAAAATAATAATAATAATAATATGTATTTCGATCAGGGCCTTGCATATCCTTGGCTTTGATATGGCAAATTGCCATAAGCTTTGGAATTTCAATTCTAGTTGGCTATTCGATATTAATGTCCTTTAAGGCGATGGAAGTTTATACAATAATTTTTTTCATGGCATATGTGCTCTTTTCAATGATCGGAATCGTCGCAATTTGCACGGCAAGCCACAATGTTCTCTGCAATGTAAATGAGGATTAGATTATTTTAAGATTTTCTTAATGTTATCTTTTGTTTACTCATTGTAAGATTAGGAATGACCTTATAGAGGCGATAAAATTAACTCAGCAGCACAAGACAAAAGAAAATCACATGCAAATGGTCTAATGAAGCTTCTGCATTCAAGATAAATTATTCAACAGAATTTATTTATAGATCAATGGATTTCTCGTCTTTTTGGTGAACATAATACCTGCTCTTAATATTGATGGATACATGAAAACTGACCGGAGTTTACTGATCAATGTATGTAAAACTAAAGAAATTCCTAGCTTGATTTTAAAATCCAACTTTTTCAGCTAATAAGTGCCTACATTACCTTAATTGTCCTTTTGGCTCAGCTGGAAGTACCAAATAATTCGGCTATTATAGGAATAAATGAGTTTTTCTCATTTCAAAATATTTTATTGGGGAATAATATATCAAAAATTGATTAATTTATATGAGTTGTTATTTGATCTATGTAATAAATTTAAATTAATCATATTATATTTGTAATTTTGTGAGTGCCGCGTTCAATTTATAATATATATGATTGAAATCAATAACATCGAAAATGAATATTTTACTGTAGCAATAACACACTCAACGTCGCAAAGCTCTCAAACCTGACCTCACTCTGAAAAAAAATGAAGCCAAAACAAAGTCTATACTCAAAAGAAATGCGTCCACTTTTATTCATTCAAAGCAGCATTTGTGGTATTTTCTATGAAGTTCAAAATAAGAGTCATAGGCAAGTGGCGTCATTCCAATTTTTCGGCCGCCAATTTGCAATTTTTGCGGTTTTCCGATTCATTGACTGCGTTTTACTAACTATGCTTTGTACCAAAATATCAAAGGTATTCTGTTCTAAGAGTTAAATTTATTTTCAATATTAAATTTCACAATTTTAGTTTACCTCATTTGGAATACAATTAGAACTTCAAGATTTTCTTTACATAACAGGATGTTTTGTAAATCAGATTTCTACGTTTTTGTGTGGTCTTCAATCCCCTATGCAAGCAGAAGTTTTCAATTTGTGGATGATATTTGAGGTAAAATATTCTCGAGTGCGCTGATAATTCAAAACTCTTTAAAACTTAATTCTACAAATAACTAGCAAAACTTGAGGCAAATAAAATCAGTACATACCAACATAAAACTTGGAGTTGCAAATTGGGTGAAGAAGAGTTTCATTTGCGCTTCAATGTTTGGTCTCTCCAACGCTTTAATGATTTTCTCAACTGGAGTTACCCCTAATGTTGACAATTATTTGCAATTTTTTGGCTCATTATCTTTTGGCTTCCGATTTGCTGTTTGGCTATCTTCCTGTAAAATGATTAAGTCCGCAAGAGACTTGCTGGTTTTAGAATTAAAGGTATACAACATTTATTTTAATCAATTAAATCATTAAAAAGTACCCATGACTTTTCTAGAAATTAGAATTGGGAAAAACCACTGTTCCAACAAAGAAAATTGTTGCTGATTTAGAGTTGAAAAAGATTTGTGTGGCATATTTAGATTTGATAAACATTGCGCAAAAGTTTTGTATGCTCTTACTATAAGAAATTAACTCTGACGCCCTGTATTTTAATTTATTCTTTTTAAAGCTGACAGTCTCTCACTAGGTGTTGGATTTACTATAATAACCGCTTACTGGGTTGCCCTGTGGTTTGGATATACGGCGATTTTACAAATTATGACCCAAAGCTATGCAATTGCAGCATCTTTTTTATTTGTTGGAGTTATGAGCTCGGCACAAATAATTATTTTTTGCCAATCATCTTTTTCCGTCCACAATCAGGTGAATTTAATGAGAATAACTAAATCTCAAGCTGATGGAAATTTCAGGCTTTATGCAAAAATCTTAATGACAAATATTTTTCTTTTTTTTCTCGTTCTATTTAAAAAAAAAATTGTACGAATATAATGCTTTTTAAACAGCTTGTGAGCGGCGCCCATATATCTTTGGAGGCTATAAGGAACGTTCCATGTTCAGATGGCACAAAAACTTCAGTAAAACTACCAAAAAGGAAATAATTTGGTAATAACGTTTTTTTCTTGCAGACAAGTAAATTCTTTACTCATTTGATGAATCAAATGCCACCATTGAGCCTCAGCAGTTTTGTTCCATTAAACAGGGAGTTTCTGGCTATAGTATAATATTTCTAGATGAAAGCATTCATAATTATCGAAATTATATTCTAGATTCATATGTCATTGGCAGGAAATTTGTTTCTTTTAACGCAATTGAAGATTAATTTTGGAGATGATCTAAATAATGATCCAGGAAAGCTGTTTAGCTATGGTGAAAAATTCAGTATGTGAGAATATTAAATTATGATCTATATAAATGCGGAGGTTTTAAATGCTGTGTACCATTTTGAAATAATATGTTATTCCAATTAATCCAGCTATGCATTAAGAATTGAAATTAGTTTTGACGCTTGAAGAATAAATGTTGCTGATTAAAATTATTCAAGAGTTTAATTTATGCTGAGCCTTTGAAAAATAATTCGAACGTTGCCTTCAAGATTCAAGACTTACAAAAATAATTTTGTAAGTGTTTATAGATCAATAAGGAGTTAAGCTTCACGTTTCACTGAGGCATTTAGATATGCAAAGTTCACAATTATTACCAAAATGAAGTCAAAACTAACTTTACATAAAAAAGAAATGTATCCGTTTTTAATGATTAATGATACAAAACTGCATTTTTTGTATTTGCTATGACGTCGCAAATTAAGAGTGGAAAACAAATGGCTTCAATCAAATTATTTGGTCACCAGTCTGCACTCTTTGTGGTTTGCTGGTTCATCCAATATGAGTTAAAGGAACGGCCTTAGTTTTGGTTGGGAAATTTTTCCAAGCAAATTTTCAAATAGATACATATGGAAATACCAAATAACTCAGCTATTTAAAGGAATAAACGAGTTTTTATCGTTTAAAATATTTTATTGGGAGATAATATATCAAAAATTGATTAATTTTTATGAGTTTTGTTTCTTGATCTAATAAATTTAAGTAGAGTATATTAGACTTGTAATTTTGTGAGTGCCGTTCAATTTGTAATATATATGAATGGAATCAATAACATATCGCAAATTAATATTTTACTGTTGCAATAACACACTCAACGTCTCAAAGCTACCATACCCGACCACCACTGAAAAAAATGAAGAAGCAAAAACAAAGTTTATACGCAAAAGAAATGCGTCCACTTTTATTCATTCAAAGCAGCATTTGTGGTATTTTCTACGAAGTACAAAATAAGAGTCATAGGCATGTGGCGTCATTCCAAGTTTTCGGCCATCAATTTGCGATCTTTGTGGTTTCCCGATTCATTGACTGCGTTTTACTAACTATGTTTTGTACCAAAATATCAAAGGTAATCTGTTCTAAGAGTTCAAGATTTTTTCAATATTAAATTTCGCAATTTCAGTTCACCTCATTCGGCATACAATTAGAACTTCAAGATTTTCTTTATATAACAGGATGCTTTATAAATCAGATCTCTACGTTTTTGTGTGGTCTTCAATCCCCTATGCAAGCAGAAGTTTTCAATTTGTGGATGATATTTGAGGTAAAATATTTCTGAGTGTGCTGTTAATTCTGAACTCTTTTAAATTGAGTTCTATAAATTATTAGCAAAACTTGAGGCAAATAAAAACAGTGCACACAAACGTGAAACTTGGAGTTGCAAATTGGGTGAAGAAGAGTTTCATATGCGCTTCAATATTTGGTCTCACCAACGCTTTAATGATTTTATCAACTGGAGCTACCCCTAATGTTGACAATTGTTTGCACTTTTTTGGCTCATTGTCTTTTGGCTTCCGATTTGCTGTTTGGCTATCTTCCTGTAAAATGATTAAGTCCGCAAGAGACTTGCTGGTTTTAGAATTAAAGGTATACCAACAGTTATTTTAATCAATTAAACTATCAAAAGTAACCATGACTTATTTCTAGAAATTAGAATTGGGAAAAACCACTGTTCCAACAAAGAAAATTGTTGATTTAGAGTTGAAAAAGATTTGTGTGGCATATTTGGAATTGATAAAAATTGCGCAAACGTTTTGTATGCTCTTACTATAAGAAATTGACTCTTCGTGTATTTTAATTTAATCACTTTCAAGCTAACAGTCTCTCATTAAGTGTTGGATTTACTATGATAACCGCTTACTGGGTTGCCCTGTGGCTTGGATATACGGCGATTTTACAAATTATCACCCAAAGCTATGCAATTGCGGCTTCTTATTTATTTGTTGTAGTTATGAGCTTGGCGGAAATAATTATTTTTTGCCAATCATCTTTTTCCGTCCACAATCAGGTGAATTTAATGAGTATAACTAAATCTTTTCTAATGGAAATTTCAGGAAAGGCTATATGCAAAAATCTGAATGACAAATAAATATTTCCTTTTTATCTTTTACTATTTTAAACATATATCGTATGAGTATAGTGATTTTTTAACAGCTTGTGAGCGGCGCTCAAAAATCTTTGGAGGTTTTAAAGAACGTTCCATGTTCAGATGCCACAAAAACTTCAGTAAAAATACCAAAAAGGAAATAATTTTGTAATAACTTTTTTTCTTGCAGACAAGTAAATTCTTTACTCATTTGATGAATCAAATGCCACCATTGAGCCTCAGCAGTTTTGTTCCATTAAACAGGGAGTTTCTGGCTACAGTATAATATTTTTAGACGAAAGCATTCTTAAATCACGAAATTATATTTTAGGTTCATATGTCATTGGCAGGAAATTTGTTTGTTTTGACGCAATTGAAGATAAATCTCGGAGATGATCTAAATAATGATCCAGGAAAGCTGTTTAGCTATGGTGAAAAATTCAGTAAGTGAGAACAGTAGGTACATTACGATGTATTGAAGTGCGAACTGTTTTAAGTGCTGTGTTCCGTCTTGAAATAATAAGTGTAGTTACAAATTTTTCTGGAAAAATCATTTTTGAAATATCCTGCTGATTTCAATTCCAGCGAAAATTTTCATTTTGGAAAAAAAATTCTTTATACGCTTTTGATGAATCAGTTGACACCTTTGAGTCTCAGCAGTTTCGCTCCATTAAACAGAGAGTTTCTGGCCACGGTATTTTCTATTTGAAGAGAAGAAAAAGTAAACAATAATTTAAATTCTCCCTCTTAGATTCTTACGTCAATGGTAGGAGATTTGTTTCTTTTGACGCAACTAACAATAATTGATAAACTATATAAACAATGATCCCGGGAAGATTTTCACCCACGGCAACAAATTCAAAATAATTATTCATGGTAAAAAAGTAGTTGACTTTTCATTTTGCTTTATCTCACATGGTGAAATCGCGCAACGGTGTCTATAACAGCAAGTTATTAAATTTGAGTGGTGACCAATTTAAAAATCGATGTGCATTTAATCTGTGTGATATACCTGCTTTTTGGCGTGCGAGGCAAAAGTGTGACAAATGGCCCGGAGGGATCGCACGGGTCGTATAAACAAACCGCTAACAAAGGGAAAAGCGGCCGTGTAATGGAGAAAGACAAGCGCAAGAAGATTGGAGTGGCCGATACAAAGTGCGTTGGCTCCACTTTGTCAGCTCGACCGGACGGCGAACCATTCATTTCACCGCCACTACTTTTCCCCATTTTCTCACCTCTCTGACTGAGCCGTGAAAAATCGCACTGTCCGATCGATACGGGCCACTAGAGACGGCAAACGAAAATCAGACGCGACCATGGTCAGCAACACTTACTGGAAGGAAGTGTCACCGATCCTCAATCTGTACTACTTGGTCGGCGGGCCGAGACTTGTTGAGGATTACGACCCGACGACGAACAGGTACAGCGTGAGGATCAAGTGGTTATCCTGGAGCACCCTGTACACCGTCGTCGTCTGTTGTTTGCAATACACGCTTGTGGCTCTAGTGGCGAAAAGGGCCGTACAAGTAAAGGAGTTTTTTCTGCAGGTGTTAACAAATTATTTAATAATAAAAACCTTGTTTGAAAAAATAGTCTTTTGAAACAATGGACGAGAGTAAGAAGCTGCAGGCGTTGATCTTGACCTTTGCCATTTTTGGACCGTTTCTTGTTCCAACTCTAATGGCTGTTCAACAAAACAATATCTGCAGAGTTTTTGCCACCTGGTTTCAATTTGAGGTGAATACATAATAAATTAATTTTTTTTTTAATAAAAAATTATACGAAACATATTATAATTTTAATACTCATATTTTTGTTAGTAATTTAACAAACTACAAATTAAAGTAATTTTCAAATGGTAGCAAAAGTTTTTAATTTTTGTTTACCACATTAAGTTTTTTTTTTAGATAATGTAATTTCAAATATGAAAAATATGAAGCCTAAATTAATTATGTATTGTTCTTTAGCAAACAATAAATTCGGCTAAACTGACTCACTCCGACGCTTTGGAATTGGGTATTCACAAATGGACAAAATTTGCAATGATCTACACGATACTTCTGGGCACCGGCACCGCGGTTGGCTTCCCACTGATATTGGGCAACGTGCCAGACGAGGTCGACTTCCTTATGGCCCTCGGCTTCTTTTATTGTTCCATGTTGTACTGCGTGTTTTACGCGTATTGCAAGGCAGTTTGCTCGTCGTCTGACCGCGTATTGATGGAGCTCAAGGTCAGAATTTAAAGCCAAAATAATTTGAAATTGTTGTGTAATAATTAAAAATAGGCCCACGTTCAAGCCGACTCCAATGAAAATTCAATTTTATGTTTCCGGAAAATTTGGCTTGAATTGATCAAGGTAATGAAAGAAACAGGTGAGTGATTTCAGTTTTTCATGGATTTATATCCTTCAATATCCCTACTTAATCAAACGGCTCTCGTTTAACTTCCTGATCTCGGCCCACAAAAAGCCCCTGAAGTCACAATTTTATTGTTGTGTTGCATTTGATTAATTGTAAGCAGTCCGAACATCATTTTCTGGGTGAAAATTAGGCGCTCGTATCGGCTCAATCGGCAATTGAAATGAAAATCAGCGTTGGACTTTCTCTGCACTCGCTCAATTTTGAACCAGAGAAACGCAGTCTTGAAAGCCTGGGCAGGCAGAAGCGCAAGAGGGGCCACGTATGTCTGGCGCGCGTTTAAATAAAATTAGATTCGCGGTTTTACCCTACCTTGGTGCCGAGGCGGTAGTTCCTGGTCCATTGGGGTCCTCGGCAGGTCGGCCATGTCCTCCGTCGGCTCAAATTCGACGAGATACGTGCCGCCGAGGCACCGCGAAGCGACTTTAATTTTGTTTTTGTTTACCATCTTCTATTTACAATTTCTCAATTGCACAAACTCTCCCTCCCCCTCCATCCTGCTGGCGGCGGCGGCTGCTGCTTGGTGCTGGAACGCACAAAGACCAGAGCGAACAAGTCAGGGCACGAATGAGACGTGTCGCGAGAGGCAGGCAGAAAAATAGAAAAGACGCCGCACCGATTTTAAAAATAATTGCGTGTAATGCGTGTTAACGCGTTCAAAAATAATCTTCATAATAGCAGCATTAATGAAATGCTTTATTTATTATTTCTTTTTTTTTTTAAACAAATATATTTTGGAGCTGAGTCATAAAGCATTGTGTGGAATTTTTTCAAATGATATATTTCTTTACGATAAGGAACATTTTTGAAAATAAAAACTTTAATTGAAAAATGTAAATGTTAAATAATTATCTTTCTTTGTTGTCGTTTATAAGAATTTTCTATATTTTCCTTTACAGGACTCTAAAGTCCAATTTTGATTTATTACTGACGAATTAATTTTTTGAAATTGTTTAATATGGTCATTCGTTTGGAAATTTAATTTGGAAACCGATAAATGATAAATATGACAACGTTTTTTGAAAAGTGCCGACGATTGACCACAACAACCGTTTGGAGCAGCAATTGCATACATTTTTTTACTTGTTAAAGGCTATTTATCTTTTTCTTTTGTTTACAATTCGGATCTCTCGTAAAAATTAAATTAGCAATTGAATGACAATGTTGAAAAAATCATCGAAAAATTATTTCGTCCATAATAAATTAAATTTTGACTTCCTGTGAAGGTAAATAAAGAACAAAACAAAAAAGGGATACATTTTTTTACGTGTTTTTATTTAAAAAAAAATGTTCATTAATGAGAGTTTGCTGTGCCACCCCCTAATAAACCAAATTTAATCCTTTTGAAAAGTGACCCAGCAAGGATTTTGCAGGGAGCAGCATTTACCTCTCCATATGCAGCACGCTAATTACGGACTTTTGCGTGGCTCTCTTCATGGGCTACATGGTGGTCACGACCATTTCTAAAGTTCAAATTGACGGCCTTGTGGTTTTGATTGCCACCGTGGTGATCTGCTGGCTTGGTATTGTTGTTATCTGCTGTTCGGCTCAGGACATGGAGCAAAAGGTATAGTTATTTATCAAGCTAAGTAAGTATCAAATATTTAGCATAAAAAATTTCATAAAATTTTTTTATAGTTAAAGTGGGACATTGGACTGGCATTAAAAACACTTGAGAATTCTAAAATGAGCAAAAGTTCAATTTATCTTGTAAGAAAAATCATCTTAATCTATGATTTTTTTTTTTAATTGAAAATGTTGAAAGATGAATTATTTTCTGACGCACGTTTTACGGAATTTCAAAGAAGTCAACTTTGGTGGATATATACGCGTGGGAAAAGGACTACTCTCTACGGTAACGAGTTCAAAATATAAAATAATTATTTTTTTTAATATTTGTTTTTTATTTACATAAAATAATAGTTATCCTACAATTACCTAGCAAACTTGGTGGTCATAGTGCAACTGCACTTGAGAAGCTCGGTCATTGAAAATGCTAGGGATTTATATGACTTACGCTCCGCATTATTTCAAAGGGAGTGAAGAGGATCAGCTTTCTCTGATCAACAACAAACAATGTAAAAACATATAAAAATACTCTTAAAAATCTTATCAACAAAGATTATTTTAAATTTTAATCGCATATTTATATTTATTATCATTTTGGTAGAAAAAAATTTCATACCGTGAAGATAGAAGCAAAAATAAATGTTTTAGGTGTACAGAATATTTGTGTAATTATAATAAAATTATATCAAATTTTTTGATTTTTTGACGTGGTGATTATTTTATCAATGTTTGACAATAGAATGAAAAGCAATGAAAATTTGACTGGTAAATTTTTCTGAGATTGTAAACATAATTCGTACAGATAATACGTTTATGCGCATATCAATGGTATGTATCGCGCGTGGCATTAGCAGCAGCAGCGCAGCATGCCTTGCACGTATGGCGGCATGGCTCTGCCCTCTAGCAGTCGTTACACGATACTAATACCGGTAACTCGTCGCTTGTCTACCAACAGGTCCTGTGGCGCAACGGATAACGCGTCTGACTACGGATCAGAAGATTGCAGGTTCGAATCCTGCCAGGATCGCAAACTTTTTAATTTTTTTTTAAACACCTGATACATCAAATCAACTTTTTCTTGGTACTTCAAAAAATTATATATTTCCCAAAATTTTTAATTAAAATAATTTTAGTACAGATAACAGATATTTAAATTATTACATACATTGAGTTTTTATTAAGTTTCCACGCATGCTTCATTGTTTTAAAGAGTAGTTTATTTAAAGCTTTTTCGTTACATAAAAAAAAAAAAATAAATAAAAGTAGAATCATGAACGCTTTTGCTTTTAAGGAAAAATGTGCGTTCCAAACACTGGAGACATAGGGGAACCTTTCAGCACACTCGTTTAAACACTTTCAGTCAGAGAGGCAGCTTGAGATGAAAAATGAACCGCGTCGTCGAGATAAATGACTCTGCGGAGATCGTGGTTTTATTATTTTCAGATATATCATGGCAAGCTGGTAATGTGCGTAATGTACGTGTGGGGAACTGGAGAAGCCACCGTGGCGTGTGCGGCCCTTTATGCTCTCCATAAATTTAATTTAATGGTTTTTTTTTAATTATACAATATTATATCCTCATTTTAGCCAGAAAACTTTACTGAACTCATTATCCTCATCCTCAGACTGGAAAGGTCTGCGATTTAAGAAACATTTAATTGGAAAAAAAATCATTAAAAAAAATGATTTTTAATTAATTTTTATTATTTTAAATAATAGTCAAAGGTTTTTAGTAAGGTTATAAATGATTTATGTGTTAAATAATGCAATAAAAATTTTAGCATAAAAAACTTAAAATATTGCAACTAATTTGCAAATCAATTAAATTTAAGAAAAATTAACATATTAGTGTAAAATCTAAGGTAGTTCGTTGACGATTGTATCCAGGGCATCAAAAGCGTCTTGACTGCTGACATCGACCACAAGCTTTTGGATCAAAGTTGCATTTTCTTGATAGTCAACTATGGTTGCAATCACGTTTTGGTGAAACAAAACCTTGTCCACGCTTTCTCAAGCAGATCGATGTAGCAACGAGGAATAATTTTGAAATGCTCATCATCTTTTGTTGATATTATGCGTGATTGGTAAAAATGAGCCAGCTTATTCATATGAAAATTATTAATCGCGTTGGAGAGATAGTAGCATTAATCTTTATCTGCACTGACTGACGTCAAATCCACCAAAAATACAAATTGTTATTTTGCGCACGGCTTATTCATTCAGAGACGGCATACTTTTCTAAAAATCGTGCGTGCTCCAATCATAATCTTATTCAATCTTATTGTTAGCATTTCACCGTATAAAAAATCAACACTAAGAGCTCTATATCGTTACATTTTTTATATTGTAATGAAAAGAACTAAAAAAAGATGAAATATGTTAATCTTCCTTGCCGATTTATGCATGAGCAAAAATTGTATGAAGCGAATCATCTGAAATTTAAGTCTGTAGGGAAGCGAAAGAATATAATAATGGCAATTACAAAACACCATTTTACAACTTAATTTTTTTTTTCAAATAATTGTAATTAATTTTATGCTTTTATATCTATCTGCTCCATTTTATTGAGATTTTTTAAGCTGATATTTTAAAATTTAGAAGAAGCTGAATCACAATTTTTTTTCATATAATATTTTCAAGATTTATAAATATTAATTTATGTTTGAAGAAAGTGCTCTGAATAATTGAAAAAATCTATAAATCCATTTTATAAATATAAGAAAAGAATAACTCAGTTGTCAGTACAAACACAGATTCAAATTGACTTGATAATATTAAATTATAAAAACAAATTATAATAATTTAGCATTGAAATTGTATTTTGATTTTACATCTTATTTGATTGTTGCTGCTAGATAAATTTTTGCAGTGGGAGCAGAAATGAAGTCGAACAATTGATTCTGCAGTTTTTTTTTTATATCTCTACTCGCGATTGAGAATTTACGATGGGCCGAGGCAATGTGGGTTGCGTATGGAATTATCGTCGAGAAGTGTATTTCATTTTCCGTCTGGCAGACGTCATGAATCATCTATAAATAAAAAAAAACTGCTACTACCACCAAGTCTGTCGGGATGATGGATTTCGTTTGTTGCACTTGAAGACCCACCCGCGGCGCGTATCAAAAATATAATGTGCCTCTGCGGCTCTCCAGTGGCTCCCGCAGTGGCCGCTGCTTTTTGTGACCAGATCCGTCTTGCCCGCCCCAGGCGTTATTAAGTCGCCAGTAATAAATTCGAGGGAGATTGCGAAAAATAATCGCGATGGCTCCGCCGGAGTTAAAACGTCAAATCGAGAGCTCCACCATTGCAATCCGTGTATTTATTAAATTCCATGCTCTGTCAACGGCTTGAGCGAAAAATGAAAAATCACGCTTCACATCAAATATGGCGCGGAATTCACTGCCATGGAATGTGCACGAGTTTTATTGGCGAGCGCAGGTTGTAAATAAAAATTAGCCGTGCTATGCGCGTCACAATTTATTGCCCACTTGAACTTTCACATCCCAACGTGGTGCAAAAACAAATAATTATTTATTTTTTGTAGTGCCCTTGAAATTTATACTGCACAAAAGGGGGCTCGTAAATGTAAGGGCACTGCAAAAATCATAATTTAATTGAACTGAAAAATTTCTTTCAATAAAAAACTCATGAATTTCATTAGTTTCAAATTACTATTTTTGGAAAATACAAATAGGAGATGAATGAGATTATATGCCAAAATCAATTTTGAAATTCTATTAACAATATCATAAACTTCATATGCTAAAATTTTCTAGGCCCATATTATCACTTTAAGCATAAACGTTTTTTTAAATTTTTTTACTGTTAAATTCTTTACGAGTTTTAAAAAATAGAGAGCAAATGTATTCTCCTCATTCCAACATTTTCATAATTTTAACGTTCCGTTAGGCAACCATCTTGCCTTCAACGAAAAGCAGGTCGTCTATAGTCAAGGTTGAAATTGATTTTTACGATTTTAATTTCCTTCAAATCGTGCTGTTCGGGCGATATAGGCAAATTAATTCAAATGCCCGCTCACGCACGCGAAGCTGCGAAAAGGGCGTTGCAGTAAAGCAGAGAGTTTGGAGGAGGCGCTTAAGTGGCACTTACACCGGGTTTTAGCACTTCATTAAGCAAAATTTGTGCACGGCCGTTTAAGGTAATTGGGCATAGTAAAATTTTATCTCCAGTCGAGAGTGTGCATCTTGAGAGTCTATATTTCTGATTCAGAGGAATCTGGAGAATCGCATAGCTTTAGCATTGCCTAATGACCTGCGGCAATTCACTGCTTGAGTTTCAATTTAGAATTTCGAGCCTGGTTTTATTATTAACTAGGGAATCAGTATTCTTTTGGCATTATAGAGATAATTTCTAACAAAAAGTATGCAAATGTTAAAATCGAACATTGAAAAGAAAACTTACAAGTGCATTAATCCAAAAATAATTAAATTAATCTTAAATCTTACAAATTTTAATATAAATTAAAAATACATTCCAATTAACTTTCATGAAAATTACGGTCTTGCATTTGGTGTGCAGTGGTTTGTAATACACAATAATTTTAATTGATTGAGACGTACAAGGACTATGTACAAGTTGGGAAACAATAATTTGTAACTAGATATTGGCAATGTTCCCTATAAGAGCCAGGATCAGATTGAAAGGTAAAAGAAGAGATTAAAGCGGTTTGATTTCTTTTTAATGCCAGGGCTAAAGTTGATTTTCCCTCGGCAGAAAGTAATCAGTCCTTTTATGACCGACTTTCAGACTTAAAGTATCCAACTCTGGATGAAGATAAATCGCAGATTGCGACAGATGCTGGCGTCTTTATCTTTGTGAGCTTCAAATGACGTCTGGGTGACAATAGCCGGCCGTTTGCTCAAAGTTGACTTCCAGATAAAAGTCGGAGGGCAGGAGGGTGGTGAAATTGGCCACGAACAACCCCTCGCTCCTGTCGAACGCGATGCACGAGTAGTAATTTTGCAGCTGCTGCAGAATCGCGCAAGATCAAGTTAGCAACTCCAATAAGAATGTTGGTTTTGCCACAAACCTCATCGTCCTCTGTGAATATGTACATGTTAAACCTGCCCTTAAAAGAGTCACCGTTGGTGATGACGCGCAGGATGTTGCGGTACTCGAACAGCGTCTCGTTGCGCGGGTCCATGCATTTGTACACATATGCTGATATTCGGGCATCTTGATGTGAGTGTTGACCTTTGATCACGCACATATCATGCCGACGGAACTAGAATTAATTTAAATTTGGAAATAAAAATATTCACGGAATAACTAAAAATTAGTGGCAAATAATAAAAACTTTAAAGCAGTTTTGGCATTTCCAGATAAAAAAAAATATTTTATTGTGATAGAAATGAGCTAGCTTTAAATAAATTAAAAGTACCTCTGTTCAATAAAATTTAATGACATAAAATAAGAAAAAAAGGAATGTAAGATTTTTTTATGTTTGCCGTTATTGTTGTATTATATTGTCAAAATATATTTTGATTTTTTAAATTTAAATCAAATGTCAGGGCAAGTTAATATCAGCCACTGCTTTAATCATTATTTTAGGCTGTAATTACTTCAAAAAAGTTAATTTCAATTAAAAATTACATAGATGCACACCAACGTTTTCACACAGAAGACATGATAATAAATTAAATTTTCTTCACTACTAATGTGGACCTATATTCTTGTTCCCCCATTAATGCATTATCTTAATATCAAGAATACAATATGTTAAAAAGGTTTAAAAGGAGAGAAACTTTAAAAGGCGTTTTAAATTTTTTTGGAGTTGGTATGTTTTGAAACGATCAATATTTCTCAATCAATGTCCATAGTGAAACCCAATAAACACTAGTTTTTAACTAAATAGTGGGAAGGTTTTGAGAACGGACCAGACTTTTTGAATATTTTGGAGGGCATTCCACAACGCTGCTGGGACTGAGCTGCGCCACAGCAAACCATCCGCTCCACACACCCAGCCAGATGCAAAACAATCTGCACAAGGAAATTTAATTTTGCACTACCAGAAATGAATTTTAATCACAATAAATTTGTATAATTCCAGCACCACTTACAGTTTTTCAAGGTGCATAATCCTCATGCACGGAAACTTGGCACGTGCATTACGTACCAATTCGCCGACTCGGTATAATTAACTTTTCCTTGGAAAACGAGGCGGACGTGCGGTGCTTTCTGTTCATTATCTACACTTCTGTGACTGCACATTCAGTGCACATGAATGGGTGCATTAAAGCGCACGTTGGCCTTATCAACGAGTGCACTTATTAAAATAAACATCGTTACAATACAAAACAAGGTAGAAATTATGCTGCTGCAAGAGTGTGCAGTTGTGGATAAGCTTATAATTTGGAATTCTAACCTTTATTTAACAATTCAAATACTTACATAAAATTATTGGACATAAAAGTTAGAGAAATAAATTGATATGGTATGATTAAATTAAAAATTGAATGCAAAGTGGCAATAATTTTTCCTAATTAAAGACATCCTGCACATTCAAGAGTAATTTGTTTATGTTTTACAATACAATCTAAAAATTTGTCCAATGTATAAAAATTTAGATGATGATATTATGTATAGAGAATATTGAATTCATCATAATCCATCGTTTGCCCAAGTATCTCAGACTACAAAAACTACTTTCCCATTTTTTAATTTTCTATTTTCTCTCAAATATTATATTTGCATTGTGCAGCATTTTTTTTAGATTTATTAAAATAATAAAACGTCAAGGGATCTTCCCATCTATGTTAATTAATTAATTAATAAATTTACAAAACAAATATCTGCATTTCACTGTAAACATCACGATACGTTCTAACCGATTTACATTAAGCACATAAATAACAGCCTGTCCACTCTAAAACCAATTACCTGATTTCCAACCCCAAGAGAAAATGGTAATCTTACAAGAGGCGCGACCTATACACCACTCTCTCAGAATTAGGTTGGTATCCCGTTTTATGTCGCGCCTGCTGTAGTGGTTTTATGTCGCGCCTACTGTAGTGGTTTTATGTCGCGCCTGCTGTAGTGGTTGATAAAGAAAACCGGTATTTATAGCTCACAATCACCGGGACTGCAGGAAAGAATAAGGGCCTTTGGGATGGGTTCAGAAGGGGAAGACAATCTTAACTGATTGCAAAAGACGTGACCTACCACCAATGTACGGGAAAGGGGGTTGTTTTTATATGTCGCGCCTCTTGTAATGGTTCACTACAACAGGCGCGACATATGCACGCAACGCCTGTGGTAGGTCGCGCCTCTTGTAATCGACCACTACAACAGGCGCGACATATACAATAAATAATGCTAAAAAAAAAACGAAAGCAGCGAGATTGTGTGCACACCACGAACCAGACCACCCCACAAACCGGCAACTCGGAGGTGGGCAACCCCCCAAGATTAATTTTTGCAGAAGCCGCGAGCGAGGGGTGGAGGCGCAGCGAGGTCGAGGACGTGGGGAAGGCCGTGCGGAGGGCGAGGACAAAAGGGCGGCTGTGTTCGTGGGGGGGCTCCTGCGGAGCCCCCCCCACGATCCCCGCCCTTTTGTCCCGCCCGGAGCCGGCCTTCACCACGTTCTCGGGCGAGAGCGCCTCCAGCCCGAAGCTCGCAAACCCACAACGGAGTTGCCCACAAGAGGTGTTGTCTGCAAAGGGAGTTGTGGGCACCACACTTTTTGCTTTCTAAGCCCTTTTTGCAGACAATTCCTTTTGTAAGCAACTCCGTTGTGGGTTTGCGAGCTTCGGGCTGGAGGCGCGCTCGCCCGAGAACGTGGTGAAGGCCGGCTCCGGGCGGGACAAAAGGGCGGGGATCGTGGGGGGGCTCCTGAGGAGCCCCCCCACGAACACAGCCGCCCTTTTGTCCTCGCCCTCCGCACGGCCTTCCCCACGTCCTCGACCTCGCTGCGCCTCCACCCCTCGCTCGCGGCTTCTGCAAAAATTAATCTTGGGGGGTTGCCCACCTCCGAGTTGCCGGTTTGTGGGGTGGTCTGGTTCGTGGTGTGCACACAATCTCGCTGCTTTCGTTTTTTTTTTAGCATTATTTATTGTATATGTCGCGCCTGTTGTAGTGGTCGATTACAAGAGGCGCGACCTACCACAGGCGTTGCGTGCATATGTCGCGCCTGTTGTAGTGAACCATTACAAGAGGCGCGACATATAAAAACAACCCCCTTCCCCGTACATTGGTGGTAGGTCACGTCTTTTGCAATCAGTTAAGATTGTCTTCCCCTTCTGAACCCATCCCAAAGGCCCTTATTCTTTCCTGCAGTCCCGGTGATTGTGAGCTATAAATACCGGTTTTCTTTATCAACCACTACAGCAGGCGCGACATAAAACCACTACAGTAGGCGCGACATAAAACCACTACAGCAGGCGCGACATACCAACCTAATTTTTAAATACTGGTGTATAGGTCGCGCCTCTTGTAAGATTACCGAGAAAATTAGAGCCACAGGGTCTGAATGATGAGAAGTGTAATTTGATCTATACAACATCAAAGAGGGTCACGCTGCGATTATTAATGGCACTGATTTTGCTAATTGCTAGACAGTGCAAATATGTATTCAAACATATTTCCAGTTTAGTTACTGAAAGTTAGAATTTAATTAATATTTCTCTCCTCTGAATATAGAGCGGTACCTGCGCAGATTTTCTACCATTGTTAATTATGAAAAGTTTGGCAGGAAAAAAGAATGGCAGGCACAGAGAGGCGTAAACAAGAGAATGTTGAAGGGAGCAGGAGCTTTAAAGTGGGAAACGGCGAAATGAGATCCGTCATCCTTTGTCAGTCCCTTTGAACTCACGAGCTGGGAGTTTCTTTTAATTATGCCAAAGACAAGTCGACAAAAGGTGAGGGCGAGAGAATTGACTTTTGGAGCGACGCAAACGCAAGTCGCTCCTCTCATTAATTTCTCAAAGGACATATAGGGCACGAAATGGCCTGCTCAAACTCCTGTTTTCCGCTCAAGTCAACCAATAAAACATTCACAGAGAGTGAAATGAAATTTATTATGTGGGAAAATGGCCCTCAAAATTTAGATTTATATTAAAATAAATCAAAGTAAATTGTTCGGAAATTAATTAGCAGAGATCTTAAAAGCTTCTTCTCTTTAAGAGCAAATAATAATTTATTGAAATTTTGAAATAAAATCTTCTGCTCTTTTCATTGCAATATATTTCAGCACCCTCAAGTTTCTCTATGGTGTTTTGAGTGACAGCTAAGAGATATTTTTGAGCAAAAACGGGCATGCAGTGGAACAGTTGAAGTCCTCATCATTCTTCCGAGTGAACACACAAAAGTGGTAATGAGAGAGCGTAGGTGGTGTATGATGCTCCTTCATGCGAATTTTGCAGGGAAAAGCGCCTCTTTTTGTGCAATTCACCACCGAGCGTCATCTCCTTAGTAACGGGAAGCTCATTAGTCTTGTGCGAGTGTCACATAAGGCGTCTTTATTATAAGGAAATATTTACTTCATATTCATTTTGACTCGGACAGCTTTCACAAAATTCTTTGTTTTCACGCATAATCGAAGTAAAATTGTAAATTCTGGTAGTTAATTTTGACAAATATTTTAATTTCAAATTATCTCTAAGTTCATGCAAACGTAATTATTATTTTGGCTCAAAAGTTTCTCATGGGGTGTAAATTTTCAAGAAATTAGCAAGATTTGAAAAGTCGGTGCTTGGAAATTTATTCCAAATCTTCAAATTGAATTGCAAGATGTGCTTGAAAAATTTCTTTGTTCAAACACAAAATTTTAATGCTTTTGTACAAATTGAATAAAAAAAGGACCAAAAAAATTAATTAACCAAGGCTATATTTCATTATTTTAAGATTGTAAATAAATGCATTTTAACGGCGAGGCCTTGCGAAAGAGAATTAAATTTTGTATGAATAAAAGTACAAAACACAGAGGACTGTGGAAAAATTTAAATACAAGAAGTGCTTGGCACAACTGGCGTAATTAGGCCGGTTGTTGTCGAGTTAGTTCAAGGTTCGCTTGTAAAAGTAATTTTGAGCGCAAAAATGGCACGAAAAGGGCATGAAAACGGCCTTTGTTTTGCATTTGGCGAGTGAGTGTGCTGGAAAAGGTGGGTTGCGCGCCAAAATGAATTAAACATCGTGGCTCGACGAGAGCTGACTGGCACAAGCTTCACACACATTCACTCTTGAATTTGTATTATTTCTGTGTGAGAGCGCGCTCGCAATCTTTTCAACTCATTCTTCACCCTCAAAAGTCAGCCTCACACAACAAGGGTGGTCGACGAGACGATGTGGCCAACTGACGTCAGCAACACTCACCCAAAACACGATGGGAGTGTGAGAAAAAAAAGTATTCTCTTGACCGCTGCTTTTCAAAAATAAAATATAATATATAGTGAAAAGGATTGGCCTTGATGTTTGCTGAACCGTTTTAATGTGAATTTAAAAATATTTTCTTCTTGCAAAGCTTGGAATTTTATAAACACAAGGAAAAAAGAAAATCATTAAAATGCTCTTTTCATATTATATTTTTTGTTCAAATTAGAAAATTTCAACAAAATTAGCAAAGGTTCACATGAATCAGGTTTTAAAAAAATATTTTCAATAATATATAATTATTCATAAATGAAATTGCAATTCAGAATAAAGAACAGAGCGCTAGCAATTGACAGGTATAAAAGAATATCCATTTTTCCAGTTTTTAAATTAATGAATTACCAACCAAACCATTTGTATTGCCTACTTTTTATTTTCTCTGCAATCAAGGTTGTGCTAATTAATTAATTTCATGCAAGGCAGAGAAGACCAGAAGACTCTCCAAAAGCGGGAAATCAATGAACGGCGTTGAAATTGACACGCTTCATGAATATTCACGTCCCTCATTCGCAGCAAAAATCTTAATACGCAAGCTGCAGAGTTCGTTACGATCTCAATTTGCTTGGCGAGCTCCTGGCGAGGGGAGATTCAATTTGCGCGTGATTTATACACGACTAATAATCTAATAATTTCGCAGCAGGCTGTAGAATCCGCTCGGCGTGATGGGAAAAATATCACCTCCCCCAAGGTGAGAAGAGTGAAGGAAAAAAAATGAGGACTTTTGAACTCAGCGAAAAAAGCTCTGGCGAGTCAGAGTGAAAAGAGATGCGTATCCCTTGAGAGTTCGCGGGTCGGCCAGGATAAAAGGTCGCTGCATCTTTAACATTGGATTAG